GGTAAAAAACTTATTATATATCTATTGTATAATCGATTTATTGCTGTCCCAGAAATTTATTTGAAAACTATATTATATATTAATATCAATGAATACTAAATACGCCTATATTTGTTATTTATATTTTTTTAATATATAAATATATATGTATATATATATATATATATACTCTACAGTATATTTACTATATATGCATATATTTTCAACCAATATTATCAACAATAATAAATTTATTGAGTTTATAATATTTTCATATATATATATATATATATATATTTATTATACTTGTTTTTATTACTTATTATTATTATGAAAGTTCATGTTTTGAAAGTATTGTTAAATACATTAAAACAATTAGAAAAAAACATTAATAATTAAAAACATTAAACAATTAGGGGAAAAAATTAATAATTAAAAACATTTTTTTGTTGATATTTTAATTATTAATTGTTATTATTGATTGATTAATTAATTATCTATCTAAAGTATTTTTTTTTAATTATTATTAATAATTTTTCTAATAATTGTTAAATTATTAATTCAATTTAATTATTTTTGTTTTTTCAGTAATTTCTAATTTGAATATAAAATTCATATACTAGAGTATTATTGTATAATAAATAATTTTATTAATTTTTAAAAAAATATGATACTAAAATCAAAATTTCTAATATCAATAAATTTAAACAATTATTTAATATAATTATAAATAGATATATTGTTAAAATTTATTAATTAAATATCTTAATAGTAGTTTCTATCAAATATTATTGAATCAATAAAATAAATAAATCTATCATTAAATCAATATCTTATTTACTTTTTTTTTATGGCAAACATTAATCAAAAATATGTGGTAATCTTACCGATTATGTCAATAAAAAAATAGCTAAACAAATATTATATAAATCTCAATATTATTATTATTATTATTATTATTATCATCTATACTCTTATAATAAATATGAAAAATATATTTATATATATATATATATATAAATTATAATTACAAAATTAATATTCTGTAACAAAAAAAATAAATAAATGTTTAGAGTATTAAAATAAATTTATAAAATTATTTTATTTTTAATAACATATGTTTTTGTTTGAATCAATAAAATAATCTTAATTAGCATAATATTTGTTGCACACAAATAATAAAAATAATAATAAAAAAACAATACTCGTGTCAATACACTCCCACATAATATATAATTGTTTTTTTTTTAATTTTTATATTTTTTAGTTAAATTTTTTTTCATAGGTTCCGGCATCTAATTATCCGACAGTGAAATTTTATGCACAAAATTTTTTTTTTAATATATCTATCAAACTATAAACTTAATATTTATATACAGTATATAACTGTTATTAGATACTACCGTATGAATGTTTTATAATAATAGATAAATAACTTAAAAAATATATACAGTTTTTAGTAAGTTTCAAAAAAAATTAAATATTCATTCAAAAATTTTTAAGTATTTTATTTTAAATATTATTTCATATCTACATAATTAGTATAACTATACATAAAAAAATACAAGTTTTTCTTGCAATAATATTTATGAATATATTAATTATAATTATTTGTGAAATATGTATGATGATTATTATATATATATATTAAAAACATTATGATTTGTATAATTGTATAAATCACATAACATTTTACTTCAAAAAAATATTTTAGTATAAATTATATTATATATAAATTTTTAAGTATAGAATATATAAATAAACATTTACAAAAATTATAATTTTAAGTAATTTTTAATTATAGTTAACTTTTATTTAGAAAATACAATTATATTTTTCTATACATATTAAATAATCGTTAATAAAAATATTAATAAATTAAATCTGATTAAAAAAAATAATAATCATATAATGTTTTTAAAGTTGGAAATTGTTTAGTAATATGAAAATAGAAATAAACAAATAAACAAAATGTAAAAAAATTAATTTATTTTTATTTAAATAGTTTGGTTATGTAATAATTGATTTAAAAAGCATTAGGCTATCAAATAATAATAATAATAATAATAATCACAAAAATACTTATATATTTTTAGATAACTAAATAGTTAATCGCATTTGAATTTCTAAATACACAGTAAATACAGAGGAAGTGCTTATTATATAACAATTGAATTAAAATAAATTATTTATCAGTTTTTTTTGTGTATTGAAAAATATGTGAAACAAACAATAAATACTTTTATTTTTTAAAAAAAATATTATATATTTTTATAATCAATGACCTGTTGTATATATAAAAAACACATAAATAATAAATCACTAAAATATAAAAAAATAATATTAATACTATCATGCTAATATATATTTATTTCAAATTTAATTTACTAAAATATATTGATACAAGATTGGGAGTATTGATAAAACCTAAAAAAATTTACATTCAATTGTTATGAAAATAATTTTTTAAAAATATATATTTCATACTAATTAATTATTTTATATACATTGTTAAAATAATTAAAACAATACTGTATAATAATAAAAATAATAATAAACTAAAATTATAACTTTTTTTTATAAAAAAAATGTATAAAACATTAAGGAATATATTCAATAATATATAATAACAATTAGTCAATTAGTATTATTTTTTTATTGTAAATAACTAGTGTTGAAATTGTGTGTAATTAAAAAACATAAAAAATGTTTTATCAGTTAATTTTAAAGTAAATTTATATAATATATATAAGTTATTATATTAGTATTTAATTAGTGAAATTTTTTTTGTTAGTTGCTTAATGAGAGTACAAAACAATATATATATATATATATATATATATATATATATATATATTATATATATATAATTATTTTATTTATCAATACATATATTGAGGTCAAGACAACCAATTGATTATTTAATTCATCTTTTAAATGAAAATATTTTTTTCTCTCTAAAATATTTAACTTATTTTTTATGACCGCAACTTTTTTTCAAAAAAAAACATATAATAATTATTATTATTGTTATTATAGTGATAATAAATAATTATATAATCTCTTCATAATAAATTTAAATCCAATATAAAGACAATATATATATGTATATAAAATAAAAATATATTTATATAACTTTTTTTTAATTTTATTTTATAGCTTTCAACAAAACAATATCAATGTTTTTAAATTATAGTTATAATAATTTTATTTTATAATATTTGCAATAAATTTTTTTCAAAAAAAAATTATTAGTAAAACACATGATAAAAATTTTATAGAAAAAAAATTTAACTATTGATTTATTTATCATTATTACAAATGATTTTTATTTATTTATTAATATAATATTATTTACAATAAAAAAAAATTATTTATTAATACCTTAAATATATTAATTTTTATGATTTACTATCATTATATAAAAGATTATTTTTATATAAAATTATAATTATAATTATTAATAGTACATAACAAAAAAATACTACAAAAATTGATTATTTTAAATACTTGCAATTATTTTTTGTATTTTTATTATTATTATTTAAAAAAAATAATTAAAATAATTTTAATAAGATATGTAAATATTTGTTTTTCAAAAAAAAAAATAATTAATTCATCTTTAATCAACAACAAAAATAATGAAAACATTTTTTTAATTGTAATTAAATTGCAAACAATACATATGTATTGAACTAAATATTATTTTTTTATAATAAAAAATATATAGATATATAGATACATATATTTATTTTTCGAAATAATAATAATAACTTTATTTTCTTACTTATTTATTGGGATTGCAATAGCAATAGTTATTATTATTATTATTATTATTATTACAGTATATAATAGTTATTATTGTGAATGTAGGCTAATATGGATCAACAATTGCCGGCCTCATCACCAGTCAAGTTGTTGGTGTTGTTGTTCATCACTTTCCCCAATACTAAGGAGTATTAGGAGCTAAACCTGATTAGTGATGCTATAGTACGGCCCACTTTCACTATGTATGGGCTCTCTCTCTATCTCATCCCTGTTCTCTCTCTCTCTCTCTCTCTCTCTCTCTCTCTCTCTCTCTCTAACAATAACTTTTGATGTCCACTCTTTTTTAACGTTGTTTTGTTTATAACAATTGTTAATCTCTCTCTCTCTCTCTCTCTCTCTCTCTCTCTCTCTCTCTCTCTCTCTCTCTCTCTCTCTCTCTCTCTGCATACCAGCCCTTACAATACAACCTTTTTTTTTGTTGCTTAACAGTATTATCTATGTTAATACAGATAGACAGACCCATATAGCCGATGGCATACATATATATATATATATATACATATATATATATATACAGTATATATACAGTATATATATAAATAAAACCATATATATATGTATATATATATTCAGGTATAAAATCAAATAGATTTTCACATATAAAAAGTGAATCTCTTTTAATATTTTTCTTTAATATGAAATAAAAGTGAAAACATTTTCTCACACATCAAATGAATTCATCAAAACAATCGATTCGTTAAAATAAAAATTGTTTCAAATTTATTGATTTATGTTTTATTATTATTTTATACTAACTTTTTTTTATATATAGTGTTATATATTTTGCTGTTGAATGTAATGATTAACAAAGTTTGACAAAACTTTTTTTTTTAGTTTTAATTTTATTTATTTGTTAACTTAATTGTTGTGAACGTGTAAAATAAATTATTATTTATTGGTTATTATTATTGTTATTGATTTTTGGTAATATTAATAATTATCAATTTTAGTTTTTTTTCTTAAAATTATTTTTTTTGTTTAGTTAATCACTGTGTGAAACAATTTTTATTGATTATTGTGATTGATTCACAAATAAAAAAATATATATATATATTAGACATCCCATCCCAATTGATTTGTTATTTTTTAAACAGGTATAGTTATAACTAAACTTTTACTTTTAAAAATCTATTACATTATTTAAGTAAATATTTAATCTGAAATTAATTTTATATATAAAACATAATCAGTTGATGTGTATGTTATATCAATTTTGATACAAACATTTAATTATATAACAGTTTTTTTAAGTTTATAAATAATATTATTTTCTTCTATATATATACTTAAAATTAAGTTATAGTTATATTAATTAATTAATTATAGTTAATTAGATTTTAACAAAATTATTTGATTGTTTAAATTATTATTATTATAGAAATAATCGCAAAAATATTTGTTATATACATCCAATACAATGATTGATAAAAATATATTTTTCATATTGGGTAAGTTATAATTATCTATTTATTTATTTATTTATTTAATATAAATCGATAATAAGCTATATTATCAAAAAATAAAATTACTATAATTTATTAGCATTTGATAAAAAAAAATGTTGAATACTTTTATCAACAAAAAAAATAATAAACTTAAATATCTATATAATCATAGATATACTAAATATCATCAATTTTATTGCAAAATTATAGTCAAAGCTAATAGTTTGATAATACAGTATCAATAATAATATGATATATTGTACATTGAATTATATATACTGTATATATTTAATAGTTATTTTTTATTTATTCAATGTAATGTCCATTATTTAATATATGAGAAATAAAAGTATTTTAAAAGCCTATAATTTTAATATATATACTGTATATATATATATATATATATATATATATATATATATATAGAAAAATTTGTTTTATTATAAATAAATATTTATTTATTTCCTCATGTTTATCAATAATTTATTTTATTAAAAAAGATTTTTTTATAATAATTTAGTCGATATCTAATTATTAAGTATTTATAAAAAATATAACTATTAGTATATCCAAACTATTAGTGTTATAATTGGTAGTAAAAAACATAATTTTTATTAATATACAGAAAAATAATAATAAAAAACTAATAATAATAAATTCACACATTTTTACATATAATTATTTATTTATTTTGTTGTTGTTGTAGTAAAATATTTTTTAGTTAAGTATTTTTGGAGTAATAAATATAATGTAATTTAATGAAAAGTTTTTTTTTAAAAAAGTTAAAAATATACTTTTAATTTGAATTATAAAGTTTTTTTTTGTAAAGTCAATGAATAGTTAAGGATCGTATTGTTGTTGTTGTTGTTGATTATAAATTATATTTTAAATTATTGTAATTGTTTTTAACTATTTTTAATGATTATTATACAACAATAATAATAATAATAAAAAAAACCGCAAACATTAATTTGCATACATTATAACCATTTAAATTATATACATTTTTTTTATTAATATAATAATAATATTATTATAAACCGAAAATAAACACTTTTATTATTATTATTATTATAAACAGGTTTATTATTAGTAGTATTAGTGCCGATAATTAGCGGACAAATAAGTTTTTTTGATAACAACTTTCCGCCGGCACCGGCAACCAGACGGGTATTACCGCAAAACCGGGCCGTAAATAATGGTGTCGTCAGCGGCGGCGGCGGTAGGACTTCGGCGGCACTTCTTCTACAGGAAGAACAGCCGTCCGTAAGCGGTGATGACCACCGACTAGTGGCTGACCAACAGATATCGCAAACACATGAACAAAACGATCACGAATTTGGCGGCCAATTGCCCGCCGATGATGTCAATGATGGACAACCTATCGTACAGACTCAGGTGCCATCACTGGCGACAACTCGTAAGCCATTTATACAGCAAACTAGTCGTCCATCAACTGGTGGTGCACTTCCAACCACAAGACAACCTCCTATTCAACGACAACCACAACAACAAACACAACAACAGTTTGAAGATATACCACAACTTCAGGTGGCTTTTGATGAAGGTTTGTCTTTATTTTAATTATTTTTTTTTGCTATTAGTATATCATTTAATTAATTATATTTTATTTATTAAAAAAAATAATATTAGAAATATTATTGAAAACTATTAATTGAATTTTAGTCTATAAATATATTTTTTAGACATTAAATTATTATAAAATTATTGTATTTTATTTTATTTATTTTTTTTTTGGTATAATAGTTGTTAGATTTTGATGAAACATAATTTAGTAATTTTTTTTGCTAAAGTATTATTATTATTATATTTTGAAACACTTTTTTTAATTAAAAGTGACTTTTATTAGCGATTTATATTTATTTTAGTCAATTTATTTGTTTTAATTTTATTATTAAATGACAGTAATCTTATTTATTTTTTTAAATAAAAAATCTTAAGTAAATAGTTGTTAATTAAAAATGTGTTTTTATTATATATATAGACTAAGATTTAAATTAAAAAATTTAATACAGATTTACTCTAATTAAAGATAAGGAAGTTTTTTTTCAACAAAAAAAATATATAAATAAATAACTAAAATGCAAATATTTTATACTTATATTTGGCAAATAATTTTATTTTATATATATATACTGTATAATGCAAATAATTTTATTTTATATATATAATGCAAACAACTTAAATTATATTATAATTTATTTATTATAACATTCATTGTTTCAATTATAGTATCAAATATTATATATATATATATATATATATATATATATATATATATATATATATATATATATATATATATATATACTGTATATATATAGATGTTTGAAATATTTGTAACATAAAAAAATGATAATTTATTCAAATCTTACTGTTATTTTTGTTGTTATTACTGTTTAACACAAATAAAAATATATCACATTATTAGAGTTGAGATGAAACAAAAAAAAACAAATTAAGATTTTTTTTTATATTCACTATAAGTTTTAAATTAAGTTTTATTTATTTATTTAGTTATTATTATTTGAAAGATAAGTAGTTACTACCGTTGCTGCTATAAAAAAAATATGAGTTAAATTATATACTACTAATTTTTTGTTGTTAGTTATATATATAAATAACTTTAACTATACAACAATAAAAAAAAATATTTTATCACACATTTTATCTAACATAACAACAACAACAACAACAACAATAGATTTATACGTTTGTTAAAAAACTACTTAAATATTTAATACATTTAACACTTTGTTTAAAAATCAAGTTTTTTTTTGTTGTAAACATTTTTTTTTATTTATTTAAACTCTATATACATTAATACAATTTTTTTTAACAAAAAAATATCTTATTTTATTTTTTTTTGAAAACATTGTATTTGTATTATTAAATACAAGATTATTAAGTTACCACAAAAAAAACAAAAAAATAATAAAATTTTTAATTTTTAAATTTTTATTATATATTCCTTATAACAACAAATGTCATATGGATTATACAGTATTATATATCCATCAAATAAATTAACAAAAAATAAATATCTAATAAAATTATTTTTTTTAAAAAAAATTATAGGAAATATAGGATCAGATGAACAGTTGACTCAGAAACAGGACTCAACGTTGACGGACATCAGTATGGAAGATGTGTCGACTGAAGGAGGTGTCAGCTCAGGAGGAGGACAGGGAGGACAGGGAGGACAACAAACTGGTTTTACAAGCGCTGATGATTTGGTGATAACAACGCCACGAACAACAACAACAGTAGTGACAACAACTACCGGTGCCCTAAATGGTGGACAACAACGAAAAGGCATACAAAAGCCGAAGACTGGCGGCGTCAACGGTGGCGTCGGCGGCGGCGGCGCTCGTAGACAGCCATCAAAAACTACTGGAACTGTCGTCAACACTGGAACTGTTGGTCAGAAGTCGTCGAAAACAGTACCGTCAGCTATGCGGAGGAAACCGGCTGTTATTATCAATAGACAACCAGCAGTAACAATGATAAGTCAAATGGCCGACGACACCACCACTGATGATGATGGCGATGGAAGTACTCAGACAATAGCGCAAGGATTTGATGGACAACAACAACAACAACCACAGCAACAACAGACTGATGATGGAGTTAGTGGTGGTGATGATGGTCATCAACAACAACAACAAGTAGACCAACAAACACCAACAACTGATGATATGAGTGTTAGAGGTGGTGGTGGTAGTGATGATACCACTGGTCAGTATCACGGTGGTGGTGGTGGCGATGATGTTGATGGTGGTGCTGGACATGATCATCATCATGGTTCAGGTGATCCCATTCAATGGCTACGCGATGCTGTTCGCGGCGAACCGGGAGCCGATTATCCGATATTCTATGAGCCGCCAGAAACCGGATTCAAGTGTCAGGAACAACAATATCCCGGTTATTACGCCGATATGGAAGCCCGGTGTCAGGTGTTTCATATTTGCCAGGAAAATGGCCGATCGGATGCCTTCCTCTGCCCGAATGGTACCATATTTTCACAGCAAAACTTTGTCTGCGTTTGGTGGCATGATTTTGATTGCGCCACTGCCTCACAGTACTACTCGTTGAACTCAATGCTGTATACGGCACCGGCAGCACCGGCACAGGCCGACAGTCAGCCATTGTCACCGCCGACGGACAGTGGTTTTGAGAGACCAGTGACCACAACCAGTGATGGCAAACAACCAGAATTGGATACTCCTAGACGTACTGGTGGTGGTGGTGGTGGCGGCGGTCGTCGACCGACGACTGCTGAAGAACTAACACCAACGGTTGTAGACAGCGATGTAATTGGTGGCCGACCCGATAGTGCCGGTGGACCGGCTGATGAACGCATTCAGACTGGTATAGACTTGTCGGATGATGTCCAACAACAACAACAACAACACGAATTTGGTAGTGTTTTGGATACCGAAGCACCGAAAACACAGTCAGTAGTAACGGTTGGATCAGTACTAGAGGACGATGTGGTGATGATTACTGGTGTCGATGAAGACATTGCAACTGCTACTACAGCAACACCGACACAACAACAACAACAAACCGGTTTGAGATCACCTAATGGTAGACCAATTGGTGGCATCAAAACAGGTGTCAAAACAGGTGTCCGAAGAAAAACTATTAATGGAGTCAAAGAAGTTGTCGTCAAAAGGCCTACAAAAGGGTTTGTTTGTATTGTCTATTAATTTGAATGTAATTTTAAGCAAAAATTTTTTGTTTGTTTGTTTGTTTTAATTGGTATTTACAGAGATGTCGGTCCATCGAGAAGTATGACTAGAAAACCGACAAAAAAACCATTGCCAGGTCCTCAACGTATAACAACTACCAGACCTATTGAAATAACTGGTCCTGCTAAAAAGACCATTGCTACTGCTACCGGTGCTAAAGGACAACCATCATCGTCATCATCAGGTGCACCATTGTCTCCGGCAGACACTGGACGTAGAAATGGTGGCCAAAAAACAACACCGCAAAAACCTCAACAAGACTTTGTTCAGACAGTGTCCAAACCGAGAGGACCTACCGGTGCTACAAAAACTGTATTTCATAGGATAGCCCAGAGACAGGAGGAACAGGAGGCTCAACAACAACAACAGTCGGCCTCTAATTGGTATTACTCTTTCAATCTTTAAAAATAAATAAATCAATTAATATATCAATCAATAGTTTATATACTGTATAAGTCATTAAATATTTCATTTTATTTTTAATTTTTTTTTAAATATTACATAAATATCATAATATATATCATATATATATTCAACTATTATTTTATTCATAAACTCTTTAATTATTATTTTATTTTTTTTGTAGAAATTTAAAAAATTTTTCTATATATATATATAAATTTTTATCATTTTATTATCAATTATCAATTTTAATATTATTATTATTATTACTGTTTAAAAATTCATGATTATATTAAATTATGCATTTATTATCATTTTTTTACCCCTTAATAATTGAATGTATTTTTTTCAATTGAATTTAAATAAATTAAATAAATAATTTAATAATAATAAAACCATCTATCATTTTATATGATAATTTATTTTTTTTATTAAATATTAATAAAAAACAATTAAATTATCATTGTTAAAATTAACCTAATAAACTAAAATTCAATAATATTTGATAAAAATAGACAAAAATGTAATAATTTACATAAATTTATTATTTAATTTTTTTTGTTGCTATATGCCAATTAAAATTAAATTTAAAAATATTTTTAAATAATAATAATTGAATTCATTGGCACTATTGTTTTGGGAAGCATTTAATAATTCAATTTATTATTTAAAAATTATTATTTTTTTACTTAAAACAAAAGTTGAAAAATAATTTTTTTTCTTTAATACTAGTGTTGAGTAATTTATTATTTTGATAAATGTAATTGTTTTATAAATTTATTAGTTAGTAAAATACAAATATATAATTACAATTACAATAATCAAATAAAAATTTTATAAATTTCTTATATATAATTTGTATATACAATATATATATATATATATATTATTTGGGTCATCAAAATAAAGGTATCTAACAATAAAGTTATTATTGTTACTGTATTTTTTAAATTAACATTTCTATCTTTTTTTTAATTTTAATGATATTTCAAATCAATCAAAAAATAATAATAATTTTATGAATATTTTTTTTTAAAAAAACAATTAATACAAATTGAAAATATTGATATTTCAATAGGATTTACTATTATATACTTATATATATATACCTGTATTATTTGTTTAATATTGCTTTTATTGAATTATTGAATAATAAGGCTTTCAAATTGATTTTTTTTATATATTAAATTAAGATATATTATTATTATTATTAATATTTAGTTTTTATTAAATTATTATCATTAATTAAACTGCACACACAAACACATAATAAATTTTTATATAATTTTTATATATATATATATATTGATATTAATAAAAATAAACCAAACAAATTAACATTGGTTTTTTTTGTAATAATAGTCTATTAAATATATTATTATTACTATTATTATTAATAATCTAATTTAATAAAGTATAATTGCTATAATAAAAATAAGATAATTTTTTTTTTATAATAAGCATTAAGTTATATGTGTAGTCTATATAGTTTAGTTCATTATTATAATATAATATTATATATCATATCATTATCTAAATATTATTATACAGTCAATTAGTTAAAACATTTTACTGTACAGTATTATTATTAATTTTTTTATCAATTAGATATAAATTTCAATATCAATTATATGTATAATTTATATATCTAATTAAATTATATATATATATATTAATTAAAACTCTTATGAATTTAAATTGCATATTCTATTGAAATTTTTTTTTATCTACAAAACATTTCTAATATAAATTTATTAATATAAAAATATAATTAACGATTGAAAATAATTGCAAGTATATTTAAATAAATTGAAATATTAGTAATATTACGGTAGTTATAGTAAATAAATTTTTTCATTGTTTTATATTTTTATATTAAATACCTTATTTTTTTTAATTAAAATATTATTTAAATTATATTATATAAATAAAATTTAGATTATTTTATTTATATTTTTCTAACAACAATTTTGTATTTTACAATAATAAATAATTACATAATAAAATAAATTATTCTAATAAAATGTTATATGATTTTATTGTTTTTTTTATTATTATTTACATACAAATATATATAAAATATGATAAATTATAGGTAATATACTGTATATATATATATATAATATACTGTATTATAAATAAAACTTATGGCAAATAAATTACTGGAAAAAATCGATAAAACTTAAAGATTTCTCTCAACTTATACTAACAAAACTTGAGTTTAAATCATTTTTTATATATACAAATATACTTAGATTTATATATATATATATATATATATATACAGTATATAATAATATTTTTATATGTTTACACACACACACACTCTCTCTCTCTTTATATGTATAATATACATGTAAACAAAAAATAACTCATAATATATATACACACAGTAGTAGTAGTAGTAGTAGTAGTAGGCATACCTTTTTTTATGTATATTTGTTGTTATGTGTATTATTATTAATAAATAAAAAAAACACTCCTAACCTAACTGTTATTATTATAGACATTACAAAAAGTATATGTAATTTTCTATAGTCTATAGTTTTATTTTATTTGGTTTGTATCCATTGGATACACAAATATATTTTATATGCAAAAAATATAATCAAAAAAATTTATATATATATATATATATTCAATGAAAAAATCATACCAAAAAAATTTTTGTGCAAAACAATAAGTACAATAAAGTGTGTGTGTGTTTATAAATAGTAAAACTATACAGTAGTATATGAATCATAAGTATACATATTATTACATCAATCACTTAGATTTATAAAATCATTACTTAATTAATAACTTAAAAAAATATTTGTATATATATGTATAGTTTATTTTATTATTAAACTTAAATAAATACTTATAAATGTATATAATTTGTGATAATATTGTTATATACAGTTTAATTAATTGAATTAAAATATAATAAGAAAAGTTATTGTTGAATATAAAAGTTATAATCAAATATTTTTATACAATATATTATATATTTATAATTTTAACAACAACAACAAAAATGTTTGTCAACCAAATAATTTTTTAATGAGCTTTTTTTTATTATATGTTTTGTTTTGTTTAAAGTGTTTTGTTAAAACTACATATCAGTAATAATTTATTGAATACTATTTTTTTTAAAAAATATGTTGTAATACCTAAATAAATTGTGTGTTAATATATGTTAAAAGTGCCTAAAATTTTTTAAAACACCAAAAAAATTTTTTATATATAAAAACCAAACCCCATAGGGATTACACCATCAAAAACAACTAAAACACAAACAAAAAATGAGTGAAACCGAGAACGTAAGGGTCGCCGTCCGGGTCCGACCTTTCATATCCTTTTCAATTAAAAATTAATAATAATTTAAATATTTAAAAAAATTATTTTAATATATAACTCAATATATTTAATATATATGTTGTCTATAATTTAATTTCTAATTACAAATATTTTCATATATATATATAACTAAATATATTCAATATATATATATTGTCTATAATTTAATTTCTAATTACAAATATTTTCATATATATATAATTTAATATATTCAATATATATATTGTCTATATTTTAATTTCTAATTACAAATATTTTCATATATAACTCAATATATTTAATATACTGTATATATTCTATAATTTAATTTCTAATTACAAATATTTTCATATATTACTCAATATATATATATTGTCTATATTTTAATTTCTAATTACAAATATTTTCATATAGTATAGTTGTTTTATAAAATTGAATGTATTATATTTGTGTATATAACTAATGTTTAAAATTTTAGTAAGTAATCTAAAATTTTTTTAACCTATATGATTTTTTTATTCAATTATAAATTACTAAATAAGTTTAATTTAATTAGTTTAATCAAGTAATCAAGTGTCAATTATTTTTTTGATAATTATATTGTTATTGATTTAATATTCAATATCTAATGGTATTTAAAGTTTTTTTTTTTAAATTTATTATTATCATAATAGCTATTAAACTTGCATTTTAGTGTGTAAAACATGTTTTGACCTATATCACTTATTATTGTTTTTTTGTTGGTATTATTATTTAATTTTTTTTGATTGATTTCCATAAAGATTTTTAATTATATAACATTTTTTAAATGTATATAAAATATATATTGATTTTTTAAACAATTTTTATATATTAACAATAAGCAATATAATAATAATAATAATAATTCAATATGTGGGCAGAAATATAAATCTAAATAAATCGTATTAAAAAGCATAAAAATCATTATTAATTTAATAAATATATAGACTATAATAATAATAATGTTGTTTATTATTATTATTACAAATAAATATATAATACATCACTTTAACTAAACTAATAAATTATTAGCAAATAACAACACAAATAATAATAAAAAAAGAGTTCAATATATATATTAAATTATATATAAATTAATATAATAATAGTTAGTTCCTCTTTAATACTTATTTATTCATTATAACATACAGTATATAAATATATATATTCAATATATTTAATTCATATAAACAAATCAATATTAATAATAATAATAAAACATGCGATTGAATCACAATAAATCAATATACCCTGAAAATTGATTGTTAACTATCTTAACAACTAATAAATTATGTTTGATTTTTTTATATTATTATTTAATATTATTGCTATTGTCTAGAAATTTATATTAGTTTTTATATACAGTTTATATTCAATCATCAATAATGAATACAATTAAAAAAATCTATGTTTAATTTTATAAACATAATTTTTTTTTTTAAATTATTATATTAGTAATATCATAGACTAAATAAATTTGTTAAATATTAGATATTTTCGTTATTTTTGTTGTTTAATATTTATTTTAGCAATTAATTTTAACTAATAATAAAAATAGATTATGTATTTATATGTAAATATTTTAAATTGTTATAACAAACTTTTTAGTAGTATTTAAATTATGTTTATTATTATTATTATTATTATTATTATTATTTTGTATAATATTGTATACATTTGATAATCATAGGCAATGAATTACAGCTATAAAAAAATATTAAAACAACAAAAAATGATATACTATTATCTACTAGCCCTCTATGTTAGTAAAATTTATATTATTATTATACTAATACTCTCTCTCTCTCTCTCTCTCTCTCTCTCTCTCTCTCTCTCTCTCTCTCTCTCTCACTAAACAATTGTTTATCATCATCATATGATACAGTAATGCATGTTATTAATAAATATTTAATATAGTGAAAGTGCATAATATTATATAATATTATTAATAGTAGTAGTAGTAGTAAATATATATATTGCCATTATATATACAGTAATTGCAGTGATAAACAAATACAGTATAAAAAACACAATACAAATGAGTGCATTGACTGCTCTATTAAATTTGTGTGTGAAAACTAAACTAACCAAATATACAATCAATTGGTTTATAGTATATAAATTATATATATATATATATATATATATATTGATATATATTAAAGCATCAAATTATTATACTATTTGCATGCTTTTATATAAATTAAATTATAATACCATTTTTTTAGTATTATTTGTTGCTACAAATACAATATGCACTTAAATTGATTTATCAGTATATATATATATATATATATATATATAATTATATATATAAAATAGATATATTAGTATAACACCCAATATTAATAGTCAATATAAAGTTAACATACAAAATTTTACCAATAATAAAAAAAAAGTTTTTAATTTTAACTATTTTCTTTTTAAAAAAGTTTAATCAATAATTTACTGTATTATTATTTATTTATTTATTGTCTATTAATTTTTTATTTGCTAGATTTATGATAAATTAATTGTATGTGTGTTTATTGATATGTATTGATAATATCAGTAGATTTGTTTTTATTAGCAAACTATTGATATTTACTTTGATTACTATTTTTAAGTAAAAACTAAAAATAAATAAAACTAAATTAAAAATTAAATAATAAGATTTACTATCGATTATTCAAAAAGATTTTATGATACTATAAAAAATATAATACAATATAATATACAATATAACTATCATATAAATAGAGATAATATAAACAATGATTAGTATTTTTTGTATGATTACAATATATTACACTATATTTTGCGATATATTTTCCTTAACTGTCTTCAAAAAAAAATATAAAATAAAATCTTTTGATTGACACCAACAACAACAAAAAAACCAAACAAACAAAAAATGTTTACAATTCACGTGAAAAACAACGAAACGCTCAGTCGATTGTGGCGATGGACGACAACACGACACTCCTGTTTAGTGTCGACACCACCGCCTCCGTCGCCGCCGCTGACGAACCCAAAAGGTTTACATTTGATCGGAGCTATTGGTCGCACAACGGATTTACTGAAGCCGATAATGGCTTATGTATTGCCGATGATAATCATGAAAATGGACTCAAATATGCCGATCAGGTTATTATTAACCAAAAACAATATCACATTAAAAACTTTTATAATGTTTTTTTTGTGGGCTATTTTTATTTTAATACATATTATATACATGTTTATAAAAATTTAATACTTATACTACTACTAATAATAATAATAGGAAACAGTATATCGAGACTTAGGACATACACTATTGATGAACGCATGGGACGGCTATAATGCAGCCATGTTTGCCTACGGACAGACAGGTTCGGGAAAGTCATACTCTATTGTAGGGTACGGTCAGAATAAAGGTATATATACTGTATATATAAAACAATTAAAACAAAATGAGATAACAATCAATAAATAAATCAACAAAAAAATAGGTATAGTTCCCAGATTTTGTGAGGAAATATTCCAGACAATTGAACACCGATCGGGTGACGGTATGCAAGTTGAAGTTACGCTGTCGATGCTAGAGATATACAATGAAGTTGCCAAAGATTTGCTAAATGTTCAAAAACTACAACAACAAACTAATGATAATAATAATAATAGTAATAATAACAGCAAAAATCAAAGCAAATCAAAGAAAAAGGGTCTCAAAGTTAGAGAACATCCGACTAAAGGATTTTATGGTATTTTTTTGTTTGTTTAACTAAATGTTTTTGTTGTGTGATTTTGATTAACAATTTTATATATATATATATATAAAATATAACTCATTATTAATCCATCCAAACAGCTGAAGGTCTGAAATCATTTTTGGTAACCAATTATAAGGAAATTGAAGACCATATCAATGAGGGTACGACTAATAGGAGTATTGCGGCCACAAATATGAATGAGACGTCGTCGCGGGCGCACACCATCATTGTCATCAATTTGATACAAAAGTCTAATAACACAACTAAACAGTCGTCAATTAATTTGGTAGACTTGGCCGGAAGGTGAGTCGACTGGGGGGTGGGGTGGGGGTGGGGTGTTAATTGTTAACATAATAAATTATGATTTTTAGGTGTTAGGTGTTTATTTTCTCAATTAAGTAATTATATAATTATAACATACAGAACATACATACACATACATACACATACATACACATACATACACATACATACACATACATACACATACATACACATACATACACATACATACACATACATACACATACATACACATACATACACATACATACACATACATACACATACATACACATACATACACATACATACACATACATACACATACATACACATACATACACATACATACACATACATACACATACATACACATACATACACATACATACACATACACATACATACACATACATACACATACATACACATACATACACATACATACACATACATACACATACATACACATACATACACATACATACACATACATACACATACATACACATACATACACATACATACACATACATACACATACATACACATACATACACATACATACACATACATACACATACATACACATACATACACATACATACACATACATACACATACATACACATACATACACATACACATACATACACATACATACACATACATACACATACATACACATACATACACACACACACATACACATACATACACATACATACACATACATACACATACACACACACACACATACATACACATACATACACATACATACACACACACACATACACATACATACACATACATACACATACACATACATACACATACATACACATACATACACATACATACACATACATACACATACATACATACTGTAAATCTACATACATGCACACACACACATACATCCACACACACACACATACATCCACACACACACATACATCTACATATATCCACATATATCCATATACATACACACACACACACACTCACACACATAGACATACACACACATACATCCACACACATATATCCACATACATACACACATACACACACACACACACTCATACATAGACATACACACACATTCATCCACATATATCCACATACACACACACACATAGACATACAGTGTCATACACACACACTTTAATTAAAAGCTGCTAAACACCGGTTACAACAATTAGCGCCCTATTATTATTATTATTTGTTAATATACTAAATACTCATTTAGTTTTTTTTCATCATAACATACCAGTAGATTATAATAATAATTCAATTATAAATAGTAATAGTATTTTATGTATAGTAGTTGTCCATTAAAAAAGTAATTATTCAAATGTATGTGTTTTTTGTTGTTCAAAGTGTTTGTTATCGTGTGTTTGCTAATGACATTAGGAGTTATTTATTTTTTTTATCACATAATAGAAAATGTTGTTTTTTTAAAAAAAACATTAAAATATTTTTTTTGAGGAGTATAAATGTAATTAAATAACAAACAAAATAACAATTTAAATATAATAGTGTTAGACAGTACCGTAATAGTAGTACATGTAGTAGTAGTAGTAGTAGTAGTAGTGATAAACAAGTTGTCGGTGAAATAAAAACATTGTTTCATTTTTAGTTATACAATACCTTAAAAATAAAAATTATTGAATTATTTTCACTAATACTACACTGTAATAGTAGATGAAAATACTATAGTTTTTTTCTGCATAATTATTATTATGTATAGTATTAGTCAATTACTACACTATATAAGCGCATCATTACTAGAGTTGTTAGCAATTAAGTTAGTCTACAGTCAGTTAGTAATTAAATTATTAATTATAATAATTATCCGTTAATTTAATTTATTTTTTTAGTGAACGTCTATCTGGTACTCAAGCAACCGGTGACCGACTAAAAGAGGGCGTATCGATAAACCAGTCGCTCAGTTGTGTCGGCAATTGTATCCATGCGTTGGCCGAAAAAGCTCAGGGAAAAAATGTTAAGGTTCCCTATCGGGACTCTGTCCTAACCCGACTGCTCCAGAATGCATTGGGCGGCAATAGCAAAACGGTAATGTTGGCCACCATTAGTCCAGCCGATATCAACTACGATGAAACACTATCGACACTGAGATACGGTAGGTATCTGTCATATGATATATACCCGTCATATATACCCTCATATATATATACCCATCATATCCATGGCCATACCCTCACATACATTATACCCGTAGAAACAATAAGATTATACACTTTAGATAAACTTAAGATATATTGATTGATATTACCGGTTAGTATAATACTCTACTGTTATAGTACCAGTGCTGCCGTCAATGTATATGAATACTACACTACTATTAAAGATCTTTTTTTAAAAAAAATTTTAAAGAATATTCTATATAAGTATTAGTGTTTAAAATTTTAAAAATAATAATTTGAAATTTTTTTGTTATTAATGTCTAATTATGACTGATATTTGATGATTATATATATACTATAACTACCGGTGCTTAATAGCCGACAGAGCCAAACAAATCAGAAATCACGCAAAGATTAATAAGGATTCAACTGATAAATTGGTTCGCGAGCTGCGCGAAGAAAATGAAAAACTTAAACGCTTAATGGAAACGGGAACTACCGGTTCGGGTATGGCCAATGGGTCGGCCACTCCTACGCCGATCAACGGTATGATTATGATGGGWGCAATGTCACCGGATGCGCTCAATGAGGCCAAACAGAGATGGGAGGACGAAATGCGGGCAGCGATGGAGGAAAACGAGCGACAAATGGCACAAATGAAACAGTCGTATGAGGAACGGCTCAGTAAGGAAGCTGAGGACAGGGCTGCCAGACATAAGTCAGATCAGCCGTCCGGTGGTGGTGGTGGTGGTCAGGATGACCGTCAGCAGCTAGAACTGGACAAACGGGACAATCCGTATCTGTCGAATCTGAATTTTGATGAACAACTATCCGGTAAAATCTGTTATATCATACGAAAAGGTGTCAACACTATTGGCAAATCGGAGGACTGTGCCATACAATTGATGGGTCCATCAATTCAGGAACATCACGCACTGGTACATCGGCTGGACAGCGGGAAAGTCATACTCGAGCGGTGTTCCGATGATTGTCGGGTTCTGCTGAACGGCGATGTTGTCAATACTAAAGTCAATCTAAGCCATAACGATAGGCTACTGTTCGGTACGACCCAGTTGTTTGTCTTCACCCATTCGGATCAGACACTCAAGTCTAAGATGACTTACGCTGACGTATCGTTTGAGTTGGCACAGGAAGAGATTGCTACCAAAGCCGGGTTTGCACTGAACAATGACGACCAATCCATGGAACAGGCATTGTTGAACAAGGATCTGCTTGAAGTGATACCTACTGTCGACGAGGCCAATGCCATCAGCGAAGAACTGGAAAAGTTTGTCCGTTTCGAGATAATGCTGGTATCGCCGCAATTCTTGGGCAAACCGGGCGACCGAACCGAAGTATTTTGTTGTTGTCATTATTATTATTATTATACCGAAAAATGTCTTGTATTTTAACCAAATTATTATCTAATTTTGTTTGTTTATCTATTCCTCTTGAGGTATACGTACGGATGCGTAACATTGAAAGCGGTCAGGAGTTTGAATGGACTAAAGATGAATTTCTTAACCGACTTTACGTAATGAAAGAGATGTACCAAAACTACGAGTCCGGCGAAGAGGACTGGGATCTGCCGCCAGTACTGTCATTATTATCTAAAATAATTATTTTTACCGATAAAATCTAATATATATAAATCAATTGTCGTTGTGATTAGGAAAGAGATCCGTTTGTCGAGGAYGCGCACCGGGAGTGTCATATCGGTACGGCTCAAGTCTATCTACAATCGCTGGCTTTTATGATTGAACTCAAAGAACAGTTGTCTATTAACGACTATACCGGCAGCGAAGTCGGTATTGTCAACGTCGAAGTGGTTCCGTGCGATCAAGTGGGCAACGAATACGACGAAAGGGACGACGTCTATGTTGATAGTCCTCAGGAACTGATGGGCCGATCCATACATTTTGTTGTCAAAGTTAACGGCTGTCGTGGACTGCCGTCAAGATTTACTGTTAGTTATTATCAATTAAAATGCTAATCAATTGATTGTTTGTTTGTTTTTAAAAAAAGGATATTTATGTCCGATTTCGGGTATTTCTCGACGAAGAGGACATCCGTACGGATACAATGTCCGACACATCGAATCCGGATTTTAATTTCAAAAAAATCTATTCATTCAGTAGAGTTACCCAACAGTTGGTCGACTATTTGAAGGACGGGTTTATTAATTTGCAAATCTGGGGCAAACAGTCGGTAAAGTTTACAAATATTGGTAAACAGTCGACAATCGGTGGCCGAAATACGAAACAATTGTTTCAGGAAGAGCTGGACAAACAGGGAAACGAATTGATGACTGGTTTCAAAATGAATGGTCGTATAGTTGATCCAAACAAACAAAGTATTATCGTTGAGCTGTTGCTGATGAAGAAACAACAGGCCCGACAACAACAGCGTATTGTATGTCCGAAAAAATAAATAAATTAATATAATAATAATTAATTAATTAATTATTATTATTATCAATAACAAAAAAAAATAAATACTATATAATATTGTTGTTGAAATACATACATAATAATAATAATAATATATACAGTATAATCTAATAATGTTAATTTTATTTTAGCTAGATTAAATTTAATCAACTAATTGTTGATAATAATAATAATAATAGTATATATACAGTATAATCTAATAATGTTAATTTTATTTTAGCTAGATTAAATTTAATCAACTAATTGTTGATTAAAAATATACCGTATTGTATGACCGAAAAAAAATTAATATAATAATAATTAATTAATTAATTATTATTATTATTATCAATAACAAAAAAAAAATAAATACTATATAATATTGTTGTTGAAATACATACATAATAATAATAATAATAATAGTATATATACAGTATAATCTAATAATGTTAATTTTATTTTAGCTAGATTAAATTTAATCAACTAATTGTTGATTAAAAATATACCGTATTGTATGACCGAAAAAAAATAAATATTATTATAATTAATTAATTAATTATTATTATTATTATCAATAACAAAAAAAATAAATACTATATAATATTGTTGTTGAAATACATACATAATAATAATAATAATAATAATAATAATAGTATATATACAGTATAATCTAATAATGTTAATTTTATTTTAGCTAGATTAAATTTAATCAACTAATTGTTGATTAAAAATATACCGTATTGTATGACCGAAAAAAAATAAATATTATTATAATTAATTAATTAATTAATTAATTATTATCAATAACAAAAAAATAAATACTATATAATATTGTTGTTGAAATACATACATACAATATAATCTAATAATGTTAATTTTATTTTAGCTAGATTAAATTTAATCAACTAATTGTTGATTAAAAAATATACCGTATTGTATGCCCGAAAAAAATTATTATTATTATCAATAACAACAACAAAAATTAAATACTAATATTGTTGTCGAAATATTTGAATATCTATTTTCAAGTTTCTATAGTTAATAATAATAATAATACATACAATATAATCTAATAATGTTAATTTTATTTTAGCTAGATTAAATTTAATCAACTAATTTTTGATTAAAAAATATACCGTATTGTATGCCCGAAAAAAATTATTATTATTATTATCAATAACAACAACAAAAATTAAATACTAATATTTTTGTTGAAATATTTGAATATCTATTTTCAAGTTTCTATAGTTAATAATAATAATAATATATACATTATAATCTATTAATGTTAATTTTATTTTAGCTAGATTAAATTTAATCAACTAATTTTTGATTAAAAATATACCAGTATCTATATATATATATATATATAAAATAATTTACCGTATAGATTTATTAAATTTAATCTAGCTAAAATAAAATTAACATTAATAGATACTGTATGTATGTATTATTATTAACTATAGAAACTTCAAATAGATATTCAAATAGTTCAACAACAATATCAAAAACAATAAAAATAATTATATTTATAGTATTTTTGAAAACATATGTTACAAATTTATTTATTAAATTATAGAAAATATTATTATTTATATAGTATTTTATAAATTTCATTGATTGACACCAACAAAAAAAACATTGATTTTGTTTTGTTTAGTAATACGAATATTATTAAATTTAATTTGTTTTTTTTGTATCATTTATATTATCACTTTTTCAATAGTAAATTAGTCAATCAAAATCATTAAATCAAATATTTTTTATAAACATTATATTTACTAATCATTTAGTTGATTAGTTAATTATTGGCGACACTAAACTGTCACTAATATATAAATATATTTTTTCATAATAATAATAATAGTTATCAAAAAAACATTTATTATAAAATTTTAATCAATTTTTTTATTAATATATTATTCATATTATTAAATATTATATACGATATTACTAAACAAATGAAAAAATCAATTATATTCAATCATTATATTTATACAATACTTAWATAATAATATTTTAATAACATATTTTGTAACATATGTTTTAAAATACTTAAATTAAATTTTTATWTATATATAAATATTTTATTAGGACATTATTATAAATTTAAAATCTCTAAAATTTTTCTATATTTAAAAAAATAATACATAACTATTACTTAAATTTAGCTAGATTAAATACCATTATTATTGAATTATAAATACCAGATTATATAACTTAATTGTTGGAATTTTTTTAAAAAAAATACTCATTATATTTAGTAAATGTACCGTAAAATTAAAATACCGTAAAATCTATTTATATATATATATATATATCCAAAATATAGAGTATATAATTGCAATTATAATAATTTAATRATAATAATGCTATATATATATAATCAATATTTTTATTTTTTAAAAAACATATACCAATTGATGAATTTATTTTAATTAAAATATATATTTAATTTTTTTTTAAAAAAAGGAAAATATCAGACGTTTAGTAGAAATGGCAGAAAATTGTAGGAAAAAGAAAATATCGGTTCAATTGGTTAAGGATTTACTTTTTACGACTACCCCTGAAATGGCCGATGCGCTCATCAATCAGGTGCCCGAAGGTATTATCAGATTTTTATTATTATTATTATATAATATATTTTTATTATAAAATAAATTYATATCAACAAAAAAAATATTTTAACATATAGAGTAGATTTATCTAAAAAAAAAATAATTTATTTTATCCAAAATATACTATTTTATAATTATTACTACTAATAATATTTCGCAATTTTTGTACTTAAAATTTTCTCTATAAATTATCAATTAATTAATTAATTAATTAGATATATAGATATATATATTTAAATAGATAATTAATATAAAGTACTTAGAAATATAGATATTAAATTTAATTGTCTATAATTTTTTTTTATTATTAGTACTGTAGTCATCATTAATAATGAAAATGTTAACCTAATTTAAATAATAATAATATTATTATTTTGTATAAAAATAATTATTTAAACTATTTTTACATGAATAGGTGCTTATTATATATATATTATAATATCTATACTTATTAAAATATAAATTTATATTTATAACTACAGTAGTAGTAGTATTATTATTATAATTATGTTGTAATAAATTTTTTAATATTAAAACAAAAAAAGTAATGATGAAATATGATATTTAGTATTATATTACTTTAGTTTTTTTTGTATAGCATTTTACATTATCAATATATATATATATATAAATACAATGCAATTCATTTTATTAATTTATTATAATATGTATTAAACAAAAAAATTATGATATATTTATTATCATTGCTATTATCATATTTAATCAATAGCGACCTTTATACCAATATAATATAAAATAATAATATATAGTGWATATATATATATATAATATATAATAATATCTATATAAGTATATTAATATCTAATATTTTATCTACATATTATAAATTAATATAATTATATATATATATATATATATATTATATTTATCATGCAATAAAAATGCTGTTTAATTTCATTATTATATATTATGATTATTATTATTATTAATACTAGTTATAAAATTACATCATATAAAAATGATATGAAAATTTAATTTAAGTCATATATATAGGATATAATATATATATATATATATATATATATATCATAATTTAATTCATGTGATTTTTATGATTATTTGATAGTTTACATATTGTTTATAATATCTAATATGAATTTCAATTTTAATATCATTTTATATATTTTTTAAAATATATAAATTACTTAATAATAATAATAAGATTACTGCAAATTACTGGATAGGACTGGAAAATAGCAAAATTAAAAAAACATAAGTCAATTGATTATAAAAAAAATCATTGATTTTTTTTGTCAGTATTTATTAAACTAAAAGCAAAACATAAATCTATCAAAAAAAAAGTTTATGTTATATTAACAACACGTAAACAAATAAATAAATAAATATACGGTTAAAATATTATAAGTTACTATAGTTTTAGGGAAATTTATCAGAAATATATACTATGTGTATGTGTATGTGTATGTGTATGTGTATGTGTATGTGTATGTGTATGTGTATGTGTATGTGTATGTGTATGTGTATGTGTATGTGTATGTGTATGTGTATGTGTATGTGTATGTGTATGTGTATGTGTATGTGTATGTGTATGTGTATGTGTATGTGTATGTGTATGTGTATGTGTATGTGTATGTGTATGTGTATGTGTATGTGTATGTGTATGTGTATGYGTATGCGTATGCGTATGCGTATGTGTATGTGTATGCGTATGTGTATGAATGTGTGTATTATTATTATTATTGTTGTATTAACATATGTAATTGAAATCATAGGAAAAATTATTATTAATATAATTTCTCCAAAAACGTTAAAAATTCATTAGAAAAACAAAATATTTATTATATTAGTCATATAATATATATATATATATATATATATATAATGTATTTAAAGTATGTTTAGAAATGATATATATAATATCTATCTATTTATTTTTTTTATAAATATAATCTCTTTATTTAATAGATTGAAATACAATCACACAAAAAAACCATATATTGATATATTGATAATAAATTAAAAACTATTACTCTATTATTAAATACTTTAAGGATATTTATAAAAAAAAACAATTGACTAAATTATATATATATATATTCAAATATAATTCAAACAATTATTATGCTTGAAAAAATTATGATGATGATAAAATTTTTTAATTAATAACTAATTTCAATGATAATAAACTTATATATATATATATATTAATATATGTATATATATATCTCATATATATATATAATAATACTGTATTATATTAGATGATCAATACGATAGTCTCAAGTCATCATCGTCTATATGTACTATACTATGATGATCACCAAAAAAAAAATAATAATAATAAAATTAAATAAATAAATTAAAAATTATTTAACATCACTACATCATTGCATCGATTTTTTTAAATTTATTGTAAATTTTTTTTATTTATTTAAATAAATATATGTAAATTTGTAATTTAATAAAAAAAATAAAATTTCTATATTATATTTTCTAACTAATGTAACAATTTGTGTGTGTGTGTGTTTTAAATTTATTTATTTATTTCATCAGCAAATAAATTTATTTTTTTTTAAAAAAAACTAAAAATATAAATATCAATTTACACTACACTAGTAGTTATTTTACGTTATTTTTGGTTAATATGTGGAACTTTTATTGTACGGTACAGTATATGTAGTGTTGGAAAATATACGTAAATTTATAAAGTAATAATATTAATAAATGAGTTCAATACAGTGTATAAAATTTATAAATACTACAGTATAAATAATAATAATATTTATTGACAATTAAAAAAACATTACAAACTAGTATGAAATCATTTTAATTTTTTTTAAAAAAATTATATCTATAATTTAAAAAAAAATATATCTATAATTTTAAAAAAAGTAAATCAAGTCTAAGACAATTATAAAATTTACTAATATTTTAAAAATAATTTATTAATATAAATTAATAAATAACTAATAAGTTTTTTTAAAAAAAATTGTTAGTTTTAATTTGTTTGGAAAAAAATTAATTAATTAAATAATTAAATAATATACATGTATAATTTCTAATACATATATATTTCTAAACTTTTTATACCTACAAAATTCATTAAAAATCATTTTAAAAAAAACTTAAACTATAATTACTATCATAACTAAAAAAAAAATTTCAACACTAACTACCCATTAAAATGTATTATTAATAATACAGGGCGGTTTTTCCCTTAGACCTTTTGAAATTACCCTGCTAAATTAAAAACTATAAATATTTGTAAATTTATTTTTACATAGATGGGGTTAGGGGTAGTTGGAATAGTTATTGTTGTTTTGAAAATCAAAACAGTTTAAAAATGGCGTCGGCACGCATTACAAAATATGCAACATTTTGGCACAAAAAAACCATTTTTGACGATTGCTCGGCAATATATATGGTGTGCTATCAAAGACGAAGAAGTTATTGCGTCAATATTTCTAACTTAAAGTGTAACATTAGAAGTTTACAAGACACAAATCACTGAAACGTTCAGCGCTACTATACCAAGAAAACGTTTGGCAAACAATCATTGGTTTTAACTTGACGGAGAAAGACAGCACAGAACACAGGATGTGTTCAATACTCTTAAAGAATGTTTTGGAGAGCATATCATTAGTTTTGATGCGCCAAAAAAACAGGAGGCGGCATTGATTGGCCATCATATTCACCTGATCTCAACCCTTGTGATTACTTTTTTTGGGGATATTTGAAAGATAGGGTTTAAGTTTCTCAACCAGAAACCATTGATCAACTTAAAAAAAACATTGAACGCGAAAAAAGGGCGATTCCAATGGATATGCTTCAAAGAGTTGCGCTAATTTTGAAGGCCGGATTCGTCATTTAATTGCAATTAGTAGCGGCCATTTTGAAAATTTAATTTATTAAAATTTAAAAGCTCCATTAGATAATTTTATATTAATTTTTATTTGAATAAAATATATATATATATATATGTTTTTAAAAGGACTAAGTGAAAAACCACCCTGTACTAATAAAAGTACATGTAATATATGTTTAATTTAATATTAATAGTAAATATATATTTTTTCCATTGCGTCAACATTTATTGTACACTCAATACAGTACATACACTAYACATAAATAACATAAAACTACTACTAAACYATAGATAGGMTATTATTATAGGTTTTTCTAACCTAACGTTTTAGTACTGTATTAGTTCAATGATAAACAGTATTGCATTTSAAAAACACTACACACAACACAACACAACACAATAAAACTTGTTTTAAACATTAGATATACTGTATATATAAACGCATTGAAAACTATATATATATATATATTTGGACGCCATTATAATATTGCAATAGATTTATATATATATATAAAGTATACTTAACTTATAATATCATATATTAATTAATTAATAATATTATTTAAAGTCATATATAAATTTAGAAAAAAAACTTATTAATTAATTAATAAAATAGTTTTTAATTTAAAGTTTATTTAAAAACTAAATAAAAATATCATTGAATTGATTGACTATTATTTGTGTGAATACTGAGTGTATAAAACCATTGGATCTCATATAACAACATAAYATYATAATACTTACGGTTATTATAATGTCTATCATTGATAACGACGTCGACATTTCCTGCGACTCCCGCAGACAATGTGGCCAAAGTGTCGACTCGTCCGCCGATGATATGACTGTTGCTAGTGGTAGTAGTGGCGGCGGCGGCGGCGGAGGACAACCAATGGCCAAACGATGTCGATTGAGTACCGAAGCGGATGACACGACAACACCGACGGGAGTCGTCGACAGCRACRAYAATAACTCCATGACTACWCCATCGATAGCCTATTGGCTGACCAAACCAGTGGCCAACAGTCAACCCGAACAGATCAATCAGTTGTGTCCCGAGGTTTTTCCAGATAATTTTGGCCAAATATTTGAAGGCAACCAAYTGGCGWCGGCTGGTACCGCTACGRTTGGTSTGCAAGTATTGGCGCAACAATATCGACTCGTATCTGGCCTCCCGACACGGTTTCCAGTATACGGGTCGYGTKACTAAGGGGGCGCCGCCGCCCGTCATGAACTACTACGAGTTCAATGCTATGTTAAGTTTTTATCCAAATYTGAGGCAATTGATTGTGAAAAACTTTACCGTCAGCGACCATTTGGTGGCCATTTTACGGCAAAAYGTTCMCCACATTTGGAACGTATCAGTYTGTACGGCTGCCCGAACCTGACCTGGAAAGGYATAACCATACTGGCCGTACGTTTTCCTCAATTAAAGTTTATTGATGTATCCAATTGTGAATTGGATGAAAACCGGTTTGTATTTTGATATTTACAGTTAGCTATTGATCTCATGTTTTAATTGAAAAACTTTTTGTTTGTTTTGCTTTTGCTTACAGATTAAGTATTTTGATTGAAAACTTGCAAAACTTGAAGATAATGAATGCGATTAATCCGGGCCGCGACGTCACTGGCCAATGTCTGGCCCGATTGGGTCCAAACATTCAGGATATATGGATCGGTTTGAATCATTTACGTGACGTTAATCTAGCTTTGCGGTCACTAGTGTCGGGCAATGGCAAGAATTTAGTACATTTCGGTCTAATTGTGTCCAATTTTGCTACGACTGACTTCTCCATCATAACCGATAATATGAAAAATTTGAAAAGTCTTAAACTGACGTTCGGGTCGTACAAGAGTTCGTCGCTGAAAGCGTTGGCAGCCCTGAAAAATCTGGAGTTTCTCGTATTGGCCGAAGACTCACGAAACGATAGCCAATCGGTACTGACTGATGACTCGCTGATTAGTGTACTCAAAGGCTGTACGCAACTGAGATCGCTGGCCATTGCMGGTACTAAACCGAATACCTGCCGGTTTACCCATCGATCCATAGCACAGATACCACAACTGTGCCGACATATGGAACAGATTCGCTTCTTGAATGCCCATAACTTGGCTGATGAAACCCTAGTAGCATTGGCATCGATACCGACACTACTAGTCCTGCATTTATCGTCGATGAACGGTATAACCGATCGTGGTGTATCGGAATTTGCCAAATTGGCTACGAAAGCCCGAAATTTTCGGGTCAGCGATTGTACAAATATTACCGAAGAAATTATCGACGCCTGGATAGAAGTGGCCACTAGACGATCGGACGAACGAATCAAATTGTTTGTCGAAGGTATCAATGTTACCCGCGATTTATCCGATTTACCCGATAATCTGAAATTGGATATCAAAAAGTTGCCGGATGTATGATTTTTGGATWTGGACTGTTTAGGTTACCGTTAATTATTTTTTTTTATAGAAAAAAAAACCAAACAAACGTCTAATATAGACATAAAACAAAAAAAATTGTCATTAAATTGTCGATATATATATATTTATGATATGGATATATATATTTAATTTTTGTCATTTAAAATATATATATATATTATTTATTTGTAATAATTTTTGAATTAATAATTATAATTATTATCTAATTTTTTCCTCTCTTTCTTTTAGTAGTTTTCTCATTCCATTTATACTAATTGATTATTTATATAAAAAAAATTGATTGATTGATTGATATAAAAATGTACATGGTTAAATATGTATAAAAATTTTTGCATTTTGTGTGTGTGTGTGCATATATTTTATCTGTTTCTAATAATAATAATTAAAATATTAATAATAATAATAATTTGAAAGCTTTTTAATTTTTTTTAAAAACAAAACTAAATGTACAAATGTTTGGAAAAAAAATTTATTTATTTGCAAATTAATTACATATTTTTTTTTTTTTGAGTGTATGGTGACTGACTGTAATAATTATATATATATATAACTATACAATATTTATAAGTTATTTGTCTTTTTATAACTTTTTTCTAGTGAGTATATAAATATATAGTTTTTTTTTGTGTTAAATTTAATATATGTAATAATTTTTAGTTTTTAAAAATGTAAAATTTTTAATATCATCTGCAAAAAAAATGGTTATCTATTATTATATGATACATTACATGCTTTCAAAAAATATTTATATATAATAATAATAATAATAATTTTAGTTTTTAAAAAGTTTTTAAAAAATATTTTTTTTTCTAATTGTCACTCATCATATTATCTAAAAAATAATTTATATGATATTTTTTAATCATCATTATTATTACAATTGTTAATAACATTTATATATATAAATAATAATAATAAGTTCATTATTATCATTATTATTAAATTAATTGATTTTATAAATATAATATTAATATTAATAATAAAAGGCAAAGCAAATTGCAAATATGTGTAGTTTTCAAGTGTTATATATATATATATTATATAATTGTTTTTAATTTTTACAAATATATACTTAGTCTGTGATTTATCTATAAATCATAAAATTATTGATTCATATATATATTATATAATTGTTTTTTAATTTTTACAAATATAAATTTAGTCTGTGATATATCTATATATATATATATATAAATCATAAAATTATTGATTCATATATCTATATATATATATAAATCATAAAATTATTGATTCATATATCTATATATATATATAGTATAATTATTATTATTATTATAAAAATATTCACTGTGTGTGTATGTGTCTGTCTATCATATTGTTTGTGTGTTTTTTTATTGACAATTATTTTTTTTTATAAAAAATTAATTGTTTGTTATTATTATTATTATTATTATTTGTGCTATCATTTGAACGGCAAATCATTTGTTGATGGCTTAGTTGTGTCGCATATCCTTCGCGTTAATTCAGCCTAAAAATTGTGGTAAAAAAATATATATTTATTTAAACGACAAACGGATAGACAAAAAAAAACAGTTAGAAAAAAATTAGTAGTTTTTAATTTTAATTATATTGTTAGTGAATATATATATATAAATAAATATTATTATAATAAAGTTTTAAATAATAGTGTAATATTCATATATATATATATATATAAATTATTAGTAATAATATTTATTATAGTAATCTAATCTCTCTTTTATTTTTGATTATTATTATTAGTTGAAATTACGGTAAATAAATAATGTGATAAATAAAATCTACAGGGTAAATATTTCCATTAATAATCATAATAATATAAATTTTAAATAATAAGATAATAAATAATATTATAATTTATAGTCAATAATAATGACTAATAAATGGAAATACATGGAAATTATAAGTTATTTTATCACTGTTTTTATATATCTCTAAAACTAATTTACATTTAAATAATTAATTAATAGTGCAAAACATRCAATAAAATAAAAGTGATAATACAAAAAAAAAATTAAAATAATAATATAAAAAAATAACACGAGTTTGTTATTCAAGGATTTTGTTTATATAAAATTATAATTAAAAACAATAAATAAAAATTTTTTATGTCTTATAATGCAGTTATCATTAATTAATATTTTCACTAAACAAAAAAAAAAGTTAAACAAATTTATTTACACAATAGACAGTCATTCATCACACATATACTGTATTATTATTATTATTTATGTATTATTACTATAAAAAGTATTGTTAATTATCAATTGAAAATTATAAAAAATATTATCGTAGGATAGGATGTATATATTATCAATAACAACAAAAATTACCGATAATTTATGAAACAAAAAATAATAAGTGTCTAATTCACACATTACTTAATTAATTAGCTAATCATTTTTTAAACTAACAGATTATATATATATATATATATATATATAATTATTAATACAATTAAATTACACATTTTTTTAGTCCTAAAAATATCATATGACTTGAATGGACAGTTATGTTATCACTGATACGTTATAACACATCCACACACACACACACACACACACACACACACACACACACACACACATAATGACATATATATTATTCAGAGAGAGAGAGAGAGAGAGAGATAGAGAGATAGAGAGATAGAGAGATAGAGAGATAGATAGATAGATAGATAGATAGATAGATAGATAGATAGATAGATAGATAGATAGATAGATAGAGAGTGATAGATAGATAGATAGATAGATAGATAGATAGAGAGAGAGAGAGAGAGAGAGAGAGAGAGAGAGAGAGTGATAGATAGATAGAGAGAGAGAGACAGACAGAGAGACAGTGATAGATAGATAGAGAGAGGCAGCGAATGATAGATAGATGGAGAGATAGATTGAGAGAGAGAGAGAGAGAGAGAGAGAGAGAGAGAGAGAGAGATACGGATACCGATAATACTTACGAGTGGTTCAAACTCTTTATGGCTGACCAGCGAAAACTGATTGACAAAATAGTAGAAATGTTTGTAACAGGTATTGCAATGGGCTTCGGCACCGATCTGCAGTAGGCGATCAAAGTGATGTATGTAGACGTGTACGAACACACGGAACAGTCGGGCCAAGATTTTCTTGCAAGTCGGCAGAAATTGCTTAGGAAATGGCACATCATTACGGGTCGGGAATATGGATTCATCGTTGATCTGGATTTCTATCCATTCCATCAGTAAGGTTATGTATCGGGTGGCCGGCAGCGGTACGGGTTTCTTGTATTTCAGACCATCAGCCCATAGATATTCGTATTTATGTCCGCCGGACATCCGCGGACACGACTCTTCGGTACAATGATCGCAAACAGTACCGTAGATTAGGTTAATCCTATTGAAAAAGTCTATCACATGTACGGCTATCCAATCGCATAGATCTTCACCTAATTATTATTAATAATAATAATTAAATAATTACTTATATTTTTTTATTAGTTAACTAAATACTATATATATATATATATATATATAGATTATAAACATAAAAATAATAATATATTATCTATTAATTATAATTATTTTAACTAAAATTACTTAAGTGTTTTTAATCACATACGATAACCAATATATATATATATATATAGTAATTATTATTAAATAAATTTATTATTATTATTATTATTCAACACATTTGAATGTGTGTTAATAAAACTGTATTAAAAAATTGATTTATATATAAATAAATATATATTTTTTCAAATATAAATATATTATTATAAATTTAGTAAATTATAATTTTGTTGTTAATCTAATTGAATTTTTATTATTATTATTATTATTAATTTATTAATTAATTATATTTTATTAGTTAACTAAATATATAAATAGTAATTATTATTATTATTCAACACATTTGAATGTGTGATAATAATACTGTATTAGAAAAAATTGATTTATATATCAATATATATATATATATATTCAAATATAAATATATGTTATAAATTTAATAAATTTAGTAAATTATAATTATTATGGTTGATCTAATTGAAATTTTTTATTATTATTATTATTATTATATAACATAAGTCTAATTAGTATATATATATATATTTATAGTTACTATTTTTAAAACATTTTATCACATTTTATTTATATATATATATATAATAAAAACATTTGACAACAAAAATTATAGAGTAGGTTTATTTTAAATTAGTGAAAATTACTTAATACTTAAAAAATAAATTTCAATTTTAAAGTAATAAATTATTTTATTAAATAAAATAAAAATAAATAAGAGTTAATTAAATTTTTTTTCTATTAGGAAAAATACATATTTTGAGGCTATATGTTATCTGTAAGAAAATTATTATAATTTAGTGTTTTTTTTATAAAAAAAATTTTAATCTAAACTTTTTATCTATGGATGATTTATATTAAAAAATAAAATTAAAAAAACAGTTAAATTACTATAAATAAATAAAAATTTATATTAATATTAAATTTATCTAGCTATTTTTTACTATTAAATTGAGAGTTCATTAGACCCTATTTACTAGAAATTTAATTTCAAATTTTTTTCACCTGTAAATTGTGACATTATGTGATTTTCATATTAATTTTATTTATTTTTATATTATTATTATTATTATTTTGTTGTAAATTTCCATTTAAAATGTTTTGTACTATATTTGTAACATAAAGTTTAGTTTAAATAATTTTTTTTGTATATAAAAAAAATATATATAAATTAAATACTAAATCCTAATCATTGCCTATAATATGATACAAATAAACATAATCATAAAATTTTCTATATATATATGATATAATTTCACGAAATTTACTAATCATAAAATTATTTTTAAAAAAAATAAAATTACAAATACACTGTATATATATATTTATAGATTAAAATTTTATAATAATAAAAAAAACATTATTATCATCATTACAAAACAAACAAGTTTATAATTTATACAACACAAAAAAATGATAATATAAATACTAAAAAAAATATAATTTTTTGAAATAAATGATTAAATACAGTGACAAAAATCGATTACTATTTATATGATATATATATATATAAATAAATATATACATTATTTTCTATGTATTTTTGTAATTATAAAATTATAATAAAAACAAAACAAACAAATAAAATTTATAAAATCCATTTGACTTTTAAAAACTTTTTAGGATTAAGGTTATGGGCAATAATAATAATATATTTAAAGTATAATATAATAATACATTTATCTATCTATCTATATATACATACAGAGATTATAAACATAAAAATGATAATATATTAATATATATTTAATTATTTTATCTAAATTACTCAAAGTGTTTTCAATCACATACGACAACCAATATATTAATAGTAATTTAAAAACTTTTTAAAATAAAATCATTTTTTAATAATAGTTGTTAATAAAAGTTTTATGTGGTGTTCACCCTTTGGTGATTTACATATTTATTGTTTGTTTGTTAATAAATTATTATTATTATTACTATTACTATTACTATTTGATATTTTTAGTATTCAAATATAGATTTAAAAAAAAATTATTATAATTTATAATAATAAACTAAAAAAAATTGTGGTCAACAACAACAACAACAAAATGTTGTTAACGATAATACCCACTAAAATAAAGTTATATAATAAACTGTAATTTTAAGAGACAACTTAAACATTATATTTAATATCATATATATATATATATATATATTAATATCATTCAAATCTAGTCATTTGAAATCACACACTGAAAATTGCCTCAAAAAACAGTGTGTTTTTTGGGGTTTAAAAAACTATTTTCATCTCCAATAAAAAAAAATAAACTAATCATCAAAACTGGTGTTTTGAGACCACAATAATAATAATCATAATAATAATAATAATACAGTAATAAAATTATAGTGTATTTATATTTAATGATAATTATATATTAAGTCGACAAATCTGCTGATGATTATTACTACTACTACTACTACTAAAATTGAAAATACAGATTGAAATATAATTGTAATTAATTGCTTTAATAATAGGTATCAAATAAAATAAAATTTCAAATATAACAGCAAAATAATAAATAATTAAATTTCTAATCCTTTTTTTTCTTACTAATACTACAGTAGTATATATAATATGAATAAAAATTTGTAATTAAAATAAATTTTAATAATTTATTTTTTTTGAGCTAAAAAAAGAGTCAAATATTTTCAATTTTGTTATTATAATAATAGTAGTAATAATAATAATAATGGATATTAATATTAAAATTTTAATATATTATTTTGCATATAATAAATTAAGTACAGTATATAAAAACTAGTTAAAACTAAAAAAATTATTATATATTAGTTAGTAATTAATATTACGGATGTTAATAGCTATTTAAATATATATATAAATACATAAATACATAATAAATAAAATATTAATCAATAGTTGTTTTGTTTTTGAAATAAAACTATTAATTTGACGATTATTTTTTGTTTTGTTTAAAAATACATTTTTTTGCTATGAAATTGATTGATTTGATGCTTTAGATAATTTTATTCATTTATATATATATTTTAATATATTTTTGTTTCTCATTTTTTTGACACCAATTTTTTTTGGGGATACTAATTGAAAATTGCCTCAAAATAATACATATATTTTTTTGTTATTATTATTATTATTATAATTAAATTGTTTTTTCGCGCATATATTTAAAACAGTATGAAATGATCGTGAAATTGTATTTTTAAAACAATTTTTTTTGTGTTTAAAAAATAAACATTTTTCATAACTTTTCAAAAGCAATCAGTTATATTAATCTTCATTATCACTATAATTAAAAAATTTTGTATTTTTTTTATTTTATCTGATTTTCTTCAATTAATTAGTTTTTTGTTTTATGGTATTTAAAAATTAATACTAAACAACAACAACAACAACAACACACCATAATTTAATTAGTCAAAAATGGGATAAACATTTTATACACACTATAGTAATATTATTATTATTATTTATTATTAAAAGGTATACTTTATATTTAGGTGTAATTAATAGCCTATAGAAAATAGATGACTATAATTAATAGGATACATAAATATTGTATTTTTTTAAAAATAAAAAATTTAAGTTTTTTTCAGTGTCAAACATTAATAATATATATATATATATATAAATAACAATTATATGACCCAATGATATAAAATAGCAATTGATAAATGATGTATTTTTTTTTGTTTAAAATTTTTTTACATCTAAATGTTATGTATATATATTATATACAGGTATATCCATAAACATTTAAATAAGTTATAAATATTTATTAATAGATTTATATATATATAACTTAAATATATTTATTATAGTTTGGATTTAGTTTTTTTTAAAAAAACTAAACACAAAACTAAAGTATTATAATTCAAAAAACATATGACTTGAAAAAACAAATAATGAAAATTGTGATAATAATAATAATAATAATAATAAATATTATATTAGAGACAATTAAACAATCCTTTAAAAGCAGCAAAAAAATAAATTATAAATTATTGAATATTTATTTATTTATACAGAAAAATACAGTAAAATCATTGACAAAACAAACAATTGTTTTTTTTTAATTTTGATTTTTTAAATTCATAACAACAATACACTATATTTGCCAGATATGGGAAACACTTGACCTTAAAGTTCAGGGATTTTTAATTTAAAAAATAAAATTATTTTACTGTTAAACACACGACAATCACATCAAATAGCTATTTGTAAATATATTATCGTTTAATGTAATCATAAATTTTTAAAAAATAATTATAAATACTTAATAACTTTATTATGTGAATAATAATAATAATACAGTAATAATGTTAATAATATTATTTTTCTCATATAAGCAAACAAATATCATTGTATTTTGAATACAATATATAACTTTTACATATACTATATGTTGTTATGTTTACTATGCAAACAAATTACAATTAAATGATTTTTTAGAAATAATAATAATAATAATAACTTATTATTATTATTATTATTAAAACATTTTTATAAGTGATATAGGTGCCAAAAATTTCATATTATATATTATAAGTTATAATAATCATTAAGTATTATTAATATTTATTATTTTTAAAAAATCATTATCATTGATTAATTTTTTCAAACTAAAATAATAATAAGCAATCAACTAAAACCACATTTAGTGAAATACAGGGTATAATAATAATTATTATTATTATTATAGTATATCTATTTTCTATGAATAATATATGTGAAACTTTTAGGGGGGGGGGTCTTAGACCTACACCAGACAACTATTATTATTATTATTATTATTATTACTATAGTATTATTGTTATGTCGAAAAAATATTTATTTTTTTTAATGAAAAATCATTATTTTTTGTTAATATTTATTTTTATTTATTTATTTTTTTGGATAATATTTGCCACTAATGGATGGCTGGCTAACACCAACACACAAAAACATCATATGAATCACTATATTATATATCATTATATCATTACACATACCACACAAATCTATTATAATTTTATTTTTTAATATCTTTTAACAATAAAAAATTATTTTTTTAAAAAAAATTCCGGTGCAATGAGCACCTGGTGCTCGACCCCACTCTACCTTAATCTACAATATATATATATATATATATATATATATATATATATATATATATATATATATATATATAAGTAAAGTATTAAAAAACTGGTAAATGACAACTAATTCGTGACTATAAGCTATAAAAATATATTTATTTTTTTTATCTAATATATAATAATAATAATTGTTATTAAATTATTTCATTTTCACTTATATATATATACTGTATATATATATATATATATATATATATATATATATATATATATATAATACAATATACAGTATATATAATACAATATAATTAAACTCAAATAACTACTATATATTTTGTTTTCTCAAACACTCAAATAATTTATTATAAATTATTATTTTTTTTCAAAATTAAATGCTATAATTTTTGTAGTTAAAAATCAATGTCATTGAGTGTTATTTGAATTAATTTTCAATTTGGGAATTAAAAATAATAATAATTTCTGTTAACAACCATTTGTAATAACATGTGATTCAAAATTATGGGGAAAATTGCAATTATAATTTTTTTTCGTTGTATAACAAAAATAAAATTATAATAATAAAAATTATATGTATTATACAGTATATATTATATACACTACTAGGGATATAAATTTATGATAAATGTATATAATTTAAACAATAATATATTTGTAACTTAAACTAGCTAATCAAAAATTAAAAAAATAAAATAAAATTTATATTATATTTTATCATAATAAATTCAATCGATCAATTTGAAACTATTAATTACAAATAAAAATTTTTGTATATATATATATTACAATACTGCCATTAATTACAATAATTACATCAAATAAAATATTACTAAATAAAATTATTTGCATATTTTTGCTTAATATTTACTTTAATTACAATTATTAATATTAATATTAATTATTAATATATTATAATTAATAGCACAAACAATTATTGACAGTTTTTTTTAAATGTTTTGTTTCAATTACTAGTCAAATATTTATATAAATAATTATATATATAATTGAGTTAATCTTATTTTTTTAGTTTTAATCTATACAAATACATTGTATATAATTTTTATTAAATTTTTTTTTATATATTTATTAGTAAATATATATACTAGAAATAATAACTCAATAATTAACTTATAATAAAATACTTTATTACTACCTAAACAATCAATTTTTATTTTTATTAAATTAAATTAGTACAGTAAATCAAAAATTATTTAATGAAAATATTATTATATTATTATTAAAGTTTTGTTTATAGGTTAGATAAAAACTAAAATATCCTAGTGAAATTTTATAATGTTAATTAATTACTATATATTTTTTATTAGTATTATTATTATTATTATTAATATAGAGTAGATACTGGCAGGAAAAGCTTACTAGCTTAATTTTTAAATAAATTGATGATGTAGTTTATTAAACATAATAAAAACTTATAAAAAATATCATCATTTACATATAAACTATTACTAATTTGCAAATAATAACGTAAAATTTTAATTTAAAAATTAAGCTAGTAAGCTTTTCCTGCCAGTATCTAATATAGAGAGTAATTATTGATAATATAATTATTATTAATAATATAAAACAAAACAGTTGAGTGTTGCGTATTAACAAACAACAAATATTAAATAAAAATTAAATAAAAAATTAAAACCCTATTATATAAGTGGCTGACATGTATTTAAAGGCCCCAATTTTTTTCACAAAAAAAAATTATAATAATATAATTAATTATTATAATTCATAATCAATGGGACAATCAACTGATAATATTGTATAATAATTATATCTATAGAAAATGATATATTTTTTATATATATATATAAAAACTATCGGATATGGCTTGAGGTCAACAATAGCCCCAATTAATATCCTATTATTTATTTTGTTATAAACATATTAATATATTAATTGTTTGAATATATTAAATAACTATTTTTTATATGTGAATTATTTTATACATTTATTTTTCATATAAATATAAACAAACATATATATCATTAATAATTGTGTATTAAAAAATAATAATAAATAAATAAATGAACCTAATTTTTTATATTAATAATAATTAATTAATTAAATGTTGATAATAAAAAATTAGTATTTAGTTTATGTAGATCTGATATAATTCACATGTTTATTGAAAATAAAGTATTTTATTCATTAATAATATATATATATATATATTACATAATAAATAACAAATAATATATCATCAATCGATAGGCATATATAGCCCTAAAAATAGTAAAAATACAAAACTAAATAAATTATTTGATAAATTTATATATATATGCCATTTATGATGAAATTAATCTAATGTAAACAACATTATTAATAATAATAATAATAAAATAAACTAAAAATACATAACAAAAAAATGCTTATTTGGCAAATTCAATGATAATAATAATAATAATACTAACAAACATTAAATAAATCCATATTTGAATTTTTCAAATTTAATATCATAGCAGTTATAAAAAAATTAAATGTTGATAAATATGCTGATTTATTCATATAAACACAACAAATAATTTTAAAAAAAATAAAATATATATACAGTATATATATATATAAATAAATTTTCATTTAAATGATTAATTAGATCATTAGAAAAAACACTTGAATTTTTTGAGATAAAAATTTTTTCTTAAGGAAATATATATACCCGGTATATATATATATACAACAACAACACCATATCATTAGGCAATAAATTAAACTAATAGTACATATATATATATATAAATAATAATAATAATAATAATAATAATCTTATGTATAATTAAAATAGTAGTTAATTAAAAAATCATAAATAATATAATAATCTCTATATATTGGTGTTAATTAAAATAATAATATCTGTTTTTTTTATATGTGTAGGTGTCTTATTATTATTATCTTTTAATTATTATTATAATTATTATTATTTTTAATTATTATTATTACAAACCTGGGGGCAATTTGACGACATCTTTGAGGTTGATTCCCGAATTTAGACTAGCAATAGCTTGTTTGTGTAGGCTGTACCTCAATGTGCCCGGCTCAAACTTTTTTTTAGGCCTAAATGTCTAGGATTTTTTAAAACAATTTTTTGTATATATATAAAAAAAATTATCAAATTATAAATTTTTCTAAAAAATCATATTTAACACATAAAATAGGACCAAACATAAGTAAACCATATCCCGGATTAATTAATTAATAAAATAAATAAACCACCATATCCCGTATATTAAAAAACTATACCCGGTTATTGTGTACCGGTTATTATCTTTAAATAATTTTTTTATTGATAATTGTTTAATTTGTTTTAATAGATAATTATCTAGCAATAGTTAAATTTTTTTATTTAATATAACATGCTAAATTTTATTTTTATTTTATTATTAAAATAATTAACTATATAAAATAGTTAATTATAAAAAATATTTACTAATTATATAAAGTTTAGCGAACTCATCTAGTTTAAATTGTTATTGTACAACAATGATTAAGGTAATAAATTTTTTTGATGACTATAATGTTAAAACTAAAACATTTTATTGTTATTATTACTATTATTATTATTATTATTATATTATTACTTTTTTAGTAAAAATTATTCATTATTATTATTATGAAAATAAAACAAATTTTTTGGGGAAAAAAATTAATGTGAAAAAATTTGTTTTATAACTAACTATTTGTTGCATTATTATTATTATTATAAAATATATAATAATAATTATAATTATTATTATATGATACTCAACAACTAGAAAAAATGTTTTATAAAAATACAAATAAAAAATACTGTATATTACTAAACATTATAACTTATAATTTATAATGTTTTCACAATTTAGCTATTAACAAAAAAATATTATTTAACAAAAAAAATATGTATATAAAATAAATTAAATGGGGAATAACCAGTAATTATACAACATTTTACACATAATAAAAAATATCTAACAACAAAAAAATGTGATAATAATTATTAAATGGGGGTCAAACAAAAATTTAAGGGAGGGGTTGATTTTACATATATATACATGCACTGAAAAAAACCATATTAATTGTATATAAAATCCATATAAACTTAATATAAAATTTTATAATAAAAAAAATATCGGTTATACAAAAAAAAGTTATAGAAATTGAATAAATAACTAATTAGTTAATTAAATGTTAAATACATATGAGATTATTATCATTGTGTTTGAGTAAGTGAGTGAGTGTCAGAGAGAGAGAGAGAGASAGAGAGAGAGAGAGAGAGAGAGAGAGAGAGAGAGAGAGAGAGAGAGAGAGAGAGAGAGAGAGAGAGAGAGAGAGAGAGAGAGAGAGAGAGAGAGAGAGAGAGAGAGAGAGCGAGAGAGAGAGAGACAGAGAGAGAGAGAGAGAGAGAGAGAGAGAGACTGATAATTATTATTATAATTAAAATACAATAAAAATAATTTGTTTAATAATTTTGTTAATTAATTCCTCCAACAAAACAAACACTAACACAACATATATACTGTATATACAGTATATATATATAYAACACATATCATAAATGGGTAAAACAATTATCAAATAACAATAATTTATTTAGAGATAATAACCACTACTATATAACTATACTAAATATAATTAAATACAAAAAATACAAAAAATAAAATTCACTGATTGTGTCCTACATTATGATATTTGCGTACTTTTTTGCTTTTGCCTCCTTTATGGAAAAACTCCAAGAAAGACATCGATGCCATCACTACTAACTGATCCAATGGGTGATCACACTATACCATCGATGATGATGAAGACAATTAATAATATAATAGATTCAGATATTATCAGTCAAACAGTTAATTATATGTATTATTATTGAGGCGCCAATCGCTAGTATATATTAATAGTAGTTATTATTAATTAGACAATTGAATTAATTTGAATAATAATTATTATCATAAATATTATTAACACTTAATGGTATTGTCTATTGATTACTGAGATAACAACCACACAAAACAATGACAACAATACTAATAATAATAATAACAATATTATTATAAATGGCTTTAAAAAAAATTTTTGATGATAAACCTAATCACCAAAAAATATATTGTCAATCAATTGATTGATTGAATAAAATTATTATTTAGTAGTAGTAATAGTAGTAAAACAATGGACAATAAGTATATGGGTTTATATCATATCATTTAAGTTATATAACAACAATAATAATCACTTCTATTAATAATAAAATTAAAATTATTTATTATTAAAATTATTATTTTAAATATCACTTTAGGTTTTTGTTAGTTAGTATTAATAGTAGTAGTGATGACTCATTGCATAACATTAAGTATTTATATATATTGTTTGAATAGTTAGTTATTTTTTGAAGAGCTATTTAAACAAACATTTTTTTTATTATTATTAGTATATTATCACAAAAAATATATAAAAAAAACTTTTATTATTATTATTTATTACACTATAATAATAATGATAATAAATATACCTATGATTTTGCACTTATATTATCAAAAACAATAAATACTTAATTGATTAAACAAATCACTTAATAATAATAATAATACAAAAATATTTATTGAAAACTATATATATATTTAGCGATAATATTGTTGTTATATATTATTAGACAGATTTCTCTCTCAATATATATATATATAAAACTCAATGTTTTTTGTTGTGTTGTTATTGTTGTTGAATAGTATTGAATGCCTTTCACTGTTTGTACGGAACGCATGAATGCATTGTGTGTTTTCCACCAATGAGTCTAAACTGTATATACACTGTGTGTGTATGACATTCAACTAAAAACCAAATGTCAGACAACATGTACTAAACTATTATAGATTAGAGTCGATGTACAGGTTTTCCTCAATAATTGTTATAAAATTTTTGTTTTGTTGTTTACTATTTTTAATGCATTTACTAGACTAGAGTGGTTAAGCTTTTAAATTTTTTTTTAAATTAGTTATTTGGATTGGATTGGGTTGGATAGGATCTACACAGTAATTTAATTTTCTTAAAAAAAAATGTGTTTAATAATTTTGTAATTTTTTTTAATATTTAAATTTTAATACAATAAATATAATTAATCGATAAAATTAAATTATAAATAATATGAGTAGGATAATTTTTAATTAGCAACAACAATAAAAAAATTTAATAATAATAATAAATTATACTTGTAACAATTTTCAAAATAAATCAATAAATTCTATTGTCTAATTTTGTTCATGTATGTAATGATTTTTTTTAAATTTTTATCTAAGTTATTTTCAATAAATTTTAGTAAATTATTTTTAAAAAATATACTAAAATTACTGTTTTATTATAATATAAAAATATTTTTATAATATTTTAATATAATAAATAGTATAACAATATTTTTATAATAATTAATTACCATATAATTTGTTTTAAAAAATATATATATTTTAGTTATCTAGTAAATACATTTTAAAAAAAAATTGTTTTTTAGAATACCCGATAAAAAAAATTATAATCTAGTATTTTGTACAATGTACAAACTTGTTTTATAGTGTAGAACTGTTTTATATAAAAAAAATAAAAATTTAGTGTAGAGGTCTTTTCCAACAATAAATTGAAAGTTTTCCCATAATTTAAAGGTTTTAAATGTTAGTATTTTTTATAAAAAAACTTGTATTTATAAAAAAAAATTATTTATTAATATTCAAAATATATATATAATTATCAGATTGTTTGGAAAAATTTCTATGATTTATAAAAGATTTATAATAATTATTATCAGTTTTTATTATTATTATTGATAATTAATATTTTTATATTTATACATTCATAGCATTTTTATTATATATATATATTTTTATTAAAAAATAACATAAATGTATTGTTAAATTAGATCATATTATTATTATTATTATTATTATTTAATATAATCATATGTTATATATTGTATAATAATTAGATTATTGTTTGTTTGAAAACAAATTATATATATATATACAAAAAAATTATATATTTAAATTATATACAGTACAACGTTTAACATGTTTTTTTATTATTGAAAAATGTTGTTTTTTATATGCATTTAATAAATTTATCAAAAAACAGCTATTTTTAAATAAATAAATAGCAAAAAAAATTGGATGATTTTATCTATAAATTAGATATTTTGAATAAATAAAAACTAGTTTTCAATTTGTAATGTTGACATCAACTTATTATATATATATATATATATTAATAATTAATTATATTTATAATATATTATTTTCGGTCAAATTTTTTTTAATACCCCACTTATATATATATACAACATATTTATTATCTATAGTATATATATTTAGTATAATATACATATATATCTTTATATATAACATTGGCATATTTTATCTAAATTTTTACACTAAAAGTAATTTTTTTAAAATTTAAGTAATATTTATTGATACAATGATTTTATCAACAAATCAAAAATAATCAAATGTTTATCAAAAAAACACTTTATTTATATTAAGACATATAWATGACATTCAATTTAATTAATTTCTAAATAAAAATTATTTCTTTTTTTTTAACAAAAAATAAATATATAAATTAAATTAGAAAATATTACCTTTAACTTTTATAATTATAAATTTTATATCAATTTTTATTATTTTTAGTAGTTTTTCRCAATTTTATCCATTGATTTGACAAATAGATATACTAAACATTAGGTGTATTCAAAGTTAATACTAAAAAWTTTTTTTATGATATTGACACACATTTTATGTTTAACTAAATAATATATATATATATATATATATAAAACTATTTATTTACTTTATATTTATTTTTTTTTTTGTTAAATCATAATGGTTTATATTATCATTAAAATTTTTATTATTTTTTTCAATTAAAAATTAATTAATTATTTACTTAATTACTTCTAACACCTACTAGTAGTTGACAACAACATTGTAAACAATTTTTTGCTTAAATATATTAATTGTTTTTATAAAGTTTATTTAATTATAAATTTATTTATATTTTATTTAAATAACTACATATCTATTTAATTCAAAAAAAAAAATTCAAGTGCATGTTAATTGTTTATTTAATTAATAATTAATTAATTCATAAAAAAATGTTTTTAAAATTAAAACTTTTAATCAATAACTATTAATCGATTAGTTATTAAGTAATTTTAAAAAATAAAATAAACAAATATTTTTTTCACATAAAATTTTTTTTTTTATCATTTAGTAATAATTATAATTATTAATAAATTAATACCAATTAAAGTGATGATACCATTGAATAAATAACCTAAAAATAATTTTATTATTAGTCAATTGGTTGCATCATAATAGTGAAAGTGTAATACATTATATTTATATAACATTTTACTGGTATAATACCAAACATAAAACAYACACATATTTTTTTGTACGTCAATACTGTACAACACAAACATAACATAACATTATTATTATTATTACATTAGTATATCATATGATTTAGTTTTGAAATACATTTTCTAAATATAACAACAATTATAATCACTTAAACAACACAAACAAACAACAAAACAAAAAACAACAAAAACTTTTCAATAGTTTTTTTTTAATCAAATGTATTGATGATATCGACAATAATAATAATAATAATAACGACAACAACAATAAAAACCTACGGATATTACTGATCGGTATATTATTATTACAATTATTATATGATATAAACATATTGTTATATAATTTCAATTATAATAAATATTTTTTGGTTTAAAAAAACAACAAAAAAAAAGTTTTAAGACATATGTTTGACAAAAACCGTTTGATATATCATTGATATATAGGATATACTAATCAACCAATCAATCAATTGGTGGTCAACCGCAACAACCGTAACAACAATGTGGTCACTACTACCCGAACCGTTGTTGTTGGAAATATTCAAACATTTAACGGTCGATCAGATGCTAAACGTATTGTTGGTTTGCCGCCAGTGGTCACGGGTCGGATCGGATGACTTACTGTGGAAACACTTTTTCTATCGGCGTTTCGATTCAATTGACCGCAGCGTTAGTTTGCCGATCGGATCGCTGGGCTATCGGTACGAATGTCGGCGACTAATATATCATACGCCAAAGGTATTTTGATTGATTGGCTTGGATTGATTGATTGACCCGATAACGGGTCAATCAATTGGTTGGTTGTGGTGATGGTGGCCAGTATTAAAAGTGTGGTCAAACAGATAGCGTATGCATGTATGGGATAGTAATCGTGTTAATAGACAGGTAATCGGTAATAGACACCTAATCGGTAATAGACAGGTAATCGGTAATAGACACCTAATCGGTAATAGACAGGTAATCGGTAATAGACACCTAATCAGTAATAGACAGGTAATCGGTAATAGACTGGTAATCGGGTTATAGACAGGTAATCGGTTAATAGATAGGTAATCAAGTGTTAGTTAAAATATAAAATAATATTAAACTACTTAACATTATTGTAATTAATTATTTTTTTTGATTAATTATAAAAACTAACTAGATGATTAGTCAAACTATACTATGTCGATGCTATTATCAATAGTTAATTTTACAATTAATCAAAAATATCAAAAAAATAATAATCAATTAATGTTAAGTAGTTTATAATATTATCTACAATTATGATCTTGGTCATTTTTTATATTACCGGTAAATTGAATGTATGGTTTACCAGAATATTTAATATTTTATCTAATACTCAATTATCTGTCTATTAACCCAATTACCTATCTATTACCGATTACCTGTCTATTAACCCGATTACTATCCCATACATGCGTAACGCTATCTGTTTGACCAAACTTTGTGTACATACTGGTGGTAGTGGTGGTGACCATTGAACATGATTTATAACTATAAATTTACCGAAAATTTTTTTTACCGATTATTTATATATAGTTTGAAAGCGAAACACTTGAGGCGCACGACCATCAAGTATTGCACGTGTCGTTCGCCCATAGCGGCCGAATGTTCAGTTCGTGCTCGAAGGACGGCTTCGTAATGGTCTGGACAACCGAATCGTGGCCAACACGACTGAAATATTCGGCCGACATGAAAGACTATTCGTGGTCGTACACACAGTTTTCGCAATTCAATCAGGACGACAGTCTGCTATTGGTTTCGGGCGTACACTTTGGTCCGCATACGGCCAGCGGCGAAATTGCTGTCTTCAATCTAGGGGCCGACAATTTTCAACTACAATGTCGTGTCCTGAACAAGCCGTACGATGTATTCGGTACGTGGTATACAAATGACTATTTGATATCAAGTCGTTTGCATTTTTTGGGTAATCTGGTCTCGTGTTCGGCACTCTGGCTGAACAAGGCCTGTCAGGAAACGGAATCCGAGAGGAAGCCAATCATCAAACGGTTGTTCAAGTTTTACAACAAAAATGCCAGTTCTGTACGATCGGTATTAGTAGCCGATTGTATTGCCGACGACGACGGCGGTGGTGGTCAGGGATCAGCAGCCAAAGCTGAAGACGAGGACAACTGCTCAAGTAATTGTTGTTCAAGAGGTGGTGGTCAAAGTCACCACAATCACCAGTGTATGGGTAGCGCACATCGCGGTAATCCAGTGTCCAGTTTGGGTACTAATCGACTGCTGAAGTCACTCCAGACGCCGCCGAACTATAGCCATCGTATCGACTATTTTGGTGCCGATTCTAACATTTCCTGTACTAACGAAAGTCCTATTCGCTATAATGCCGAATACCATCGATGTCAACAACACCAACAACAACAGCATCATCATCAACAACAACAACAGCTACAGACAAACCAAAGACACGGTGATAGTAGTTTGAGCCGAACCATTAGCAACGACTCGGATGGTTCAACTAATAGCGATTTCGATGATCCGCCCTTACCTTGGGATGAAGATTGGCTTAAATTGAGTGATGACGACAACAACGAAGCCGATGACGATGAGGAGGAGGAAGAGGAAGAGTTCGCTACTGATGGCAACGGCGGCGGCGGCGGCGGCAACAGTCGTAAAGTTAACAGAAATAATAATAATATACAGAAAACTAGTCAAACAAATGGTTTAAAATCAAACAAAACTCAATCTATGGATTCGTCGTCTAGAGCCGTCGGCGGTGGTGGTCAATCATCACATTATGGACACAACAACAACAACTACACCAAACAGCCGCCAAATAATAGCCGATTGTTGTGCAATACGGATAAGCTATTGATATTTACGTGCGGTTCCCAGACATATGCACCCCATCAGATCGGTATCAAACGTATTAAGCCGATCAAGTTTGACGAGTATGTCATGGAAACGGCCACTCTATCGAAACGGCTAGAGGAACGTCGTCAGGAACAGGAACTACAGGCATTAGTTCCGTCGCCCAATTGGCTGGAAGAGCAATCGGTGGCCCATTATTTCGATTCAATCGATCACGTTATCGATCTGAAAGGCCATATCATTGGCATGGGTTTGAGTCCCGATCACCGGTATCTGTACGTAAACTCCAGATCGTGGCCGGTGAATGCCAATGTCGATAATCCATTGGAACCGCCGCCGATTGCCCAACAAATCGATATACATGTCTACGATTTGAGGACATTCAAAAAAGTCGGTAACATGTTTCGGTCGCATCGGGCCTACACGCCGAACGACGAATGTTTTTTCATCTTTCTGGACGTTAGCGACCAGTTTGTGGCCTCTGGTGCCGAAGATAATCAAGGTTATATATGGGACAGACACTATGGGCTGTGTTTGGCCCGATTGCCCCACAAAGATGTTGTCAATTCGGTAGCCTTTAATCCACGTAATCCCGAAATGGTTGTCACCGCCAGCGACGACAAGACATTGAAAGTTTGGCGTTCAAGCAATCAAATGAAACTCATATCATAATAGTGTTGTCAAAAAAAAAAAATTTGCAAATTTTATTTTTGCTTAAAAAATAGTTATTTATTGTTTTATTTGTTAATAATTTTTCAATTTATTTTTCTATAAAAAAACAAAAATACCCGAATATTCACTAATAGATTTCAACTTATATTTGTTTTATATGTGAATAATAATAATAATAATAATTAAACAAAAATTGTTTAAATACTGTAAATATTATTACAGATACTTTAAATTGTGAAAATTTTTTGTTATTAATTTGGTTTTTTTATTTAAATATTACCGTATATTTATTGCATAATTTATTTTTGTATTATTTTGTTTTGTTTTTTGTTTCAACAAAAAAAACCAAATGGGATTTATAATATTGTATTTTTTTAAAATATATATTTATTATTACCGTAATATATAAACTTTTAAGCATAATAATAATAATAATAATAATAATACAGTAGTATTAGTAGTAGTAGTAATAATATTATATAATAATATTTTTAACGGACATTTTAATGTTATTATCAAAAAAAAAATTATATCTATTTTTTGATACTAAAATAAAGTGTGATGATGATGATAAAATAGTTAATATATATATATATATATATTTATTAATTATATAATTAATAAATATAATTTTTATATTACATAATACTGTAATAATAAGCATATGTCTATTTTTTATACATTTTATTAATCAAAAAAATTATTATTATTATTATTGTTAATAATGTAATATTATTATACAGGTATTAATATTAACAATTTGATTTTTTAAAGTTAAATAATAATTATAAATTGTTAATTGTAAAAAAATTAATTGTTTGTTTTAAAAAAAAATATTACATTATCTGAATGTTAAATTTGTAAATTAAAATAATTTTTTAATTATATAATATTATATATATATTTTTATAATATAAAAAAATTAAAAAAAATGTTAAATATGGCTAATTTTTGCTGGCTAAAATTATTATACTATTAAATAATAATACTAATAAATTGTATGTTAATATTTATTACGGTAATTATGATATATATATTTTTAAATAAGATATCAAACATTTGTATAAATAATAAAATTATTGTTATTATTGTTATCCTAATGTATTTTAATAGGTAAACAAAATTATTATTTTTTTTAAAAAAATGTTAAAATGATTTATTTATTTTTTTAGTTAAAAATGTTTTGAAAATTTTTAATATAATTTAATATTTATCTATTATTTTCTTCTTCATCATCTAATAACCCATAGATCCAAGTCTTTGAATGTCCAATCGTCTTCATCGATGGGTATATGTTGTTCATCGGGTAGACCAGTATTTTCTGCCAACTCCTCTTCGGTCGACACATATTTCTGCCGACTATTGGTGTCCATTGTTTTCAGTTCTGGTTTTCTTCTATTTTCAGACTGTTTTAACGGATCAGTTGTCTTATCGTTATTATTATTATTATTATTTGATGAATACTTTTGATATGTCTTAGTCATCGTCATCATCGGTGTCATCATTGGTTGTCTTTTAAAATTATTATTATTTTTACTACTATTGTTTGGACCAATACTACTAGTGGTTGAAAACTTTATCAATTGATTATCATTGCTATCATTATCCTTATAATTGTTTAAACCTAACCCCTGTTGTTGTTGTCGATGATTATGAATAGCTTTAAACTTAGTCCTATTAACAAGTTTTATACTATTATTATTAGTATTACTATAATCTTTATTATTATTATTTTTATGATAATTGTTAGGAAAGTTATTATTATTATTATTGTTTGATGTTTCAAACAATTTTTTAAATCTGTTAACATTTAGCCGATTCCAATGGTTTCTATTGAAAATATTATTATTATTATTATTATCATTATTATAGTCGATAATTGTGTCATCGATTTGATGGCTACCAGAAAACAAGTTGCTGTTACTCTTCAATGATTGTGACCTTAAAAAAATCAAACCATAAGATATTCATTACTTATATATATATATATTACATAATAATAATTTTAAAAATTACATATAATTTACAGTATAGTATATAGTAATAGTTAGTGTCATCAAACTAATTAACATAGGTTATATAATTAAATTATACACCAAAAAAATAATAATTATGCTAATATTTTTGACTGATGTTATTGACTTTACTGTATATTATATATAGAGGTATATGACTTTTAATTTTGTTTTTTTAAAAAACTTAAAAACTAATAAATAAAATTAGCAAAAGTTATTACTTTTTTTTTAAAAAAAAAGTTAAATATCATAATAAAATTTTTGTTGTTGTTGTTTCATAATTATTGGCAATAAAATAATAGCTAAATAAATAATTAATTTAATATAATTAATAATATCGTAAAATACCTATTATTTTATTTGCAATAATTATGAAAACAAAATTAAATGCAACAAAAATATTTATTATGATATTTAACTTTTATTTTTTTTGTAGTAATAACTAAATATTAAATTAAAATTAAATTTATAGAGTGTAAAAATAATGGTATGCTATTTAACTTTTTTTTTATTGATAGTATAATGTAATATAAAAATTATGTGAAAGTATTATTATTATTATAAACAAACATTTTTAAACAGCAATTTTAATTATACTAATTAACCTTTTAGAAATGTTTTATTTTACCTATTAATACAAATACCTAATATATATACTGTATATATATATTAGTTTAGTAATACAAAAACAATATTAGCATATAAATGCTATCATTTAAAATACGTGAATTTAATATTATTAGTTTATTATAACTATTAATATTATGTGTATGTGTGTATGTGTATGTGTGTGTATATTAGAGGTAGGCATAAGAGGCAAGTTATGGATATAATTACTTACATTATATGTACAGTATAAGTAAATTTTATGTATACAAAATTTGAATTTTAAAAGACAATACAAATTATAACTATTACTATTACTATTACTATTACTATTACTATTACTATTACTATTACTATTACTATTACTATTACTATTACTATTACTATTACTATTACTATTACTATTACTATTTATATTACTATTTATATTACTATTTATTATAAGTTCAAACATCATATGATATTAATTTAAGATTTATTTTGTATGTGTTATTTTATATAAAATATTTGTATATATATTAATCCATTTATCTGTATTTATTTAATTAAGTATTTATATGTTTATCGCCTCCAAACGCCTAGCCCTAGTGTATATATGTGTATGTGTGTGCATGTGTGTGTRTGTGTGTGTGTATATGTATATGTGTATGTATTTGTGTATGTATATGTGTATGTATGTGTGTATGTATGTGTGTATGTATGTGTGTGTATGTATGTGTGTATGTATGATATGAATGTGTGTGTGTGTGTGTGTTGTATTTAAATTCAAATAATAGCTAATTGCAAATAATTTTATTGTGTATTATATTAGTGTTATTTTTATATTAAAAATACACAATTCAACAAATAAATCCTCAAATTTATGTATACCTATAAATTATACAGTTTATATATATTTTAAAAAAATAATTACAATATATTTTTTTATAATACTAAATAAAAATATATTTTAAATCTACATTTTCTAAAATAAACTATATTCTATACAAAAATTTATTTTTATTTATTTTGTTGGTTACATTGTATTGTATAAATAAAATTTATCGTAATATAAATATAACAAAATTTTTGTGATCCAGCTAAAATTAGAAATATTATTTACTAACTAATAGATAAATATTTATTTAACTAATTTAAAAAAACCTACATATTTTATTTTTTTTAATACATAACATAATCTATTAAATACATTATATATTTGTTTTATACTACAAATATTATACTGTATTTTTTCGTATTATATTATTAATAGCCTTAATATACTGTATTATATATATATAATCGAAAAATAGTTAATTGTCTTAAACTAATTAATTATTATAAAAACAAGATAATTAAAATTATTTAAGTATCTAACCGGTGTATAATTTATAATATTAAAAAAAATATAATTTATTTAATGCTATTTACCTGTCATTAATAGCATCTTTTACGTAAACAGGTATCACTTCCATGGGATAGACAATTGGTTTGATTATAGACTCATCCATATGTATTGATTGGATTAGCATTGAATCCAATGGATTATCTATTAGATAGGGTAGTAGTGGTGGCGATGGTGGTGGTGGTGGTGGCGGCTGTTGTAATAGATAGGACAGTCGTGTCTCATGTGTTATTATTGGTGTCGACGATAGTGTCATCAGTGGATCAAATTGATGGTTATAATCATGATGATGGTGGTTAGTATTAGTTGATGATGCTATTAGTTTATCACTTGTTATTAACATATTATTATCCTTATTGATGACGGCTTTTGGTGCCGATGATGATGATGCTAACATTGGCTTATCATTATTATTATTATTATCACCAGTAGTTGATCCCAACACATGTTTTTTGCCTAATAGTTGTTGGTTTGGTTGGGTTTGTTGTTCAGGTGATGGCAAATGAATCTTTAAATTTATAGATTAATTAGTTAATTATTTAAATTTAAAATTAAATTAATATTTTATTTACAGTATATATATATATATATATATATATATATTGTATTTAATAATAGTTTAATAGTATTTAATATAATTATCAATTCAATTAGTTTTATTTATGTAATAAAAAAAATTAATTATATTAATCTTAAATTGTATGTAAAAATTAATAAATAAATAAAATAATTATTTTATAAATTATATTAAGTTTTATTAAGTAACTATTATTGATTAAATTAAATATATTTATAGTTAATTAAAAATATTTATATATATTTATTAATTGTTAATTAAAAATATTTATATATATTAATTGTTTAATAAAAAATATTTATATTTATTAATATTTAATTAAATTTTTAACAAAATAGTTTATAATTTTTTTTTATACAATACATACCGGCAATGGTAGAGGAAATAGTGTATAAATAAGTGGCGCCTGACGTGCATACAGTTCCCGACTAGTGTCGGGTCGGCCGCCGCCGCCGTCGATATAATGTATGCGAAAATCTTTATGTAGATGTTTGACATTTTTATTATTATTATTATTATTAAATTTTTTATTATTATTATTATTATTGCTATTAAATGTTTTTTCAAATATATTTTTCAAAGTAAAATCACGTTTTTTCGGTTCGCATACTTTCACTGTTAGTATTAGTACTAGTGATCCGATAATTAATAATAAAAAACTTAAAACTTTTATCGTATAAATCATATCGCAGTAAACAATTGTTTTCCTATCGATGGACATAATATTTTTGAGACATAAATTTTTTCGGAGTATATATACTATAATATATAAACTATATTTTAATTGTTTTTCAATGAAAAATAACATTTATATGTTGTTTAACACTAGACATCATATGTATTATAGTAATGATATAACTTTTTAAACAGTGAAAATCAATGATTACTTTTTCAACAACAAAAATAAAATGTGATAACAAACTAAATGATAGGTTTTTTTTTCTCTCAATATATGATATTCAACTAACTTTAACAATGATATTATTATTAAAACACAAATGCATAGCTAATTAAGTAAATATATATTAAATATACTTTATATCTATATATATATTTAAATACTACTTAAACCAACAACAACAACAACAAAAATACATAAATAAATATTTAATTGTTTTTTTGTGTTTCATTTTTGTTTCAATTGTTTGTCTTCAATATATATATATATATATATATATATGTATAACACATATAAATATTTTATTTGACGATACGATACGCTTAAATGATTTGTTTTGTTATTGATTAATTTTGTTGTCTTTATTTTATTTTTTTCATTGCATCAATTGTTACCATTATTTAAATTACTTTATAAGTAAAATCACACTTTTTTCTCTCTCTCTCTCTTTACTAAAAATATATATCCATTATATTACTAATTCAATAATTTCAATATTGACTTAATTTTTATGAAAGAGAGAGAGAGCAAAAAAAGTGTTACACTTTTATTATTAGTATTATTAGTATAATATAATAATTATATATTGTGTGTATGTTTATTGTAAGTGAAAAAATCACATTAACTTTTCAAAATATATATACAGTACTATTATATAGTATATATATATTACTACAGTATATATATAGATATATTTATACCTATAATCATATTAACTAAAAAGCAATTTTTGTGCTAATTTTCATAATCAATGTTAAGAAAATTTAAAAAAAATTCAATTTCAATGAAAAAGTTGGTATATTTTTTTACATAAACATAATAACACTTTATTTTTAAAATTGAAGGCTTTTAACTATAGTAAATGTTAGTCATACTAAAAGCTAGTTTTTAAAAATACAATTAATTTAATTTTTACATAAATTAATTTTTGTTAAAAATAATTGAATTTGCAACTAAATCATTTAAATAAAATAAAATATTAATCAATAATAATAGAAATTATATCGTAGTATAAAAATATTTTTAATATTTCTAAATATTGATAAATTTATATACAATAATGTAATAAAATTGATAATAAAATCTATTATTTTTTAAAAAATGTATTTAATTAGATTAAAAATATTTTTGCATAATAATTACTAATAATTTTTTTGAATAATAACATTGAAAAAATATAATTATATTATAAATAAAATACAAAATAAAATAAAATAATTATTTTAGAAATTGAAATTCTAAGTAAACTTTTAATGTCTAAATAAATTAGATTATAAAAATTATTTTATATTTAATACATTTATTTTATTTTTATATAACTTATTGTTTAATACTACTATTAATAAAGTATATTATAAATGTATATAAAATAAAAATGTGTTTAAAATATTAATTTTGTTGTATTAAAATTTTTTGCATATTTTCTATAGAGAATCAACTATTTATTTATAATAATCATAATATTTTGTGATTAAATACAAATATACTGTATATATATATAGATATATTTATTAAAACGATTAATATATTAATTATTATTATTAATAATTAATTAATTAATATCAGCTACAATAATAGCATCATCTTTGATCTCATTATCCAATTTGATATCACTATCATTATTATTAGTAGTTAATTGTTTGATAAGTTTTAGTGCAGATAAATCTATATATTTAAAAATAACAAACAAACAATATCTCAATAATTTAATAACTAATCAAAAAAATTATTATAATTACCAAAACAATTGGGTTCACTGCCAATCCATTGGCCATTTTTGCCGCAAACATGACGGCTGTCGCCTAACAATACTTGGGTCAGTCTACTGGAGCACTGATACGAAACGGTAGTTCCTTCGATGGCATACCATTGAGTATTGTTATAGTAGTAGACGTCATCGAAACGGACTATTTTGTAGACAGGATTCATGTTGTTGTTGTTGAGCACCAGTAGATCGTGAACGGGACATACGGTTCGGGGTATACATTCCGGATACGTACCTTTCCATCGCATATCAGTACTACAGTAACGCTTATGTATTGTTGTGTCTATTTTATTATATATATATATAAATTATATATCATATACAGTATGTTTGGTTATTAAGTATAAAACAAATTAAACAGTTTTATTAAATAACAAACATTTTTTAGGTATTAGTAAACTTAATGTAAATTTTTTCAACAACAAAAAACCCAATTATAAAAATTATAACTAAAAGTAAAATAATTATTTACAATATTTACAAAAATTGGTCTAGTTCATTAAACTAATAGTTTATTATTATAATTATAATTATTATTATATTTTTTTCAACTAAATTTTTTAAGTAATTTTAGATTAATGTTTAGATAATACTGTATACAGTATAATACACTAATAATTATAATACATTTAAAAAAAATTAATTTTAAAAATTAAAAAATCTATAAATACCGGGTAAGTCGGGATTATCTTTGGATACATAATCCCAATTGTTGTTGCAATCAATTGAATAGTTTATATTCATAGTCAATGGTCTAACCATTTGTCCTAAACGTTGTTCCGGTTCACCGCAAATAAATTGCTGTCCATTTTTATCCTCATCATCATCATCATTGACTTTATATGAATAGGACTGTCCCAATAGTATCATAATTAGCTTATAGGATACGGATGGAGAAGCACTGGTCACTAATACTATCTGTTTGGGTCCCATATTCATGATATCCATGTCAACCATAGCCATAGGGGAGTTGGTCTGACATTCAAAGTTAAGCTCGACTTTGGTTCCCCGACGCCACAACTTTTTCTGGTCAGGTTTGAACACATGACGACAAGTCCTCCGAGACTGACTACCACCGACACCGACACTGACATTCAAGACATTAAAATCAATAGCTAATGCCTCCGTAACCGATACGTTCAGCAAATGAAAGTTAATCCTAAAGAATGGTAACTCAGCTAATGGTTGTTCAAATCCCAGTGTCCAACGTATTGGCCGATCGGCCGCGGCTGTTATCGGCGGCGATGCCGACGGTAACGGTTGGACAATGAATTTTGTTTCGCAACGACTCGATAGGAAAGAGTTGGCAAACTTATAGTTTGCACTTAGGGTCACATTTTCGTCAAACAATACTACCGGTGCTGATGTTGATGATGATATGTCCTCGACTTTAACGTAATTCAAATCATTGTTTAAAGCAGTCTTACCTATAGTTTAATAAAATAAAAATCAATAAATTTTTTTTTGGTATGATTTTTATCATTAATTAATTAATTTTTTGAGACCACAAGTAAACGGGTGTCCAATCCATTGGCCTCTAACACAACGTTTGGTTTGCATATAATTCCAGTATTGATTGCACTGATAGCCGACTTCATCGCCCTCGCGATAGTAGTCTCTGACGGGAATCAATCGGGACTCGAATGGCCGTTCGGGTCGTCCGCACAAACCGTTTACATCATAATCAGCGGCGGCGGCGGCGGTGTCGGCGGCGGCTATTACTACAGTAATTGCTAACAAATTTATTGATAATAATAGCGACAAAACAACTTTCATAACTATGATATTCATTGCAAATCAAAAACAACTATTCAATACTAAACTTTAAATCTCAATAAACTCATCAACTTTTTTATAATTTATATTAATTTATATTATTATTATTAAAGGATGTCAACCAACTAAATAACATCCTCTCTCTCTCTCTCTCTCTCTCTCTCTCTCTCTCTCTCTCTCTCTCATTAAACCTCTAATCATTATAATATTATAATTATATGTAACAATTTTTTTATGATTATTATTATTATCGATAAATCATTAATTAATTAATAAATTATTATGTTTATCATTATACTGTATATAAATATATATTTTTATTTCGCAAATTTCATATAATAAATAATATTTAGATATAATTAAAAATAATTGGCATTTAATTATGATATTTAGTGTATATTCATATTTACAATATGATACAGTTAAAAAAATATATATCAATTTATAATATTTATTATTATTAGTAAATATTGTTTCAATTTTAAAAAAAAGTTAATTTTTTATTTATGTAATTTTTTTTATATTGAATCAAAAAAATTACTAACTTGTCAACCAATGTCAATAAATATCAGTTATTTTTATTGTTTCAATTTTTTTTGTTGATTAATTGTTTTTATTTATTTATTATCATCATCATTGTCATCATAAATATTATATATTAATAGATAATATATATACCTGTATAAATATATATAAATATATATATATATTAATTTACAGGTATTTATAAGTCAATAAACTTTTTATTTATTAAACAATGAACTTTTGAAAGATTACATTTTTTAGTTAGTAAACAATAAAATTATAAAAATATAATAATTATTGTTTTAATAATAATAATAATAATAATATTTAGTGATTTATATAATAATAATGACTTGTATTTATTTATTTAGATTTTTTAATTAAATAAAATGTACCTATTTAATAAAATTGAATTTTTAATCAATATACAGTGTTATATATATATTATTACTTATAGTACTTTTAACAACAAAAAATATAATGTGTAATTTAAAATTATATAAATATATTTTTTTTTGAAAATATTATTATTATAATTAATATTATCAATAAAATATTATTATGCTCATGGTTAGTTAATTAATTATTTGTTTGAATTTTTAAAATTTTTTGGTTTGTTTGATAGCATGACTGAAACAAAATTCAGATATTGTAATAATAATATTATTACAATATATTTTTAATTAATTTTTTGTTTAAAAATTCATAATAATAAGTAAAAACTAAATTATAAAAAAATAATGATTATTTAATATAATAATAAAATAATTATATAATTATCAGTTAGTATTTTAAGGATGAATAAAATTATATATCAATTAAATGTTGATTTTTATATTTATATTTTATTATTTTAAAAACTTTTTATTATTATATATAAATAAATTAGTAATACTTTAGACATTTATCTTGTAATCAGATATAAAAATAGTTATTTTTATCCACAAAAAAAAATATCTAACATTTTATCAAAAAAAAAGTAATTAAATTATGACTCAACAATGCAATAGTAGTTTTTTTGTAACAAAATATTTTTTATTTATTATAATTTATAAATTAATTTTACAAAAAGTGACACATATTTTCAATTTATAATAATTTAAACAAATATGTATACATATCTCTCTCTCTCTCTCTCTCTCTCTCTCTCTCTCTCTCTCTCTCTCTCTCTCTCTCTAATAAACAAGGTATTATAAAATTATACATAAATTAATTTTACTAAAAAAATAATAATTTAATATATATTGATTCAAAAATTATAATATTCATTACTTTATTATTAATAAAAATAATATATATATTTACAGTATATTAGTAGCAGTAAGTAGTCAATGGCCGACACATTTATGGTTTATTGCATTATACTGTACAGTACAGTCTGTACTTTATGTGGCAATAGTTTATGTGTGTGTGTGTGTGTGTGTGTGTGTGTGTGTGTGTGTGTGTATGTGTATGTGTATGTGTATGTGTATGTGTATGTGTATGTGTATGTTTTTGTATGTATTTATGTGTGTGTATGTATGTGTGTGTGTTTGTGTTTGTGTGTGTGTGTGTGTGTGTGTGTGTGTGTATGTATATGTTTTTGTATGTATTTATATGTGTGTATATATGTATGTGTGTGTGTGTGTGTATGTGTGTGTGTATGTGTGTGTGTGTGTGTGTGTGTGTGTGTGTGTGTGTGTGTGTGTGTGTGTGTGTGTGTGTGTGTGTATGTGTGTATGTGTGTATGTGTGTATGTGTGTATGTGTGTATGTGTGTATGTGTGTATGTGTGTATGTGTGTGTGTGTGTGTGTGTTGACTACATAGTAATACTAATACACTAGAGTATAGTCAACTATAAATGGATTGAACAAAAAATAATAAAACCAATAGTCAGGGGAACCAAACCGTATGTATAATACTACTACTAATAATAATAATAATCAATTAATTAATAATTAACTGATTTTTTAAACGCTTAAAATTTAAAATTTAAAAAAATAGTTAAATTATATACAATTATTATTTATAAAAATAAAATACAAAAATTTTGTTGTTATTTTATATATATATAACAATAACCAAACCGTTGTTAACCAATAGTCTCTAGTATTATGTGTAGAGAGAGAGAGAGAGTGAGACATACTGTATGTCACAAACATTGATAGTATAATAATACAAACCAATTGATTATACATTATATATATATATCTGTTATTACTTGTAATAATAATAATAATAAATCCATTGTTTTTTTGAAAAAAAAATAAAGTCAATTAATTCAGTGATTTAAGTGATATTTCAAAAAAAAAAAAATAAATTAAACAATAATTTAAAGTGTTTTTCATTTTAAACCAAAAAATATGTCACAAATAGACAACAATCCTATGAGACGCCTATCGTAAGTATACTTAGTATTATTGAAACCCATATTTTTTTTATTAATTATTAATTATAATTAACTAAATTATTATTAACTATTACTATTATTATTACCTACCTGTTCACCCCTCCCCCTCCCAGGGCTACGGGCGACACGTTGTACATTATATTGGGAGTACCCAAGACTGCCACCCAGGATGACATCAAAAAGACTTATAGACGAGTAATATATATATAGACATTAAAATTAATTTAATTAATTAAATTTAATTAGTCATACATTTAATTATAATTATCACATATATATATATATCACCTTGATTATATTACACACACACACACACAAATGTTCTAGGTACAATCATATACTATAGATTATGATTACCGGTAATTATAATTACTGTAATATAGATTTTATTAATTGTTAGTTAAAAATTTAATTAATCAATCAATCAATGATATATATATATATATATTGACAACAAAAAATACCTTGATCAAATTGATATATACATATATATACTATCTATCAAATTTATATATATATACTATTATATATGTATATATAGTATAATTGTTTAAACTGGACACATTTATTATTATAATAATATTATTATTATTTTTAATTACCCCGGTTAGATATACTACCTAGATAACTGTATTTATTTATTTATTTATCACTAAATAGTTAAGTATGTTTTGTAAAATTATATATATATATTTTTGCCGGTAAATTAACTCCCACTATGTGTATCCTAATAATATAATATATCAATTTGATCAAGGTATTTTTAGTTGTTATTGTTGATGATTTTGCTATTTGTGTGTTTTATTTATTTTATTACATCACTTATTATGTGATTACAGTATTTTTTAGCAATACTATTGTTATTTTAAAAAAATAAATAAATTATTTATTTATTTATAAATATATAAATTAAATATTTATTATTATTATTATTTAATGAGCTTTTAGAGTGAGATTTAGCTAATCATTGTATGATTTATATATAAAAAAATTTTTTTTGACACATCCGTATAAATTTAATAAACAATTATAAGATTATTAAAATATTTTTTTACCGTAAATAGGCATCTCTTAAATTATAAAAAAATTAACGAAAAAATAATAATTATAATTAAGTAGTAATATATTTATAATTAATTAATTAATTAAATATAAAATCAAATTTGTTAAAAAATAAATTAAATATAGTGTATATATTAGACCGATAAAATTTTTAAATCAAAAAAATATCTAATATACCGGTAATAAATTAATTTTAATTTTAAATATTGATTATATAATTAATTAATTTTATTTATTTATTTATAATTAAAAACAGTTAGCCTTACGCTACCATCCGGACAAAAACCCGAATAACGTTGAGGCCGGCGAAAAGTTTCGTGATATCAATAGAGCCCACTCTATACTATCGGATCAAACCAAACGAAATATTTACGATAATTACGGCTCACTTGGCCTCTATATAGCCGAACAATTTGGCGAAGAAAATGTCAACACATACTTTGTATTGACCAGCGGCTGGTGTAAAGCCATCTTCTTGTGTACGGCTGTTGTCACCTGTTGTTACTGTTGCTGTTGTCTGTGCTGTTGTTTTAACTTTTGTTGCGGCAAATGTCGACCAAAACATCCCGAAGGCGATTACGCACCCGATTTGGTCAGTAATATTTGTTTGTGTAATCAATCAATCAATCGATCGATTGGTATAATTATCGGTAAATTTTTTTTTATTAATCAATTTTTTTGTTTTTTAAATCAATCATAAATAGGAAGCCGAAGATGAGGACACATCTGAGTTGAAAAAGGTTTTTAATAATAATAATAATAATAATAATATCCTATTTGTGTCAATAATTTTTTTGATTTTTGTTTTTTAAAAATTATCGGTAAAGCAGAATGAATGGGGAGAAGAGCTATCAAACAATGCTAAGACCACTACCACCTCTGCCGCCACCACCGCTGCTACCGCTGGTCATACATCATCGGCAACAACTGCTGTACCGGTCACTAGTCAACCAATCGGTGCGCACGCCAGCGATCCATGGGCCGACAGACAGTCAATACCGATAGCTATGCCACCGCCACCGTCGGCAGCTGGTGGCGACCCGTGGGCGGCAACCGAGACCACTGGTCTTAAAGATACTCATCACTCGACATATAATTCTTAGGATTTTTTTTTTGCTTCGTTCTCGTTGTTGTTAAACAAACAAAAAGCAAAACAAACAAATAGTTGATTAAAAAACTATTATTAATTATTATTATTATTATTATATATCATATTAATAATAATAATAATTATTATTATTATTATTATTCCATTTTATCAATATAAATATATATACCGTAAATGATTGATATTTATTAAGTGATTTAATTAATTCAATTAATTAATAATTTTGGGCTTTAAAGTTATTATTATTATTAATAATAATAATAATTAATTAAAAAAAATAAGTCGAGTCATTAAATAATATTACCATTGATTTAATCAATCACTTAAATTATTTAATCACTTTTTCAACAAACAAACAAACAAAAAATAAATTATTATAATTATAATAACAACACATTTAATGTCGCATTAATTCATAATGTTTGATATTGATTATTAAAATCAAAAAAACAATAATTTTATTCAATTCAATACTACAATTATTGATATTATAATTATATATCATTTTTGTTATAAAAAAAATTAAACAATATATTTAAAAATTAAATATATATCTAAATTAATTTTTTTTTTTTTAAATAATAATCAAACATCATTTAAGTGTTAYGGTAAATATTATTAATTTTTTTATATATATATAAATATTATTTTAATTTATTATTATTATTATTAAATAATTGTTTGTTTTTTTGTTGATTCATTCAAAAAATTTTWAAAAAAAAACTTTTGTGAATATCATATATTATATTCTGTACTGTATTTTTAGGTCTAAATATATCAATTTTTTTCATTATTTAATAATAATGTATTGATATGATAATGATTATTGAAAAAAATTATTGAAATTATTTACATATGAAATGTGAATGTTTTATATATATATTATGTATATTAAAATAATATATTGATATTATTGTTTTATTTTTAGTTATTATAATAAATTTATTAGTTTTGTAATAATTAATTTATTAAAAAATAAATATTAATAATAATAACTTTTCGAATAAATCAATATTATTAAATAATTAAATTAATTATAATTTTATATTTATTTAGTTAAATTTCATAATATTATTATAAATATATTTATATCATATAAACACTACATATTTCTCTATCAATATATGATTAAAAAAAAAATTATTTACACAAATTTAATATTACAATATTATTATTATTTTTAAATTGCTAATTAAATGTTATTATTACATACATATAATATATATTATAAATATATATTTGTTATATTTAAAATTAAATTTTAAAAAACAAACAAAAAATTCAATCCAAAAAAGAAAGAGAGTTCAATATTATTATTATTATTATTAAATATATAATACATTATTAAATTAAATTACTTAATTAATTAATCATCATCATCAATTTATTATCCAACCAAACAAACAAAAATAATAATAATAACAAATATTAAATATGACCGCGATAATTTTTGTTTTGTTGTATGAAAATTGTTTGTCTTAATAAATTGCGAGAAACAAACAATATATATATATATATAWATATATAATATATTTTTTAATAAACAAAACAAAAATATTTCAATTAATTTCCAAAAGTGTATATTAAAAAAAAAATAGAAAAAAATTATTTTTTCAATTTTTTTTTATACACCAAATGATGGGTCGGCGTTGAGAGCATAGATTGCATCGAACCTGTCGTTGACATCGGGTTTCCGTAGAGTGGGTGCGCCACTGATGGACGTCAACGTCGTGGGGGTCAGTGTTGGCATTATTGTCGTTGTTGTTGTTGTTGTCGATTCGCTGTCGGAAGCGCTCGAAGACTTATTACTGTCGCCACCGCCACCGCTAACCGTATACGTCGGWCGCGACGATATCAGTTCCAACGGTGACATTATTGGCGGCGGCGATGGAGGCATAAGACCGATGATACCGCTGCCGCCGCCGCCGCTCATCATCAGCATAGATGACGACAAAGAYTTTTGGGGCGACATTGTTAGCGGCGGTAGAGGCGGCAGAGATGGCGGCGGAGAGTCGGGCATCTCTTTTGCTGAGTGATGATCGCTGGCAAAGGAGGAGAACTTGTTGTTGGCGGCGGTGGCTGTGGCAGAGGAGGACGAGTTATTGGTCAAAGACGACGACGACAACGATTTTTCTTTTTCCGATCGCTTTTTCGACATCAATAGAAAACTGATGGGTGTGACCGGCGGTGTTTTCAACGGTGGCGGTACAATACGGGACAGATTTTCCAGACCCGTACTCTCCAGATTGGAAAAGTATTTCTGTAATCGGGGATCGTTTTTGAGTCTGGAATCGACCCGATATAGTGATACATAGGTCGAGTAGTCGATGTCCGGTGCTTTCATACATATCAGTTTGTAGTCGATTTTGGCGTTCGGGTCGCATATCTTGACCGCCGGCTGYTGTTGCTGTAGCTGTTGTCCAGAATCGCCGCTACCACCGATGCTGTTGCCAACTGTGTTGGCGTTGCTGTTGTTGTTGTTGTTGGACTGTTGCTGTTGTGGCGACACTAATCTCTTGAGACGGGGATCGCGATATTCTTGAGTAGGACGCGGCGGAGTATTGTTACCGGCGGCGGCTGCGGCTGACGACGGCGAACCACCGCCGCCAATGTTGGCCATATTGATGCCGCTCATAAAGTTTTGCCAAAATTCTGATTGTTTTGGCGACGACTGATGAAGAGGATGATGATGATGATGACTGCTGGCCGATCCGATGGATACGGTCGACGAGTTGCGTATCGATGATATCATTTTGGATATATCGATGTTCGATGAATTGGACAACGAATCTCTGGACGCCGGATCCGCGGCCGCCGATGATTGTATATTCTTGAGCGCCGCCGCCAACAGTGTCTTGTCTTCGTCTTCATCGGAATCCGAGCCGATTGTCGCTGCTTTTGACGGATCGGATTCGTTTTGGATCTTATTCTTCATTTTTATATACAAATCGCGCGCAACTTGCGGTATATTCTGTGGCAATTCATTGTTGGCCACCAGTGTGGCCATTGCCTGTTTCATAGCCTCTTCGGCCGACAACAGCTGCGGTGGCCTACTGTCAATGTCTTGTACTGATGGCTGCTCTTCCTTGACAATCGGATTCATGTCGTTGGACAGAAGGTTGGGCGGCAGTAGCGGCGGCGGCATCAGTGGTCTCATAAATGTTCGCAGATCTTCATCGTGAGCTGAGGCGTCAATCAGTTTTTGTTCATCAGTTTGCTGGACAACTGCTACCGGTGTCTGGACGACGTTGTCTTTAGGCTGAGCCCGTAGATCTGTGTCTTCGTTGTTGTTGTTGTTATTGTTGTCGTAATCGGTTCCGTGTTCTCTGTAAAAGTTACGGATATGTTCTTCGACTTCGTCTTCGTCGTCCTCTAGTCGGGGTGTCGGCGGCTTTTCGGGCATTGCAAACGGTTTTTCAATACAAAACAGGTTACGTTTGTTACCGACATAGGCGTCCTCCAGTTCCTTCATTTCCTGTTGCCATGTCCAAGTAAAATGTGACGATCGCATATCTTGAGTCGGCTCGCCTAATAAGGCGTGACGTTTGACCACTGGCCTCAATGGTGCATAAGTAGTTGGTTGTTGTGGTGGTGCTTGTGTGGATGGAGGAGGCTGTCCATCATTGGCACCGCCGCCGGTCGTTGACTGATTATTATTGGTAGTATCACTATTGGCTTGACTATTGTTTGACAACTGATTTGATTGAGACTCTTTATCAGCGCCAGTGGTGGTGGTGTTCCTGTCATTGTTATTACGATTATTATTATTGTTATATCGATCGGGTTTCGGATCATCGGGCAGTGTTCCCGAATCCAAATAGTTGCGTAGTATTTCCCGAGTTTCATCGGTTAGCGGCTGATGACTGAATCGGCAATTATCACCCGAATAGCATTCGACGTTTGTATGGAAAAACTTGCAGGGGAACTGGCCGTGCATATAAAGACAGGCTTCTTCACCTTTACCGCAGAAGCCTTGCAAATAAAATTTGCACAACTCTTTCTTCTTGTTTGGCTGTCCCTCGTGACTGAACGGACAGTCCAGGCCTTTATGGCATTTGCCGTCCAAATAGAATTTGCATAACTGTTTGAATGGATGTCTTGGCTGATGATGATGTGGTGGTGGCGGCTGTTGCGGTGGTTGATGTTGATGTTGTTCGTGATGGCCGCCCATAGGCTGCCGATGATGGTGATGATGATGATTGCCGCCCGGGCCGATAGTACGCGTACCGGTTGGACCGGGCATACGATCGCCACCGCCGATCGGGGTCTGACCACTACGGCGTTTGTCCCGTAAACGGGAAAGTCGTCGAAATTTATCTGAATCAACGTTACGCTTCATCATCATCATCATCATTGCCCGCATCATCGCCCGCTTTTCGCTGGCATCGATTGGCCTCTTGTCGCCGGCCATAACCTTTTCGCCCATAATGTCCATCATGTCGTCGAAATCTCCTTCGTCAAAGTCCATCATGTCTTGTTGGTCATCGTTATTGACGGCTGACTGTTGTAGTGGCGGAGGAGCGGTATTATTGGGAGCAAAGGCTAGTGGCGGTGGTGTCGGTGATGATTGCTGTTGACCTACTGGTGGCGGCTGTTGTGTCCTGAAGTCAATATCTTCAAACTGTTGTCGACGACCACCGCCGCCGCCGACAAAGTCGTCGGCAATACTATTAGCGGTAATTCGGTTAAAGTTTGTATTATTGTTAACATTCATCTCATTATTGTAATCACTGGTCCAGACGTGATCACCGCCACCGCCGCCGCCACTGAAACGACTTCTTTTGCGTTTATCATCGGACGACGGCTGCAATCCTCCAACTCTTGTCGTTGTTGTCGTCGTCGTCGTCGACGACGACGACTGTCTATCATCTTTGTCATCATTACTACCCGATCGTCTTCTCTTTCTTCCGCTGCCGCCACTGCCGGTCCTGTCTTCTCGTTCGGTCCGCTGTCGTCGGCGGTCATCGTCAGCGGCAGACGACTTGCGGTCCTTATCTTTGTCTCTATCGGACGAATCCGATGACTTTCTCTCGCGGGAAGCTCTGTCACTACCACCTCCTGATGTCCGATCACTCCTATCATGTCCTCCTCGTTGTCTATCCTTATCTTTATTATTATTATCCTTATTATCTCTATCTCTGTCTCGTTTATTATCACCACCACCTCCTCCTCTGCTATCTCTGTCCCTATCTTTACCACTATTATTATTATCACGTCTTCGTGAACTGTCTCTACTATTATTGTAATCACTTTTATCTCTTGTATTATTATTTTCTTTTTCATTGTCTGATCTGTGTTTGTGATCACCTGTTGTTGGTTTCTTATCCGTTGTCTGCGGCGGCGGCGGTAACTCGTCTTCGTCGTCGTCCTCATCGGCAATCTCGCCGTCCTCTAAGATCTCGCCTTCTTCGGCATCTTCGTCGTCCAATTTGGTGGTCATATCATTATCATTGTCACCACCAGTACTACCGCTGGTGGCTGTGGTCACAGTGTCTGTCATTTTATTTGAATTTCAATTATATAGGCTATCATATAGTTGTCTCTCAATTATTATTTAAAAAAAAAATTAAATTATCTTTTAATTTAATTTAATTTTTTGTTTTTTTTTGCAAATCAATTGTTCATTGGATTCATTCATACAATTCAATTCAATTGGTTGTGCCTTTCAAATGCAAATACCATTTAATATATATATATATATTTAAATTAAATCATTGATTTAAATAAATTTTTTTTTTCTTAAAACAAAATTTCAATTATTAAATCATTTTATAGATATTTTTATCGTCCATTTCATAGTGTAGTAGTAGTACTGCAGTAATAATGGTTGTAATGGTATAGCAGTAGTAGTAATGGTAGTAATGCTGAGAGAGATTTATATAAAGTAGACACTAATGTTGTGTTGAAAATATATATATTATATATTTATATATATATATACTGTAGTACTGTATGGCCATACAGTGTATGGTATGGTATGTATAGTAGTAGTAGTAGTAGTAGTGGAAGTACAGTACAGTCAAGTATATAATGTAATGCAAAAAAACTTCAATGCTTTTTATGGTTATTTTCAAATGGGATTTTTTGTCCGATTTTTAAATGGCACTCAAATATACAATATATTTATACAGTACTACTGTATTAATAATAATACTGTAATAATAATGGTGTACATGTAGTAGTAGTAGTAGTAGTAGTAGTAGTAATGGTAGTCATATATACATACATACATACATACAAAATATAGACAGCCTTTATAACAAAATGTGTCTCTATTTTGGGTTCAATTTTTTATATACATATATTTTATATGATATATATATTACCGACATTTTTGTGTGCCACAGATTTTTTCGGGTATTTTTTTACTTTATATATATATATAATCACAACAATCCATATCTTATATGTAGTCAAAAAAAAATTTAAATTAAATTACTTTTTTAAATATATCAAAATGTTTTCAAAAAAATTTAAAAAAAAATTAAATAACTGTTATATGCAGTCAATTATATTCAATTGATATATGAATTACTGACAAATATAATGAATTAAAACTGTTTTTAACAGTAAAAAAAAACTTTTTGTTCATAAATATATAATCTTATTATTTGTCGGATATATATATAGTTTGTATTTATATATAATTAATTTGATTTAATTAATAATATGATTGTTTCAACTATCATATGAAATGCATATTAAAAAATATTATTAATAATAATAAATACGTTGACATTATTTAGACGCTGGCGTTAATGTTGAGGATATATATATATAATGTGTATAAAATTTTTTCAAATCAAAAAATACAATATTAGTAAACGTATTATAACCTCAATATTGTATACGACTGAGGACTGACTGAACCCTCGCATAAACTGAGTATCGCATACCAGTGCTGCTGATAGTAATGTCAGCCTATCCTATATTATAAGGCATACATACATACATACCTCTCTCTTCCCCCACCCGTTTACAGATTTACAGTAAACACCAGATACACTATATATATATGATTAAAAATAGGTATATTTCTATATATTCTCATATAAAATATAGAAATTTTTTCGTAATTATGAAAATATGATTAAATTTAGAAAACTTTAGTTTTTCTCTCAAAAACTAAATTATTTTTTTTTTAATCACAATTAAAATCGATTAGTTTGCCATTACTGGGAACGACATGTAACTATAGGATAGTTGTGTTTTGTTGTGTTGTTGTGTGTTTGGTGTAGTAGTAGTAGTAGTAGTCATACGTCTCTCTACTGTACAGTAAAACCTGATTTTCTTGTCTCTCTCTCTCTCTCTCTCTCTCTCTCTCTCTCTCTCTCTCTCTCTCTCTCTCTCTCTCAACGCTATATTAGAGTCGAAAAAACCCGAAAATATAGTATAAAACCAGTTTAGCAATCAATAAATAACAACAACAAAAACCTAAACCGGGAAAAAAATTATATAAATTATTTAAATATTATTTTTATTAATATTATTTCTAAAACCTTTTTTTATTAACTATTAATTTTTTCAATATAAAAAATACTAATTAAATATATTTCTATAATTTTCTAAAAATTTAATTACATTTTATTATTCAGAATTTATATATTTTTTTAGAATTTGAATTAAAATCTATAAATTATTTTTATTAATATTAAATTATTTTTATTAATATTAAAACCTTTTTTATTATCTATTAATTTTTTTCAATATAAAAAAATACTAATTAAATATATTTTTATAATTTTAAAAAAAAAATTTAATTACATTTTATTCAGATTTTTTTTATATATTTTTTAGAATTTGAATTAAAAATTTCCCGGTTTTTTTTCGGTTAGCGGTTTGCATCTCTAAAAATAAAAAAATCGATAACCGGGTCAACAATCCTAACGACTATTACTATAACACTACAGTACAGTACATGTATATCAAGACCACAGCCCATTATATTTAGTGTATAGGGCATAACTCACTACTGTAATCAATAGATGAGTTACGCCCCATAGGATAATTTGTTACTTTTTACAATAGCTATACAATTATTGTTATCGATAACAATAATGTTATTATAAAATGGTATAAAATAAATATAAAACTAACATAGACAATCAAAAAAAAATATATAATTTTTACATATATTACAAATTAAATAAAAACTAAAAAAAAATTTAATATTTTTATTTATTTAGCAAACAATCACCAAGGTAGTCTAGTTTTTATTTTTATTGACAATTTTTTTAGTTTTATAAATACTATTGCAATAAAATAATTAAAAAAATAAAATTGTATAAATATTTTCCTCAAAATTTATATTTATTTATATATTTTTTAAAAATAAAACAAAAATACATATTAAAACTTGTTATCATTGAAAACTAAAAAAACTATAAATAAATTTTATATTTATCTTATTATTAAATTAGTTAATACAATACTTTATTGTTATATACAGTATATATATATATATTATAAGTAATTGAAGTTTTATAAAAAAATAATTATTTGATATACTATTGACATAATTATATATATATCCTATAAATATAATAATATATTTAGTTTTAATTATCATATTTTTTATTTAAAAAAAAACTAAAATCTTATCTAATATTTTACATAACATTGCTATCAAATTATTTTTTAAATTTGATTTTTGTTATAATAACGCTTAATAAACTATTAATATTTTTTAAAAAAAAACTAAAATCGTATAAAAAATAAATTATAATATCATATATATTATTACCATACTCATGAAACATTTTTAATTAACCAAGGTCACTAAAAAATTTATATATTTATTATTAATATTACGGTAAATAAAATACATTTACAGTTATAATAATATAATAAGTTATAGAATATTTAAAAAAAAAATTATTTGGAATTTATTATTTGGAAAAAAAGTAATAATAAAATACTTAAAAATAATAAAACAATAAAACATATAATTATTCATATAATTATCTATAGGTATTTATTTTTATAGGTAAACAACATTTTAGTACACAAAAAAATTATTATAGATTTATTTATTTAATTATTTTTTTTTACTTAAAATTTATAAATTAATTTGAATAAATTTATTAATAAAAATAAACTATTGCCAAACTTTAATACAGTAAAATATTTTGTCAAAAAAAATATTTATTTATATTTTTTAATGAAAAACTTTTGTTTATAGTTTTGTTTTTTTTTGTTTGTTTAATTAGATTAAAACTATCTTGATAATTGTTCAATTATTGATTATTATATAACATTAATATTTACTATTATATAATTGTGTAATATAATTGTAGTAATAGTAATATGTATTACCAGTGTCAATTTTTTTTTATTAAACACTATAGTACTGTAATCTAGTGTTTAGCAAATATACTATAATATGATAATAATTGAAAATAATTTTGAAAATACATATTAAATTTAAAAATAAAACTACAATAATATAACTATTGGTAATAAAAAAAAATAATAAATAAATATAGTATTATTAAATTGACATAAATTGTATTCAAATAAAAAATAAAAAATCTAAAATTTCTAAAATTAAATACTTATAATTTAAGTTTTTTTTTAAAAATAAATAAAGTATTATTAAATTGATATAAATTGTATTTAAATAAAAATCTAAAATTTCTAAAATTAAATATTTATAATTTAAAAAAATAAAATAAATAAAGTTTGATTAAAATAAATAATTAACAAATCAATCGTTAATTAATAATAATTATAATAATATAGAAATTTATTTTTATTTATAGTTAAAAACTGTTTTTAATTGATAATAACGTTATTATTGTTTATGTTGTTATTATTAATAAAAAAAAATTGTTGAAAACATTAGACAAACAAATATAATGTATTAATAATAAAACATTTTATGAGAAATGCATGAATGATATGACAGAAAAAAATATATTAAATACAAAAAACTAATACAAAACTATTGACTAATAATTTGTTTGTTTTTTTTTGTTGATTAATGCAATCAATCGACTGAAGAACTAATTGATCCGAAAGATTCTGAAGAAGATCTGAGAAGAAGTAGAAGAAGAAGAAGTTATGGTTGGATTTGAATTGTTATATCAATCAGTTGGTCCACAGTTGAGATCCAGAAACGACTTGTTGGTCGCATGTCTTCACTTTCAGTTGATTCAGAAAGACTACCGTTTTTTGGGAACCGGCGAACAGGTATGCGATTAAAACAGACCGACCAATTGGTTGGTTGGTTTAGCCGCCGATGATATCATAGTTACAGAGATATTGTAATTGGTTTTTGTTTTTTTGTTTTGTTAAACAGTTTACCGAAACGGATGACACCAATGGCAGCGAACTGTTGTCCGACGGCTGGAATCAATCGCAGGACACGTATGTACTGAGATATGTTAGCCAAAAGAAGTCGTCGCCGAAACAAAAACTTTTGGTCAAATGTGTTGTCGCCAGCGATATGCTGATCATATCGGCTCTGGTCAGTAGTAGTAGTAGTAGTTATGTTATTGTTGTCCCGAAAATCCTTAAAATAAATGACATTTATAGTAATCAATTGTTTTTACCATTCAATTTGATGGCCAGATTGTGTCCGCCGACGACAAGAGCTCATCGCATACGTTCCGTACGAATGACTTCATTACCGCCGACTTTAAGACGTTTAACAAGTATTTTATTGAATATTATATTTTAATCATTAGTTCAAACGATTTACCGATAATTCTCTCTCTGTCTCTCTCTCTCTCTCTCTCTGTCTGTCTGTCTGTCTCTCTCTCGGAATTTGTCAGAGCCTTTACGTCGGGAAATGCAAACAATTTGTTGGACACAATCAATAGGGATATTGTTGACAAACTGTCGGCAACTACCACTACTACTAGAGAGTCGGGTACGTCCAGTCTGCGAGTGGATAGACAACGACAACAACAACAAGAACCTGATCCACTACTGGCCGATCCGCCGCCGCCGTACGGTATTCCCAATTACGGTGGTTTAGGCTACGATGGGATCTATGGCCAAGCCGGCCAATGGCCACCGCCAATAGGAGGAGCAGATTTAGGTATATATATAAACTAGTAATCCAAATGAATTGTTAAGTAATTTTGTTTTTTTCCATCGGGTCTCTCCCGTTCCCCGTAATAATAATAATAATAATAAACAGATCCATTTGGTAGAGGACAGGGCGGAATGATTATGGATCCGCGAGCCTTTCCCAATCCATTGGGCGGTAGACTACGCAATCCGGCCCCCGGTTTGCCTCCAGGCGCTGTACCGCCTGGTGCCCGATTCGATCCGTTTGGACCCGGTATCGGTCCGAGACCTAATCGTAATCCAAGACAAATGGGGTATATATTAACTAACTATCTATCTATCATTAAATTGATGTTTTATTTATTTATTTCATAATATTAGGCCAGACCCGGATCATATGCCACCCCCAGGATATGACGATATGTTTATGTAAATAATATATATATATATATATATATATACAGTATGTTATGATATATTTTTTTCAATTATATATATATATATATAATTTACCGGTATATATATGATATATTTATATAAAGTGTGTGTGTGTTTATTTTTATAACTACCGGTGTACTTAAAAAGTACATTAATAATAATTATTATTTTATTTTATTATCAAAAAAAAAAAATACAAAACTTGAATTTCTAATTGTTTTTTATGTGTGTTGTAATAAAATTAAATAAAAATACTGTACATAATTTTATACAGGTACACTTTTTTGTTGTAATAACCTAATTTTTATATATAGTGGTTATATTACAATCCAAAAAAAAAAAAATTATTTGAAAAAATTTATATTCAAAATAAAGTGTATTTAATATTTGTGTTTAATTAAATTTAGCGGTTTATATATATACTGTTTGTATTCTACTAGTTGTTAAACATTTAAATGAAAGTGCAATTTATTTTTGTAATAATAATAATAATAATAAAAATATTACAAATTCATAAGGGATTAGTAATCAATTTTTTTTATATATATATAAATAATATTAATTTAATATACTATATAGTAAACAAACATATGTTATTAAATTCAATCTAAATTTATTATTATTATTATTTGTTAATTATTTAACAGTATGTTTATAGTAATTAAAAACTATTGAAAACTTTTTAATTTTTTTTTGCTAATAAAGTGTTTTTCTATACTGTAGTTAAATAACTTGAATAACTTGAAGTTGAAATTTTAATCAATATAAATAAATCCCAGTTTAAAAAAATTGTTTATTTTGACAACAACTTGATATTTCAAACTTTTAAATAATAATAATAATAATTGCAATTTATTTCCCATTTTTATTAAAAAAAAACTCAACGTGGTTTTTTTAATATATCGTATTAATAATAATTTTATCATATGGTTATCAAGAAAATTGAAAAATACAAACACATATATTGTATTAAATATTTTTTAAAATTAAAATAGTTTTTAGTTTAATATATGTGAAAAAAATATTACCCAATACTGTCAATGTTGTCATATATCTATAATAATGTTTAATTAATTAGTTTTTATTAAAAATATATATATTTTTTTACAATAAATTAATAATTAGAAAACTTTTGTTGTGTTGTATTTAATATAACCTAATAAATATTGTTAACATATTTTTGTTTTAATTAATTAATTAATTAATAATAAAAATATATTTCCCAATAAAAAAATTTTTTATTACCCTGGTATGTATGACACATTGAAACATTTGATTGTATTTATAATATAATAATTATTTAATATAATAATAATAATTATTATTATTAATATAATATCACATAATAATAATTTTTACATTTAATAAAAATAATATTTTATTTTTGTCTTCAAATTCATAAACAGATAATCATGTCTTCGTCGTCGTCGTCGTCTTCGACAACAAATCTAAGCCATTATTTGCATTCAAGTCAATCGCATTCAGTACTAAGGGATTGGCAATCGCGGGGAACGACTGCATTCACGGCCACCGATTTTTGTCTACCGTTGTTCATTGTCAACGATGACAACGATAGTCAGCCAATCGGGTCGCTGCCCGAAGTTAGCCGAATGGGTGCCAACGTATGCATCGAATATCTACGGCCACTGGTCAGCCGATATCAGCTCAAATCGGTACTACTGTTTCCAGTGATGGAGTCGTCGTCGGACGACAAACAGATTGAACAGGCATTTGATGAGAAACTGAATCCAGTTTTAAGACTAATACCACGTCTTAGGCAAGAGTTTCCCGATTTGCTGATCATTTGCGATGTCTGTCTCTGCACTTTTTCGCCTGAAGGTCACTGCTGTGTATTTACGGGCAATGATAACCAGATGGACAATACCAGATCCATTGAAAAGATAGCTCTGATAGCTGTCCGATACGCTGAGGTGGGCGCCCATGTGGTTGCACCCAGCGATATGATGGACGCCCGGGTTGGCCGGATTAGGACGGCTCTGAACGCCAATGGCTACGCAACTGTTTCACTGTTGTCCTATTCGGCCAAATTTCAGTCGTGTTTTTACGGACCGTTCAGAGACGCCGCCGGTAATTATTTGGTGACTTTGTTGTTGTTGTTGTGATATTAATATTGCTGTCAATCAACAACAGGTTCGGCACCGAAATTTGGTGACCGACGAGCCTATCAGTTACCAATCGGATCTAAAGGACTGGCACTGAGAGCCGTCCAGCGGGACATTGAAGAAGGTTGCGATATGGTTATGGTTAAGCCGGGTCTACCGTATTTGGATATTATTTCGGAGATTAGCCGACGGTTTCCCGATTTTCCGATTGCTGTCTACAATGTTTCCGGCGAATACTCGATGATGATGACAGCGGCCAATCAGCACGGAGTATTTGATTTGAAGACAAGTGTCTGGGAAGTGATGACCAGTTTCAAGAGGGCCGGCGCTAATGTTATCATTACTTATTTTACACCAATGATACTCAAATGGCTTAGTAGTGATGATGATGACTGAATGAATGAATGATTGGTAGATAATTAAGAAATTAATTAATTAATTGAATTAATTAATGAAAAAAATATAATAAATAGTTTTTTATTTTTGATATCAATTTTTTCAATTAAATTTTATTATTAGTAACAGATCTCTGTCTCTCTCTCTCTGTCTCTCTCTCTGTCTCTCTCTCTGTCTCTCTCTCTGTCTCTCTCTGTCTCTCTCTGTCTCTCTCTGTCTCTCTCTGTCTCTCTCTGTCTCTCTCTGTCTCTCTCTGTCTCTCTCTGTCTCTCTCTGTCTCTCTCTGTCTCTCTCTGTCTCTCTCTGTCTCTCTCTGTCTCTCTCTGTCTCTCTCTGTCTCTCTCTGTCTCTCTCTGTCTCTCTCTGTCTCTCTCTGTCTCTCTCTGTCTCTCTCTGTCTCTCTCTGTCTCTCTCTGTCTCTCTCTGTCTCTCTCTGTCTCTCTCTGTCTCTCTGTCTCTCTGTCTTTCTGTCTCTCTGTCTCTGTCTGTCTCTCTCTCTCTCTCTCTCTCTCTCTCTCTCTCTCTCTAACTCTAACTCTGTATTTATCTATTAATCTATTGATGAAAGATAGTTGACGTCAAAATCAAAACATTAATTAAGATTGAAATCAATAGTGAACTTATTATTATTAAGTAAAATAGATAAAAAAAATCAAAATCAAATCTATAGACTAATGGAAAAACTATCAGTGAATAGTATAGTATACAGTAGTGTATTATCGATTTAGTAATAATTTTTGATTACATTTTTTTGATTATTATTATTATTTGAGAATAATTTATTTATTCATCAATTTATATATATCTAGTATATCTGTATAGAAACTTATAAAATCCATAAACTTTTATTATTATTATTATTATTACAAAATATAAAATATAAAAAAAATTTATACACAAGAGATAGGATTTTTTGATGAAATTTATGGTCAATTGATATCATATATTATTATTATTATTATTATTATTATTATTATTATTATTATTATTATTATTATATATAAAATACTAATATATAATTAGTACTAAATAATATATTGCTAATAATATATAAATTGCTAATAAAATAATAAAATATTTTCTATTAATTATTTTTTTTTTTGATAGACAAGTTCAACAATATTTATCATTATATAAATTAATTTCTCATTAAATATAATAATAATAAAAATAATAATTAAATTGATAACAAATATACAATTGGGTAATTGAGTGCATATTAAAGTTAATAAACATTTCTAATTAATTAACTTATTATTATTATTATTATTAAGTAATTATTTAATAGTAATTAGATATACAGTAGATTTTATTTTTACAAATAAATTTGATTTTGACATTTCATTTACAACAACAAAACAAAAATCTTATTTCAGGATTAAATGGTATTAAAATATTTTAGATATATTGTATAAAATATTAATTTTTAATTATAATAACAATCATTATCAATTAATAACTATAATATAAGTTTGATTATTTTTTAATTATATTATATATAATTTTATAATTATTATTTTTAAAAAAAATCAATTTATCGCTAAAAAACATTACAATTAAATATAACATTTTTTTAAATATTTTTAAATATATAAAATTTAATTTGATTTACCAAATTATTTACTGTGTATATATATCATATAATTTTTTAATTTTCAACACACTATCATCATTATAATGAAATATATTAATTATATAACCCAATCTAATAATTTATATAATAATAATAATAATAAAAAAATTAAATCTCTGTTTAGATAAATAAAAAATTATTAGATACCGAAAAAAATTGAGATATAAGTTATTGTCAACAAAAAAGCACTTTTTATATATTTTTTTATTATCATTTAAGTTATTTTATCAGTACGTGTTAGCACTTATTAACACTAAATAATAAAAATAAAATAAGATAATTTAGTTTATGTTTTATAATTTTTTACACAATATTTTTGTAGATAAAAATTTTAGACATTTTATGAGATTTTTTTTCGCATACTTTTTTCAACAAAAAAAAATAAAATAAAAATATTTATTAAGTATTATTAAGTTATTTTTGTTGGTGAAAATACTTAAATCAAAAAATTAATTTAAGTAAAACTTAATTTTTTAAAAAAATAAATATTTATTGTAATCATTTTAAGTAATTAAATTATTAAATTTAACTAATTATTATTATTATTATTATTATTATTATTTATATTTTACTTTATAATTTATACTTTACTTAATTATTAAAATGTCAAACTATTAAATATAATGTATTAGTTAGCAAAAAAAAATTATTATTAAATAAATAATTATTTATGATTATTTAATTCAATATATATACATACAGTATATACACACATTAATAAAATTAATATATTATGTCTAACATTTATTTATGTGTGTGTTATTTATTTTATAATATTTATTTTATAACCATAATTATATTATATAACTATTAACTATTAAGATAAATGGATACATACATAAATTTCTATTAGTTATATATATATATATATACAAACATATATATATTAATATATACATATATATAATATATTTTTTTATTATATCATATATGTATTCACATTTTAATAGCTATACAGTGACTTACAGTTAACAAAATTGTTTATAATATATATATATATATATGAAATTTGGACACAAATTTGTTTCATATGATATCAAACTCATAAATCATTGATAATAATAAAACTAATGTGTTTTTTAAGACCCATTAAACAAAAATTAGTTTTTTTTATTTTAAAAAAATGATTTTAAATCCAAATTTTGTTAAATATTTTATTTTAAATTTTTATACAATTTATTTCAGTGCAATAATTTTATCTAGCAAATAATAATAATAATAAATGATCATGATTGACAATTTTTTTTAGAAATAATAATAATAATATTATTATTATTATATTATTATTATTAAGTATTGAAATTTCCAATCAATTCAATTAGTTTGATTTGTTTTGTTTGTTTCATATATACAGTATATACTGTATATATATATATATATATATATATAGATTATAAAAATTGTTATTTATTAACTAATTGGTGACAAAAATCTTATCATTTATATATGAAATTATTTTTTATTAAATAATTAGTTTATTTTATTTATGAAATTTTTTATATTTCATAAATACAGTCGTTTAAGTATATAAATTAAATTTTAAAATTAAAATCATAAAAAAATATTTTTAATATACATTAGTTTAATAATAGCCATCAATTAGTGTAACAATTATAATGTTATCAATTATTTTTTGTTTTTGTATGTGAACTAATAAAAATTGTTAATCAGATTTATTATTATTATTATTATTATGTTATATAACTTGATATTATTGACATAATCTTAAAAAAAATTATTGTTAAATAAATCTATGAAAACAATTCACACGTTATTATTACAAAAAAAAAATATTGTTAGAAATTGTTTTCATATTTAATGTGTAATAATAAATCAAATTAAATCATCAAAAGTTATTACAATAAAATAATATAAGTTTAATAGATATATATATATTATTTGTGTCTGATTTTAGATTTATTTGTTTTGTTTGTATTTATGGCTTAAAAAATCTTGTGATAAATTATTAATATTATTAATATATTATATTACTGTATAAATATATATATTAATCCAACATTTAGTTTTTCATATGATATACTTAAATGACAGGTCAGTAATAATAATAATAATAATAATAATATATTGGATATAATATATATATATATAATATTAATATTATAACTAATATTTTTTTATATATATATATTTTATTGATATTTATTTTAATACGTACATTGAATTTAAGTCAAATTAATGTGTATTAAATCAAACATCAAATTAATCATTTATATTAAATATAATTTATATATATATATATATATATAAATATTAATAAATACATCTATATATTTATCTATCTATTTAAATGTGATAACTAATTAGACACATCTGGTAAATGTAATTTACATATTTATTAATTTATTTATTTTAATATACATGTATTATAATTATAATGATAATACTGAATATACATTTATCTATTATATTATATTATGTCATATAAATTATATTTTACGCCATTAAATTTAAATGTCACGTATTAATTCACATATATATACATATAAATTGATTTGATTTAAGATAATATAATTAGTGAATATATATATATAACTATATGATATATATATATATATTATTTATAATGATATATATATATATATTATTTATAATGAAAACAAAATTAATATAATATATATATATACTATATATATATATATACTCTTCGCGCCATATAAAGGTAGCGAAACGTTATTTATGAATGTTAGCCAAAATCTTTTTACACTCTCTTATTTGTATACATTTGATTTGCTTTTGGTGTGATTTTCATCAAATTTTGTTTATTTGTTCAAAAGTTATAGTCATTTAAATAAGTGGTGTCAGAGTTTTTTTGAACAGTCAAAATGATTTGAAAGCGAACCAGATTATATATATTGGATGAAACTAAAGAGTTATGATTCAGCGCATTTATAAGGACATATTACTTTAAGTTTTAGTACAATCACCAAATTGATATGAAAACAAAATCGGAGAATACCCCGGAAAATGCAGCGATTGTCGAAGACATATATAAGTATTACATATATATATATATATATATATATATATATATATAAATTATATATTAAATAAATTAATCACAGTATATATAAATTTTATTAAAAAATTAATCACTTAATACTTTAATTATATTTAATATTTAAACTATATACTAATACTACTAAATACAGGTAATTAAGTAATTTAGCAGTAATTATTATATGTGATAACACACACACACACACACACACACACACACACACACACACACACACACACACACACACACACACACACACACACAGTGTATTAATTAATGATTTAGTTGTGAATTGATTTATTTAGGATACAAATGAATGTTATATATATATAGTATATATATCTATGTTTGACATTTACAACAAACTGTAATAATTGTAAATGTTTATTAGTATAATACAATTATAAATATACAGTATATATCTTTAAAAATAACATTTATATATAATATTAATAATATTTATATAATAATATATAAAAAGTATTATATAAAAGGAAGTCCTTAATAGACAAATTATTTCCTTATTTTTATTTTTAAAAAATGATATATTTTATATGTGCTATTAATAGTACAGGTGTTTAGGTGTTAAGTTATTAATACTAATAATACTAATAATAATTTTCAATACATTAATAACTCAAAAAATTAACATTTAAGTTATGACGTTATGCTAAATAGTATGTAAAACATTAAAAATCAATAAAATCAATGGATTAGATATACTATTTAATAGCCAAATAGAGACCCAACAAAAAATTAGATAAAATAAAATATATAAAATTAATAACAAAATTATATATATTATAATTAAGCTAAAAATATACTTTAAATATTTAATATTTTTACTAATTTTTTTGTCTATCAATTGATTAATTGATTAACGATTCTAAATGATATCTAATTTAAATAATTATTTATTTTATATTTTTTTTTGAAAAAAAAACATTATCTAATTATTTTACATAATTTTTCTATTAATCAAAAAATAACTAAATTAAATATATATATATCTATATATAAATTTCCAGGGATCTATGTTTGTATAATAATTTTTTTAAAACTAATTAATTGCTAAATTTATGATTATTATGACACAAATTATTGCAAAATATTATATAAATATTTAAATTTTTATAATACAGTTGTTACTCCAGTAAATGCTTTTAAGCTATTAATTAGTTGTAAAATTTAAAAAATAAAATTAATTTTTAAAAATTTTAGTTTTTGTTTGATTATTAATTAAAATTATTTCATCTTTTTTTTAATTAAATTTAAATTTTTAAAAATTTATTTTATATTACATTTACCGTTTATATACATATATATATATATATTATCAAAACATAAAATACTATACACACAAAAAAAATTTCATCAAACATATGATCAACTAAATAAATACTGTATTATATCATATATTTATATATATATATTGATAAAATTTAATTTCATTTACTGGAAATATATATATATATATATATATATATAAATATATATATATATATATATTAATACTAAATATATTTAGAGACATATTAAACAAATAAGTTTTATATAATATTCTCAGTTATAATACTATATAACTTTCTGATAAACACGTTATTAATTATTATTTTTATTTTTTTATATAATAATAATAATAATAATTATTATTATTTAATATTATTATTATTATGCCAACAACAGTTACTTTTCCCATAGACTTAAACCCCCTCCTAAATAATCAGGTGATTATATATACTGTATATATATATATATATATAATTGTTTTATTTTTTTATTATTATGTTTGTTTGTTTGTCAAATAAAAATATAACAAAAATAAATAAAATTAAACTTTTTATTCGCATTTTTAATATTAAATTAAACAATATATATATATATATATATATATATAATACTATACATACATTTCTATTTAATTATGCCCACATATTAGTCACATATATATATACAGTCTATACTAGTCTATACAATAATGTTATTTATTTGATATTATCTAATATATAAATATTATATATATATATATAAATTTATTGTAGTCACAAGCATTTGTGTGCCTCTAAATAAAATAAAAATTTACAGATAATTATTGATAGTTGTAATGTACACACAATAAATACAGTAGTTTTATATAAAATTTTTTTTTTTTTTTGATAGCTTTGAGCAAAAAAAAAATAAATAAAAAATAAAACAAAGTTAACAATAAATATAATAAAAAAAAATCAGTGGGAATGAGTTTGCATTAAGATTAGTATTATTATTATTACTATTATATATTTTATTTATTATAGATATTAGTTTACTGTGTATTTGTTTTATTATTATATACAATCGCTAAATCGGCAAATACCTGACTATAATCACATGGTTTATTAATTACAATAATAAATAAATATATTTAAAAAACCTGATACACATTACACACACACACACACACACACACACACACACACACACATAAATAAATATATATATATATATATATATATATATATATATACATAAACACATACACATACATACATATATGTACACACACATACATACATATATGTACACACACATACACACATATATATACATAAACACATACACATACATACATGCACATGCACACACACACACACACACACACACATACATACACATACACGCATAAATATATTCAGGATCACTTGATCACTTAATTGTAATTATTTAGTATTTTTTTAAAAAATTTGAAACTTATTAAAATAATTTATAATTATCACCTGATTATAGCTTTTTTTGTTTGTTTTTTTTTGAAAAATTAGTTTTTTTAGTAATTTTTTTATTCAATACATTTTATATATAAATATATTAATTTAATTTATTGATAGTAATCAGAGAGAGAGAGAGAGAGTAATAAAAAAATCAATTGTAATACAGTATCATATTTTTTTTATAAAACAAAAAAAATTTTATAAATGTAAATAAATAATGAAAATGAAAAAAAAATTGATAACAAAAAATATATCAAACTAATAAAAAAAATAAGTTACTATGATAATTGTCCTGGACTTTTTTTTGCTATAAAAACTATTTTTTTAATGTTATATATATATATACAGTAGTAGTAGTAGTAGTATACAGTATATATATATATATAATTTATATATATATATATATATTATGTATTTATTTTACCTTGACTATGAAGGCTATGTGCTCTCTCTCTCTCTCTCTCTCTCTCTCTCTCTCTCTCTCTCTCTCTCTCTCTCTCTCTCTCTCTCTCACTCACTCACTCACTCACTTACTCACTCAATCAATCACACACTCACTCATTGAGATCTCTCTCTCTCTCTCTCTCTCTCTCTCTCTCTCTCTCTCACACACACACACACACACACACACACACACATACATACACACACTTTACACCATATAATATAAATCCTACTAACAATTTGTCACTTAGTTTTCATCTCATCGTTAGTTAACATTATATCTCAATATATATATACACTATATATATATATATATATATATAGTGTGTGTGTGTGTATTAAGTTAGACGACAATTACATTTTGATACGAATATAACGACTAGTTTTTATTTATATATATACTATAATAATAATAATAATAATTAAATAGTGTTTTATGTGTTTTACTGTAATTATTTATATATATGTGTGTGAATATATTCAGTTAGTAAAAGTAGTAGTAGTAGTAGTAGTAGTGTTTGAAAACATTTTGTTTAATACATAATAATAATAATAATAATAATAAATGTCATTCAAAATGCAATTCAACAAAATTCATGCATTCATTATAAATATTAATGATATTATATGATTGAATATCTTGAATAACTTTATACTAGTATTATATATACAAGTATATAATTAATATATATATATATATATTAAAGTATTGAAAAATTATTATTATTATTATTTTGAAACCATTAATATTGTTTTTTTTGTTGTTGTTATTGCTATTATATAATAACACATTCACATTAAATATTATTGACATAAATCATGCATAAATTATATATATATATACTGTATATAATATACAAATATATAATATAAATGTATAGCTATTTTATAAGTTATTTATTAAATAACAATTATTAGCATATTTGCAAATAATATCAAATATAATTCAAAATAAAAAATATTATTATTGTTATATTAATGTCAACTTTGTGTTATAATATAATTTCACTTAATTATTGATAATTAATTAATTATTCTATATATATATATATATATATATATATATATATATATATGATTTATAATAATAATAATAATATTATTATTATTACCTTATTTTACGTCAATTGACTTTTATTTATTAAATATGTATAAATTTTAATAATTTATTTTTATGTGTTTCAAATATATATATATATAATCAAAAAATATTTTAATAATAATTGTTATTAGTATACAATTTACAGTATCATAAATAACAAAATAAATCATCAATGTAAATCATAATAAACAATGAGTAAGTTTAGTTTAAATTATTTTTTTTTAATTTTATTATTATTTTTCAAATTAATATAAATTTGTGTTTTTAAATTTAATTATTTTTAAAAAATAAATAAATATTTTTAGCATATTTTTTATATATAACAGTATAATAATTATCAAAAAAAAAACATTAATTACTGCTCTAATTATATTATAAAATAATAAATAGATTTATAATTTATATTATTATTATTTTTTTAATTATTATTTTTATCATTGATAACAAAAAAAAATATGCTATTATATATATACTGTATTATTATTATTATTATTTTGTTTTAGTTAAATGTCATAATATTATAGTTAATATTTACAATTATTATATGATATTTACTTAAACTAAAAAAAATTATTATATCAATTAATAGACAATACAATTTATTATTTATTTATTTATTTTGCCTAATTAGTTGCTAAATTGATAAATATATAATACATTATATTATATAATTTTAATTTCATAATTTAAAAAAAATAAATATCTTATATTTAATATACTAATAAAATAAATGCTTTATCATTACAATTTAATTAATTAATTGTTGAAAAAAATGAGATTTATTTTAATAATTAAAAAAAATTATTATTTAAACAAAATGTATAATAATTTCTATTTCTAATATTATTATTATTATTATTATTACAAATGTCATAATCATTGACAAATTAGCTATAAATCACATTTTTATTTTATGATATTATTTTTATGATATTATTTTATTTTTTTTTTTAAAATGTATGACAACAATGTCGTTTAGATAGACACCATATGGTGACAACACATTTGTTTTTATTTTATTTATATATATATATATATATTAATATATATATATATTTAGTTATAAATTCAATATACCGAATAAAATACTATAGCAAACAAACAAACAAAAAATTTTTATGACATAATTTTAGTTTAGTTATTATTATTATTATTATTGATATAACTTTTATATACTAATATACAGTAAATGTTGTCATACATGTGTTAATGTATGAAATATCTTAAAGTTTAGATTGAAATATACAGTATATGTATTATAATAATAATAATAACAGTATTATTAGTATATAACTGGTAAAAATTATATATAAATTTATTTATATTATTATTATTATTATTGATAGCATTTAGATTAAAATTAGGTCATTATATATATATATATATACAGTAACTATAATTATTATATATAACAATTGCATAACAATTTTGTTAAATCTATAAAAATAAACTAATAATAAAAAAAACAACATTTTATTCATTTTTTTTTTATTAGAAAATTGATACTAATTGTAGAACAAAAAAAAATAAAATTACATTAATTTTATTTTTATTAGACGTATATAAATATATTATAGATATAAAAAAAAATTATATATAATATTAATATTATTTTTAAAAAATAAATATATATATATATTCTTAATAACTATTAATACAAAATCTAAGTACTTTTTTCAAAAAACTAAAACAAAATTAATTAATTAATTAAATATTTTTCTAATTAATTACTTTTTTCTTATTTTTGTTATTATTTTTTTGGATATTATTTCATAATATGTCTGAAGATTTGGAACAATTAGAGACTATTCTTCAACAAAATCCGGAACTTCTTGAGGATTATGTGATGAAAAACATTGATTCGTCTGTTTTAGAAAAATGGTTAATAAGAAAAACACAATTAAATTCAAACAAAAGATTAAGTAAAGCCAATGTTAAAGTAAAGTATCATTTATTATACTTTTTTTTATATATATATATACAAACATACAGACAGACACACACACACACACACATACACACATACATACATACATACACTCTCTCTCACACACACACACACATTTATTACATACATACATTTTTTTATATATATATATACATACATACATACATACATACAGACAGACACACACACACACACACATACACACATACATACATACATACACTCTCTCTCTCACACACACACACATACTTACATACATACATACATACATACATACATACATACATACATACATACATACATACATACATACATACATACATACATACATACATACATACATACACTCACACACACACACGCACACACACACACACATACATACACTCACACATACATATACATACATACACACACTCACAAATACATAGACGCATTACATACACATACATAGACACTTACATATATATATATACACACATACATACATATACTCACACACACACATACATACACAAATACATACACACACACACACACATGCATAGAGACAATAAAAATAAAACACAATTTTTTTGTAACATAAAAATAATCTGTTATTGTTATAAATTAAAAAACATTATAAGTTCAAAGTTTAAATGATATACACAAATGTTAGCTAATTTTTAAAAAATATTTAAATGATTTTTTTATTAATAAAAAATAACCATTTATTACTAATCTTAGTTTATTTTTTGTGTGGAAAATACAAAATTATGATAACTAATAATGTTTGGATTTTTTTTTTGATTATCAATAATCAAAAATTATTTACATGTTTTTATATTAAATATTTTTTACATTGAGATAAAATAATTGATATATATATATATATATATAGATATTAAATATTGATAGTTTTTAGGGTGAAAAAAAATATTTTTAAAAAATTGATATTTACAACCACAATAAAACATAAAAAAATACATAAATCAATAAATAATAATTATATATAAATTTATATATATATAAACTGTACTAGTACATTTTACAACAATTATTGAATTATTAAATAAAAATTCAAAAAAATATATTTAAAATACGCATTTAATTTATTAAAAATATTATTTAATGATAGTTATATATAAAAAAAATAATATAATTAAAAATTAATTAATATCTAGTATCGTAATAATCATGTTGTGGACAATAAAAATAAATCAAAATTGTTGGCCGATTTACAACAAAATTTACAACAAAATCATAATAGCGAACCAAATAAGTTGACTGTTTTGACACAATTGGCCGGAACGGTAGCATTTGCTACCGGTGCTGACCAATACAATGTGTTTATGTTTGATCATATATCTAATGTAAGTTATTATTAATTAATTAATTTTTATATATATATATATATAAATTTATATCAATTAAATATTATAGTATAGTATATATAATATACTTGATTTTTTTGATTTAGTTTTTTTTCAATTAAATATATTTTAATATTTTTTTATGAGTGGGAATATATATATATATAGAATATTCCGGATATTAAAAACCTCTTTATTATTATTAAAAAAAATATATATTAAATTTTGTTTATTTGATTTTATGTTAGTATGCAAAAAATAATTGAGTTTTTTATATATATATAAAAATAAATATATATAAATTTTAATAATAAAAATTTACATATAATATAAATGATTTTATTTTTTTTTAAATAAATATTAAAATCATAATAATGGTATTGGGTAAAATAAAAGTTCATTTACTTTTATTTGATGATTATATAAATATATAATTTGATTTATATATATATACACACACATAGTATTACTGTATTTATATAATAATTTATAGAAACAAAAATTAATTTATATTATATAATAATAAATTATTATTATTATTATAGTCACTAAACACATGTTTAGTATATATATATATAATAAATTAGATTTTTGAATATTTAATATATTTATAAAATAAAATGATTTATTATCAATTGCATTATAAACACATTTCTTATTATTTATATTATTATTATTATATTTCTATTAAAAATTTATTTTTATTAGAAAGTTATTTGAACTAACAATTTATATAAATTTATATATATATATCAATATAACACTATAAGAAAAAATTGTTTTATTTTTCAAAACTAAATTTAAATCAAATGAATTTTTTTGAAAAAAAATTTAATGGTAAATATTTGTCAATCATTTTTTATTGTTGATCAGCGCTGGTAGATTTTTTTTTTGGGGGGGGGGGGCAGGTAGTCCAGTTCATGTATTAATGTTTTACTAATTATTAAAATTATAATACATGTATAGTATATTTCCTGTATGAAAATATGTTATATATATATTACATAATTATGTTTTAGTATAGGTTTTGTTTTATAGAATATATATATATATTAAAAATAAAATAATATTTTTTTTTGTAGTTATTATTATTATAATAATATTTAAGAAAACTATTTATTCAATATTATTCAATACATTTATTGATTTATATATAAATATATTTATTATTTAATAGGAAATTAAATAGAAAGCACTTAAACTATAACTAACATTTAAATCAATTATTAAAGACAATTATTATTATTTAATAATAATTTATATATTTATTTATATAAATTTTATTTATTTTTACATAATTTCAGGAAATGAGACGAATAACCGATAATAATAATATTGAAAACCAAGTAAACGGTTTCGCAAAAGAGGATCAAAAACAAAATTTAGTTGAATTTGTTAATAAATCAAAGACAACTGTCCTCTGGACTGTCAAACAATTTGTATGGGATTTTATAATTAATTAAATTAAATTAAAATAAAAAAAAATAATAAAACATTTAGCATTTAAATTAAATTCAAAATATATATATATAATTGTTATATTTATTTAATATTTTTTAAAGGACTGTCGTTTTAAGGACGGTTCACCCTATATGCCTACCAAAGCTTGTTATGTAATGGCCATACCTATTACACTTAGAGACAATAGTGTACTTGGTGAGTGCAGTTTATTTAATTAGTTTTTAATAACCAAAAAACCATTTTTAGGTATAAATATATTAAATATAATAATAATAATAATAATCAATTATATATTTTAAGTACATTTTATATACATGTTGTTTAGGTGCATATTTTTTTATTGGTGCAAATAGTATATATAAAAATAATTATAATATAAATTAAATTTTAATAATTTGTTGTTGTTAAGTTAAGTACATTATAGTTATTAAAAATACATTTATATATATATAATAATAATAATAATAATATAAACTTATCATGTAGAATTTTATATTATAAAAAAAAATATAATTAATTGCATTTTTAAATTTTTTTTAAATAAAAAAATATAGGTGTAGTCGAGTTATACAAATTGAATCCAATGGATCCGTTTGCCAATAATATTGAAGAGGTATATATATAGTATAATATATATATATATATATAAATTTATATATTATAGATAGATATTAATAAATTTATAAATAATTTATTATAGATATATACTGTATAACAACAAACATAAACTCTTTTTTTCTGATTTTTCAAATTAAAATTTTTCAAAATTTCTGTCATTTATTAGTATTATTATTGATATTATTATTATTACAAAAAAAATATGTTTGTCGTATGTGATTGACATTCAAGGAAAGTCAAGAATATTCTCTCTCTCTCTCTCTCTCTTTATCAATATATTTGATGTCATTATTATCTATGAAAATAAAAATAAAAATTTGTTAATATCATAGTATAAAATGACATCAATATATATATATATATATATATATATATATTAAGTAGCATTTCTTATATTATAATATTAATATATAAAATTTTTATGATAATGCACTTAATAATAATAATAATAATAATAAAATCAATATTATAAATATTAAAATACTTATACTGTTTACTGTATATGAAGTTATTATTCATATCTTATAAATAATATGTTAATATATATTAAAAAAATGCTTATACTGTACATAATGTTTATTTAATATCTAATATTAATTTTTTTGTTGATTATTAATTAATTAATTAATTAATTATTATTAATACACAGATAGTTCAAAGTTATATTATATGGGCGTCTATAGCACTACATTATGCTGAGGTATATATATATATATTATATTTATAAATATATGAAACAAAAAAAATTATTAAACTATAATTATATTAATATAAACATATAAATACAAAAATAAATACTGATTTCAATATTGTTTTGTAAGTATATTATAATAAGCAAAACAACAACAAAACTTTTAACACTTGTATAAGTGTAGGAAAAATAAAGTAAAAAATAAAGTAAAAAATAAGTAAAAATAAATTTATTATAATTAAAACACAATTCTCAAGGTTGGAGATAAACGGAAAAAACTTTTATTATTATTATTATAATTATTATTAGAAAATAATTTATGAGTTATTTCTTACTTTTTTACATTTATTTTAGTTTTATTGCAAATCGATTGATTGATTATTTATTTGAAAAAATAATAATAATATATAAATAAATTAATTGTTATTTCTAATTATTTAATTTTGAATTAGAGATAAATATTTATTTAACTAAATTACTAATTATACAGTATTTAAATTTTAATGTTTGAAAATAAATAATTTATTTATTTATTATTTTATTATTATTAGTTATTTTTTCTTGAAGTTATTCCCCAATAACTTTATATATAATATAATTACAATGAAAAAAAAATAAAAATAAAATATTTTATAACAACTATTAAAATTTTAGTTTTTTTCTATAGATAGTGTATTAGTATTTAATTTTTAATTATTTTATTTTTTTCAAACAAACAGTTATATTCAAATATTTCACGTCAGAGAAAATTAAACACATTTTTATTGACAGTTGTAAAGTAAGTATTGATTTTTTTATTATTATTATTACTAATCATATAATACAACAACAACAAAATTATACAAAAAAACTAATAATACAATACCAGATAAATAGCCTACAAATTATACTATTATACAATAAATATATATTAATAATATACAAATTTTTATCTATAATTATATCTATAAATATATAAAAATAAATATATTATTATAATACAGATCCATATTTCAAGATATGATTAGCATGGATACAGTTATCGGCAAAATTATGGTCAGTTTATATAAATAAAATATTTAATAGTCTACTTAATAATAATAATAATATATTTTATTGACACATACTGTATATATTTAATATTTAAATAATAATTATTATTAATAATAGCAGGGTATATTCATATGTATATATTATTTTTCATATTAAAATTAATATAAAACCTAGGATTATGCTAAAACATTGGTCAATGCCGACCGTACGGCACTTTATTTGGTCGACTCCAATGATAGACAACTTTATCCATACATAATGAAAGTCAAACATCACAACAACAACAACAACAACAACAATAACACCAACAACACTAACAATAAGGTTTGGGATATAAAAAAAATACAAAAAAGTTTTTTATTTTTTGAATTAATTAATTATTAAATTATATTTCCTATTAATATATTACTAACAATGTGTGTATGTATGTATGTATGTATGTATGTATGTATGTATGTATGTATGTATGTATGTATGTATGTATGTATGTATGTATGTATGTATGTATGTATGTATGTATGTATGTATGTATGTATGTATGTATGTATGTATGTATGTATGTATGTATGTATGTATGTATGTATGTATGTATGTATGTATGTATGTATGTATGTATGTATGTATGTATGTATGTATGTATGTATGTATGTATGTATGTATGTATGTATGTATGTATGTATGTATGTATGTATGTATGTATGTATGTATGTATGTATGTATGTATGTATGTATGTATGTATGTATGTATGTATGTATGTATGTATGTATGTATGTATGTATGTATGTATGTATGTATGTATGTATGTATGTATGTATGTATGTATGTATGTATGTATGTATGTATGTATGTATGTATGTATGTATGTTTGTGTGTGTATGTGTGTGTGTATGTATGTATGTGTATGGGTGTGCATAATTGTTGATATTATTATTATTGAATATTTTTTTTATAATAAAAATAAATTGAAAAATTATTATTATTGTTATTATTATATAGTAAACTGTTATATAATTTAGACATTTCATTCAACAACAAAAAAAGATTATGTAAATTAAAAAACTAATTTAATTAAGTTTTAATCTAATGGGAAGTGGGTGAGTGAGTGAGAGAGAGAGAGAGAGAGAGAGAGAGAGAGAGAGAGAGAGTTAAAAGCTTTATATAATTACTGCTTTATTAATATATTTATGAAATTTTTCAGAAAATATTTGCATACATATTCTGTAAACTTATTTATAAAATATATTCAATATATATATATAGTATAAAGATATAGATAAAAGTATACTCAGATTTATATTCACTCCTAAATAATAATACAAATAATAATAATAAGCCTAATAATATTATAATTAAATAAAACAATGAGCAAAATATATGTATATGTTATATATAATATATATACCCACTATTATGCAGTAAATAATTTGCACTAAAAAATATATTATAATAATACATGACTTATCTTTTAATATCTATGCAAATGTGTTGTGTGTGTGTGTGTTTGTGAGTGTTATTATCGTTGGGATTACTTTATTGTTTGGGATTTTTTTTATATATCATATATTTATTGTCTCTATTATATCTATCTCTATATAATATCTTAACACTAATGTATTATATTATTATGCAAACAGTAGTAAATACAGTATAGGCTTCACAAACAAATATATTGCTTATATTTGCAATTAATTATCATATCATCATATAATATGATATAAATCTATTATACAAACTAAAAGTATTTATACTAAATGTAATAAATAATTCACTAACTATTGATGTCAAAATTAATTATATTTATACAATATATAAATTATATATACAGTGTATATATGATAATATATATAAGTTATATCACTATTATAAATACAATATAGATTTTATTTTTTATTTTTTTTTGTATACATAAATAAAACAAAAAGACTAACAATACTACTGCCGATGATATCGACAATAATGATGAGACAATAGTTGTTAACACCAACAACAACAACAAAAAGATGACCAGATTTCCCATTGGTTCGGGTATTGCCGGTATAGTGGCCAAAACGGGTCGACCGTTGAATATAGCCGATGTTTACGAGGACGACAGGTTTGACCGGGACGTCGACCAAATCATTGGCGATGGCGGCGATGACGATGGCGGCTATCCTATCAATAATTTGTTGTGTATGCCTGTAATGAACAAAAACAAGTAATATATTTATTATTATTATTATTACAATATATAACTAATATATATATAATTAACAAAAAAATAATAATTTCATAGAGTTATTGGTGTCGTCCAAATGGTCAACAAATTGAATGGAAATTTTACGAAAGTTGATGAAGAAAATTTCGGTACGTTTGCCACGTACTGTGGTCTGGCACTGGATCATGCACGGGTATGCTTACATATACACATACACATACACATACACATACACATACACATACACATACACATACACATACACATACACATACACATACACATACACATACACATACACATACACATACACATACACATACACATACACATACACATACACATACACATACACATACACATACACATACACATACACATACACATACACATACACATACACATACACATACACATACACATACACATACACATACACATACACATACACATACACATACACATACACATACACATACACATACACATACACATACACATACACATACACATACACATACACATACACATACACATACACATACACATACACATACACATACACATACACATACACATACACATACACATACACATACACATACACATACACATACACATACACATACACATACACATACACATACACATACACATACACATACACATACACATACACATACACATACACATACACATACACATACACATACACATACACATACACATACACATACACATACAATATATATAGTTAACTAACTTATAGACAATTATATAATACTGTATATAATCTATTAATATTATACTTTAATAAACTTTAAGTTATTAAGTATATGAACCGTACAAAAAAATCCTATTAATATTAGACACCCACTCACTCTCTCTCTCTCTCTTTTACTTACCCACCCATACTCACTGACTTTTGGTTAGAGAAATAATCATAAACAGTATATATATATATATATATATCATTTACAAATATATATAGACTATCAATACTAATAATATACCACTTGATTACACAATACAAAAAAAATATGTGATGACTTATGGACTAACTTATTGTAGATAATAATATGTTTTAACAATAGTATCATTGATTATTTTGATATATTTTCATATATTGATTATTTTGATATATATACAGTATATCACAATATAATATATATATATATATATATATATATATATAGGACTAGCTAGGTGAAAAATCTATCTATCTATATATATATACACACAAATTTAATTGCATCGATAATTTCACAACAAAAAAATTAATAAAATAGATAAATATTTTTCAAAATTTTTTGTTTGTTTGCTATCAATAGTTGTTATCTCCGTATTTATATATATATATATATTTCATAGAAAATTACTTTATTATTATATTAAATATTTTTTTTAAAAAATATATATATTTATCGGTAATTTAACTTTTTATCAATCAATCAATCAATCAATTAAATAGCTATACGAAAAAATACGAAAGTCTGAACAAAAAAACAAAGTAGCACTGGAGGTACTGTCCTATCATAACTTGAGCAATGATGAGGAACTGGCAGATACCAGGCTAAACATACAATCATTTCAAGCACCCGACGTTACTAAGTATATATATATATATATATCAATATTATATATGTTTGAAAATTTTTTTTAAACAAATTATAACTCATTATATACTCACTAATAATAAAATAGTCAATCATTTTCACCATACAATCTAAGTAATGATCATAAATTGTTGACAACAATCAAAATATTTGAACAAATCAATGGTATCAATAAAATCGATAATGATGATCTTTATAGGTATATTATTATTATTATTATTATTATTATTATTATTATTAYTACTACTACTACTACTACTACTACTACTACTACTAACTTAATATTTAAATAACTAATTTTTTCAATTAATTATTATATATATATRTATAATAAATTAATATATTATATAGATAAATAGCTAAATAGTTAAATAGATATATAAAATGTTATAAATTATAGCTATAAATTGATATTTAATATTTAATAATTTATTATTTTGTGTATATAAAAATATATATATATATAGAGATAAATAAATTTTATTTATTATTATTATTATTATTAATTAGTTTAAAAAAAGTTTATTAATTATTAGTTTTTTTAATAAACAAGTTTATTATAAGTTTATTATAATTTACTTTTAAAAAAATTAATTTATTAAACAGTATTTAGACCTAAAACTATATATTGAATATTAATAATAATAATAATATTATTATTATTAATTAGTTTTTTTTAAAAATTATTAATTATTAGTTTAAAAAACAAGTATATTTTAAGTTTATTATAATTTACTTTCAAAAAAAAAATTTATTAAACAGTATTTAGGCCTAACACTAGGAATATTGAATATTATTATTATTATATATATTAATATTTATTTTTAGGTTTACATTGAGTGTACGTAAAAACTACCGGCGGGTGCCRTACCATAACTGGACCCATGGTTTCAGTGTCGCCCAATCGCTCTATACGTTCATACATGACTGCCAACAGTTTACCGCTATGGAAAAGTTGGCATTTTTTGTTAGCGGCCTATGCCATGATCTCGACCATAGAGGTACTACCAATCAATTTCTGATACATTCATCGGCACCGTTAGCAGCCATTTATACGACATCACCGCTGGAACACCATCACTACAATCAGACTATTCATATATTACAAGTAAATAATAATAAAAAACAAAAAAATAATAAAATAAATAACAAATAAAAGTCTCATTAATTACTATCACGATAACGATAACAAACAAACAACTAAAAGAGATTAACAGAGAGAGAGAGAGAGAGAGAGAGAGAGAGAGAGAGAGAGAGAGAGAGAGAGAGAGAGAGAGAATTATTGTGTAATAACTAAACTATAAAATCAATAATAATTGTTTTAACAGTGATATAAAAACCTATAAACATATATATACTATATATATATATACCTAACAAACAAAAATAAAGTTTTTTTTGAGACCACAAAATTGGTTTCCCAAAGAAATAACCAGTAAATACAATAAATAAAAAATAAATAAATAAAAACTAGTAGACTATAAATTGTTTGGTGTCCATTATATTATAAATTTTATATATATATATATTTGTTAAAATAAATAAATAGATAGATATAAATTTATATTTGAAAATGTGTAGAGTGGTGTTTAAAACTTTATTTTATATATATATATATATATAATATAATTCCCAAATGAGACACCAATTTTTGTTATTGTTGTTGTCATTGTTGTTGATATTAATTCTAGTTTATAGTGTTATATCTGAGATAGCATTTTTTTTGGTGCCAATTTGTGTGTATGTGTATGTGTATGTGTATGTGTATGTGTATGTGTATGTGTATGTGTATGTGTATGTGTATGTGTATGTGTATGTGTATGTGTATGTGTATGTGTATGTGTATGTGTATGTGTGTGTATGTGTGTGTATGTGTGTGTATGTGTGTGTATGTGTGTGTATGTGTGTGTATGTGTATGTATGTGTATGTATATGTRTGTATGTRTGTATGTATGTGTGTGTRTGTRTGTGTATKTGTATGTATGTGTATGTATGTGTATGTATGTGTATATATATGTGTATGTGTATGTATGTGTATGTATGTGTATGTATGTGTATGTATGTGTATGTGTATKTGTGTGTGTGTATGTGTGTGTATGTRTGTGTATGTGTATKTATGTGTGTGTGTGTGTRTKTATGTGTGTGTRTKTRTGTGTGTGTATTTATGTGTGTGTATTATTATGTGTGTATAAAAACTTTTTAACTCAACACAACAAACATAAATAAAATAAAAAAAAAAAATTATTATMAAATCGATTGACATTTTGTTGTTTGTTTTTTTAACACTTACTACTAATACTAACCAAACAACCAACAAAAAAAACTTATATAAAACTTTTATATATATATATATAAATTATTTGTATTTTTTGTGCAGCAAAATGGCCACAATATCCTAAAGTCATTGCCTGGACATGAATATAAAAAAATGTTGGCACTTATCAAACATTGTATTTTGGCCACCGATTTGGCCCTATTTTTCCCAAATAAATCAAAATTAGAAAAACTATTGATTACGGGATTATTTGATTGGAATAATAGCGAACATAAGTAACTAAAAAAAATAATTTTTAACATTAATTATAAATTATATATATTTTTTTAATTATATAATTTTAGATTATTATTAGAAGCGGTAGCCATGACTGCGGCCGATCTTAACTCGACGGCCAGGCCCTGGTCGGAGGCCATCGAACAGGTTCGGGAACTTTTCGAAGAATTCTACGCTCAGGGAGATATTGAAAAAGGTTTGGGTAGAAAACCTATACCATTGATGGACAGGGATAAACTAGATGAACAACCGGCATCACAGGTTAGGGTAGTTTTTTTTTTTTTTTGATTGAACAACAAAAATAATTTTCGAAAATTTTTTTTGGAAAAAGTTTACTAAATATTACTTTTTTAAAAAAAAAATTCTGTACATTAATGATACATATTATGTATATATATAATATAATATACACTACACTAACCTAATACTACTACTATTATTACTACTACTACTATATTAATGTGATTCGTATTAATTTATAGAAAAATTTAATAATAATTATCTAAAATTTTATAAATACATTTTTATATATAATTGATTTTTTTTTGTTTAGTTAAACGTTCAAACTATAAATTTTTTAGTGATTATTAGTAATATTTATTTTTATAATTAATATATTCAAAGTATTAATAATAATAATATAAATTTATTTTATGTTTATAACTAAATAAAATCAATTATAAATAAAATTTAGATAATTATATTAATTTTTTTGTAAATTAATAAGAATCCCATTAATATAGTTTAAGTAGTGTTTAAGTGTATTGTATATTATGTTATTTAAATAATATGGCTATAGATATGGGGTTGGGTGGGTGTGGGGGGATTCCCCCCACATATAGTATAACTCATTGAAGTAGTAAAATAATTTTCATATAGAAATTTCTAATTACCTGATTATTCCTGAGAAACTTTCTAGAATTTTTTTTTTTTAGATAATTTATTTCTAGAAAATTTCTATTTAATTTGACAACAATTTTTTTGTCCTAATCGTAGGTCGATTTTTTGGCCAACATATCGATACCATGTTTTCAAATGTTGACACAATTGTTGCCAAATGCCAACAGCTATCTAAATCATTGCATGTAATGTATTGCATATATTAATTGAATTTATTATATATTATTATTATTGGTCTCATTACTTATTTTTTACAACAACATAACACTAATAAATTTATAGCACTTTTTATAAACTTTTATTTTTTTTTATTCAATACTAAACCATTGAAAATTTAAATGCAAATTGAAATTCAATACAAATTTATTTTTTGTTTGTTTAGTGTAAATGAATAGTCATTTATACTTTTAATGTTAAACCTTTAGACAAACATTTAGAAATATACAGTATATATATATATACTGTATAATATACAGTGTATATTTCTAATATATAATTTATATTAAAAGTGCATTTTTAAATATATTTAACATTATTTCTATGGTATTTAAATATCATATTTATAGTATTATTAGTGTATTATATAATAGCCAAAAAAATATACCAAACATTAAATGATATTAAGTATATAACATATATATATATTAATACTATAATAGTTTAGAGCATTAAATATTAGTATATATCATAAGATAAGACACATTTATATTTATATATATTTCATATTAAAATGTTTTGCATATTATGAATAGTTTGATATTATAATATCATATAATAATAATTTAAAAAACTTAAGTGAGATTTTATATACAGTATTATGATATTTCCATATTTGAATACTAATACTACTTTAATAATACATATTTGTATAAATTTTAATATACATATATATATACACTATTAGTTTAGTTTATCTTTTATTTGTTAAAATTATATTATTAATACAGTAATAATAATAATAATATTAATAATACTAACATAACAATAGCTAAATAAAATATTTTATTTATATATATATATGTATATATAAATCAATAAACATACAGACAAAACCTTAAGCTATGGAAAGACAGAGTGGAAAGGGATAGAAAACTAAAGGAGCGAAAGGCACTGATGGCGGCCATCAATGAGGAAGAGTCGACAGTCGGCGGTCATAAGCGAGACATTGGCCGTCGGGTCAGACCAGTCACTAAAGGACGGCTGGAAAGGACACGATCTCTGTTGCATTGATTGATTAGATTAGATGATTGGTTAGATTGTATGATAATCTATGAGATTAAGAGAGAGAGAGAGAGAGAGAGAGAGAGAGAGAGAGAGAGAGAGAGAGAAAGAGAGAGAGAGAGAGAGAGAGAGAGAAAGAGAGAGAGAGAGAGAGAGAGAGAGTAAAAACGGGTTTTTAAAAATAATACATATTATGTATACTAGAAATTAAACAAAAAAAAACTAAATAAATAATAATTTACATATTGTGTGATATATCTATAAAAAAATAATAATATTTTTATTTTATAAAAACTGTGTGTAATTCATAAGTCAATAAATTTTTAATTTTATTTTTATTTAATTTAATTTTTTTTAATTATAATTATTATATATTGCTATTTATATATCGTATATATTAAATATATGGTGTCTTTTTGAAAATACATATATCTATTCATATATTTATTTATATATATATTATGTAATTAAATTAATATAATATATGAATATATGGAGAAAATAATACAGTAATAATAATAATTGTATTAAATATTGTTTTTATTTATACTTTAATTGTCATATTATAATATTTTTTTCAAAAAAAACTTTACTTAAAACTAAAATCAACTATTGATTGCTATTTTTTTATATGTCAAATAATATTACTTATATACAGTATATATATATATATATATATATATATTTATTTATAATGTATATTATGTGTGTAAGCATGCATATATAATTTGTTAGTAATTGTTTTAAATAATAATAATAAAAAAAACTAAAATAATTTTATTTGAAAAAAATTTAATCTGATTTATACTTTATTTTTTGTTTGAAAACAAATAGAAAACGCAAACATAATAAAAAACAATTGTATCAAGGTTATTTTTTTTTAATTTAAATTACTTATATGATAGTTTGCAAATAAATAATTAATTAAATAAATAAAATTTTTGTTGTTGTTGTTGTAAAAACTAATTTATATAATTAATTTAGTTAACTAAATAACATATACTTTTTTTTATTTGTTTGTTTATTTAGATATATAACAAACCAAAACAAACAAAAAAAGATAAAGTAATTGAATCAGCAATTGGTTAAAAAAAAAACTTAAATATATATATAAAAAGTAAATTTGAAAAATTTGTGGCAAATTTGTGGCAAACTCTCCAAAAAAAAAAAAAATAAATAAATAAAAATAAGTAAAAATACAGTATTAGAGTAAATAAATATAATTAAACAAATAAAAACTTAACCCAAACTTTAACCTCAACTGTATGTCCAAACTTTTTTGGACTCTCAAACCTAACAGTCCTCTCAACTCAACTATACCTCTATGACCCCCTCCTTAAATTAAACCCCCTATAAGTTATGGACTCTCTCTCTCTCTCTCTCTCTGTTTCTGTCTCTCTCTCTCTCTCTCTCTGTTTCTCTCTCTCTCTCTCTCTCTGTTTCTCTCTCTCTCTCTGTCTCTCTCTCTGTCTCTCTCTCTCTCTCTCTCTCTCTCTCTGTCTCTCTCTCTCTCTCTCTCTCTCTCTCTCTCTCTCTCTCTCTCTCTCTCTCTCTCTCTCTCTCTCTCTCTCTCTCTCTCTCTCTCTCTCTCTCTCTCTCTCTCTCTCTCTCTCTCTCTCTCTCTCTCTCTGTAAATATCCTTAAAAAAAATTGGTTATAAATTTTATTATTTAAAAAAAACTGTTAATTTCTAAACCCAACCCCATGTTTAAGTTAAGTTAACCCAAACTACTCTATGATATATCAATAATGTATTTGTTTTGCATATTTGTTGTATATGTACTGTAAATGGTATTTAATATATGTGTTGCTATGGATAATGTGATTACAGTATTACTGTGTATACACTGTACTGTAATAATAATAATAATAAACTGGTAATAGAGTGACCAAATAACAACACTTTATAATAATAATAATTATTATTATATTAAAAAATAATTATTTATTTAAATTAAATTAATTAATATTATTTAAAGAAAAAATAATTTTGTTTTGTTTTTTATAAATAAATAATACTAGTATATTAACTGTTAATATTGTATAAATAAATAAATATTTATTATATTATATAAATTATTATTATATTTTATTTTTGTATAAATTTATTATAAAAAATAAATAAAAAAATAATTATATATATATACAATGTATATTATACATATGATAAATAAATATATATACAATGTATATTATACATATGATAAATATATATATATACAGTATATACATATGATAAATATATATATACAGTATATACATATGATAAATATATATATACAGTATATACATATGATAAATATATATATACAGTATATACATATGATAAATATATACATACCGTTACATACCTGTCCAGTATCCAGGGTCTATCCCATTCAAAAAAAACATAAATAAAGTCCAGGAAATACACATATATATATATAAATATTTGGTCACAATATTTAACAACAATTATAATAAAAACACATGTGTTTTTATTATCATACATTTTTGTGGCGCCTTTTGATTTGTTGTTAAAAATTTTTTTTTTTATATAGATATATAAAAATTTATATATATTTATAGTAAACACTTAAAACCCAAATAATACTGTTTTTAATATCAGTGGTAAAAATATTTAGTTAGTCTATAATAATAATATTGTATTGATTTCTAGTTTTTATTTATTTATTATTACAGTATTATTGGCTATTAGTTAGTTAGTGAATCACACTATTATTTTTTCAAAAAAAAAAATATATGATATATAAATAAATAACAGTATTATTGGTTTATAACTAATAATAATTAGATATCAATCATATGATTGTATTAATAATATTGTAATAAACTTTAAAACTAATTGTTTTGTGTTTTTCTATTATTATCCATTGAACCGACCGTTTGGTTAACTACTAGTCTCTCTCTCTCTTTCTCTCTCTCTGTGTATCTGTTTGTGTCTTATAAGGAGGAAAGTGACTGTCCGTCCCATTTGATCCCCAAAAAAAAAAGACATTTAGCCGCCGATCCATTCATCCATCAGTCAGTCAATCGGTTCAAGAGATCAGTCAATCGGTTCAAGAGATACGTCCGTCCCATTTGATCCCTGAAAAGATAGTCAACATTTAGCCGCCGATCCATCCATCAGTCAGTCAATCGGTACAAGAGATCAGTCGGTCAATCGGTTACAAGAGATCAGTCGGTCAATCGGTACAAGAGATCAGTCAATCGGTACAAAAGATACGTCCCTCCCATTTGATCCCAAAAGATAGTCAACCGCGAGATTAGCCGCCGATCCATACATTCATCCATCAGTCAGTCAATCGGTTAAATACAAGAGATTTATAGACCAAAAAAAAAAATGAAACTAAAGTCACGGACAACCAAATCAAGTGCTGGTGATAGTAGTAGTAGTAGTCGTAGTCATCGTAGTAGTAGTCGTCGTCGTAGTAGTACTACTAGTAGTAGTAGTAATGATGGCAATGAAGTCGTCGACAATGAATTGGTATTTACTCAAGAAATGAAAGATATGCTGAAATTTTTCGCTATCGATATCAAAACCGATGAGGAAGTGTCGGATATGACGGATAAGACCAGACGACAGTATTTATGTCGACTGAAGAGATGGCAATCGTTGATCAATACGGAAATGGACTACGAATGCTATCGTATTGAGTCGAGTCTGAAATCAATTGATCAGATGGTTACCAATACCCAGAAACTAATGGATCAGATGCGTACAGATCCGGATGAGTTTACTAAAAAGTATGGCAAAGATTATCGGATGAAATTGTTGTCAATTGAACGACAAACTCAGGAGATGTTGAAGACAGTCGACTCGGATCGCCTGCAGTTTAAGCGTCTGAAACAAGAACTAAACGATCGTAAACTGATGGACGCCGAGGAAGAGGAGGAGGAGGAAAAAGAGTTGGATATAGACATGAGTTGTGTTGATATCAAGGATGAAGAAGAGGAGGACGATTACGACGACGACGACGACAACAATGATTATAGAGATGCGAAAAAAGTGGCTAAAAAAGTACAGAAGAAGAAGAAAAATGTGGTTAAAAAAGAAATCAAAAAGGAATTGGTCGACAACGACGACGAAGATTTTGACGACAAAAAGAAAGTGTTGGTCGATATCAAACCAAAGATCAAAATGGAGATCAAGACTGAAATAAAACGCGAATCAATTAAACGCGAATCGATTAAACAAGAGGTCGTCAAACAAGAAGACGAAGAACAAGAAATTAAGATTAAGAAAGAAGAAGTCGATGACGACGAAGAAGTAGGAGAAGAGATGATAACTCCTCATGACTTTGATGACGACGACGACATCGAATTGAGTGATTGATTGATTGATTAAGACATGGATTAAATCAATTGATTGATTGATTTAATTAATTACTATTAATTTTTATTATTATTATTATAATAATCATATCATTTATCATATTTTATTGTTTCGAAACAATAGTTTATTAATAATTATTATTATTTTTTTAAATAATTAATTTTTTTTATTATACATTATATCCAAATAATTGATTTATAGATTATTATTATTATTATTATTCATATATGATATGATTATATCATTCAAATTTTTGGTCATACAATTTAAATATTATTATTATTATTTTTTTTAATACATTAGAAATCATTTATAGATTATTATTATTATTATTATTCATATATTATATGATGATATCAATCATTCAATTATACAATTTAGATATTATTATTATTTTTTTTAAATACATATTATTATTATTATCGTAGTTTTATACCACTATAAACACATACAATCACTTTCATATAAATTTTTTTTTATATACGTTTAGTTAGTAACAAACAACAATAATAATAATAAATATTTATGTAATTATTATTATTATTATTTTTCTCTATATATAAATGTTTTTTTTAATGAGAAAAACCAAATAAAATTATTTTATAAATACTGTATACAATACTAATTGTTTTTATGTGTGTATTAACGTATATGAAATGGACCCCCCATTATGTTGGAGAGGGGTGTGAAAATAAAATAAAGTTTATATTATTAGTTTTGTTGAAACAAATAATTTTTAAAATGACTTTTTTTTGTTCCTCTATTTTATTTTAGTTTTTTTTTCTGTTAGTATAAAAGCATTTCGTGATATATTACATGAAAAATGGGTCCAAAAAAAATAGTAGTCTACAGTAATTTTAAATGTTTAGAGAGAGAGAGAGAGAGAGAGAGAGATAAGAGATGTAAAAATGTTGAGCAAATAGGAGAGAGAGAGAGAGAGAGGAAAATGAGATAACAGTGCCTAAAGTGAGAGACAGTTGTGTTATTCAAAAAAAAAAGAGTTTTCTATACTATACTCGTCTATAGATTTTGAAGACACGGTCTCTCTCTCTCTCTCTCTCTATCTTTCTCTCTCTCTCTCTTTCTCTCTCTCTCTCTCTCTCTCTATCTCTCACTCTTTCTCTCTCTCTCTCTCTCTCTCTCTCTCTMTCTCTTACTCTTTCTCTCTCTCTCTCTCTCTCTCTATCTTTCTCTCTCTCTCTCTCTCTCTCTCTCTCTCTCTCTCTCTCTCTCTCTCTCTCTCTCTCTATCTCTCACTCTTTCTCTCTCTCTCTCTCTCTCTCTCTATCTCTCACTCTTTCTCTCTCTCTCTCTTTCTCTCTCTCTCTCTCTCTCTCCAACTTTCTAAGTGTATGTGTGTTATGTTAGGAGGAAATGACATGTAATTTTGAAAATATATCATCCGTTAGCCACACATATATTTTTTGTATATATATATATATATATATAATATACAGTACAGTATATACTGTGTTATATTATAACACAAAAGCATTTCTAATGAATAGAAATTTTTTTGCCACATCTAATGTAAGGCATATTATAATTTGTTTTCTACTCTCTCTCTCTCTCTCTCTCTCTCTCTCTCTCTCTCTCTCTCTCTCTCTCTCTCTCTCTCTCTCTYTCTCTCTCTAACTCTAACTCTAACTCTCTATCACTCACTCGCTATATTGTATTATATATATATAAATAATGTAAAAACATGCCATAATATTAATAATAATATTATTATTATTATATAAAGCAGCGAAAAATTGTTGGAAATAGCAAATAACAAAAAAATAATAAAAGCTTTTATATATATAAGGCATGTATTTTTGTGTACTTAATTATTTACATCAATTTAATACAAATGTTAGGGCTATTAAATAATTTAGTTTCCATGTATGTATGTTTTGTTGTTATTGCTGTTATTATTATTAAATTTGTATTTAATATATATTAAAATTAATAGCGATGAGTAATAAAATTATATATTTAATCTATAGAGAGATATTTATATATATATATAAAGAGAGAGAGAGAGAGAGAGAGAGAGAGAGAGAGAGAGAGAGAGAGAGAGAGAGAGTAAAGTGAAATTGGCTTTTATTTTTGTGTTTTGTTTTGCTTTAAGGAATATTCTTTAGAGAGAGATATACACAGTATATAAATGATATAAATATAAGATACTATATATATATAATACAGAATATTCTGTACATTAGTTTCCCCATATATTTAGAAAGAGAGAGAGAGAGAGCACAGGGATATAAATAAAAGGCCGCTCGCTGTGAGAGATGAGATGTATTTAATTGAAAACACATACAGTAATAGACATACAGTCATACACACACACACACACACACACACACACACACACACACACACACACACACACATACACATACACATACATACATACATACATACATACATACATACATACATACATACATACATACATACATACATACATACATACATACATACATAACCATACCATTCATCCATATGATGATAGTTACAGTTTAATGAATATATCTGTATGTATACAATATAGTCTTTAGACAATAAGTTATCGTCGATGATATAAATATAGTTTATATATATACTGTATATCTATATTATATATATTTTTTTTGGGGGGAGATCTTTGTGTGTATTGTGAATAAATGACATGATATATAAATTATATTGTATGATAAAAAAAAGTATATACAGTATATATATATATAAAATAACAGCAAAAATACAATATATTCTCTATAATGGATTCTCTATAATATTGCACACCATTTAGTAAAAATCTACTATTATTACTTGTATATACATTGTATATGTATTATACTGTATATAGTATAGTATTGTATTATACTTTTTATATTATATATATATATATATATAGATATTTTTGTTATTTTCTATGTATTAGTAAAATATTTCATCGTTGACTAACCTATTGTCTATTGAAAACAATCAGTCATATGCTCTCAACAAACAAAACAATAAGCAAACCATTCATAACACACACACACACACACATAACTAAGTCTTTAAATTGCACACTAACTAAAAAAAGTTAATTGATTTGTAGTTTTATATATATATATATATATATATATATATATACAGTATTTAATATAATTATATTATTATTATGTATACTATTGAGACACACATACATGACTACCATTGCTGTTACTATAATAAGCAATTGTAGTAATCGATTATAATATATATATATATATATATATTAATATATAGCATATAATTTATATCATATACAATATATAGATACACAATGATATATCATTTATTATTATTATTATCATCATCATTATAACTATCACTATCACTGTAATAGTATGGATAGACTAATAATAAATTTAGAGAAATATTATTATACTGTTAGAAGATATTTCACACATATATATATATATGATATTAAATTTATGCCAAAAAATATTATATAACTTTATAGTATATATGCTAACAATATATGGGGGAAAAAATATTTTTTATTAAAAAACTAAATTATATTTGTTAGTGAAATATTACTTACTATAGATATATCATCTTTTTTTGTTGTTAAAAAAATTTGTAGCATATGTGTCATAATATTTATTATTATTAAATAAATAAAATTGTGTCAAGGTTGCGTAATATAGTTGACTGCATATATATATATATATACATAATATATTTACATTTAGCAATAATAATAATATAAAAAATAAATAAATAAATAATACAATATCTATACAAATTGAAGTGATTGAAATAGTAGTCAATAATAATAATAATAATATACAGTATATATTTATGGCAAAAATCAAATTTTATTATTTAGTATTTTAATTTATTTTTTAATTTCAATTTTCTCACTATTTATTTTCACTATTATATACATTTTATTTTTTTTTATTTTAAAAAACAACATGTTTAAATCTAACAATTATTATTTTTAACAAAAAAAATCATAATCATATATATATAGTAAATATTTATTTTGTGTTTCAATTATGTAATAACAGATTATATAATATATATATATATATATATATATATATATATATATATATGTTTTACACAATTAAATTTTGTTCATTTTATTTAAAATTTATTATTAATTATTATAATTAAAATAATTATCTAAAATTATTTTAAAAAAAAATAATTAATTAATTCTACATTATTTACAAGTTTTTATTATTATTATTATTATTATTAATAAATTGTTTATTTGATCTCTACATTGGAATTAATTTATGTATTTAATTAATAAATTATTATTAATATTATTATTCAATATAACAAACTTATTATCATATATATATATATATATTATTTAAATAAATTTCTATTAACTAATATATTACAATCCCATAACATTAAATATTGTTTATCAAACACTATTTATATATATATTTAATATTTAATATAATTTGATTACAATAAAATGTATTTGTTATATATATATATATATATATAAATTATAAATTATTTATATATTAGTTAAAAATATATATATTTTAAGCTAACAATTCAAATATAGAGAGATATACCGTATATACTGTATACTAATAATTTTGTTTAAATATATTTAGATAATAATAATACAATTTAATAATTTTTAAAAAAAACTATTCGTTGTTAAACTATTCATATATATATATATATATATATATATATATATAATTTATATTTAATATATATATATATATATAGATAACGTGTGTACACTTCAAACAATTTACTATAAATTATTTTTATGTTTTTACAAAATCTTATTTTTTTAGTATTATTATTATTATGAGTACTAACAGTATATTATATATAAAAAAATGATACATAATTAATAATTCATATATATATATATATGTTTTATTTTTTTTAAATGCATCAATCAACACACACACACACACACATAAAACATATTTTTTAGTTTATTTTTTGTGTTCAAAAATTTTAAAATATATATATTTTTGGTTTTGTACTAGGCATTATTATTATTATTATTATTACTTAATTATTT